CTTCTTTAATTTGTTTTGTTATTTTTTAATTTTAATGCCTACTACATAATAGAAAAAGTCTAACAAAAAATAATAAACAATATACAATATACGAACGAAAAATTTAATATATTATACGTATCAACCTTCCTCTGGAATATAAGTAGATAGAATACAGAAAGTAAAGGTTAGCAGCGTAAAGCGTAAAGGTTAGCAGCGACTACGTCTAACGGGTTACCTGTGAAATGGGTGTACCTACCTCAAGGATCTATTCTCGGTCCATTTTTATTCCTTGTTTAGATAAATGAGATCCCGTCTGCCATACAGGATAAATGCGGCATAGTGTTAATTGCACATGATACTTCATTGATTTTTAAGATTAATAGAATGAGGAATAATTATAACTATATAGTGCTTTGCGGCGTCTTTTGCATGCAACCTAATGTTAACGCAAAAAAAACATTGTTATTATTTTTTTACTTTCTAAAAGTTTTAATATTGATTGCAAGATAAAATCAAACGACGAATCTCTCGAATTTATAGAATCTACTGTCTTTCTATGAATCACACTATGCTAGATTACTCTATTTTAGTTATTTTCATAGTTTATAGCTTTATGGATTATTATTGTGGAAAGCGGCAGACATTAAAAATATATTCATATTACAAAAATGTGCCATTCGAGCGATCTACTGTATGAGGAGTCGTGAGTCTTTAAGAGATAAATTCAAAGAAGAAATATTCTCACCGTTCCTACTCAATTTATATAGATACCGAAATATTCTATAGATATGTTCACATAAATCTTCACCTATTTCCAAAACTAGCAATATTCATAATATTAATATTAGATTTGAAGACAAACTTGCTGTCTCCAAATATCGTTAAGAAAAAGTTAATAGCTCTTTTATGGGAACAGGTATAAAAATTTTAAATAAGATACCAAATGATATTACCCATAGATATATTCAAAACAACTGTTAAATTATATTTACTGAGCAAAGCCTATTAGTCACTAAACGATTACTTGAATGATGATCGTACATGGCAATAGTTGTTCATACACGGGATATTAATTTAATGTTAGATATAGACACCTATATAAATATACCTACATGAGTTTTTTGCCGGTTCTTTCAGTTCAGAAAAATAAATTGATTGTTAAAATGTCTTGCATGTATAAATGATTTTTAAATAGGAAGTTAAATTTGAATCACTCTATCTAATGCTGAAAACAGCATTAAAATCAGTTGCATACCTACGTTAATACATATATCTAAGCGTACCTACAGACAGCTCCGAGAACTTCGTTTTATACTACGTAAAGATAAAGATACTATAGACTCCTTGTCTAAAATTCTATTATATATTTAGGTAGGTACATATGGAATAAATTTTTGGTAGTTGATTATGTATGAAAACTACGTAATTTTAAAAATTAAATTTTATTGTTCATAAATTTGTAGTAACCTAAATTACTTAATGCAATATTAAGTCTACTTATCAATTAAGTAAAAAGTTTTAAGGCCGCATTTCATTTCATAATAATTAGCCTTAAACGCCCCAAATATTTACAATAATAGAGATAGGTTTCTACAATCAACACTGCAGATTTAATTAAAAAAAATCCCTTCTTGAAAACCTTGACTTGATTGCTTTTACAAACTATTATTTGCTTTAGTGCTATAGATTGAAAATAGATTAATATCTACGGTTTGGTGACATTTCACTACAATTGGAATAGCTTTGTAAGTACCCAATGAGGGTAAAAATATATGTATATACTACATCTGACCTCATACGATCGCAAAAATGTAATTATTTATTATTAACAATATTGAGTATTATTTACATGTGTACAGTCTTTTAATATAATTTAAGAGATCACTTCTTAACAGTAAAACCTTCTCCTGTAGGATCTAATATCCAGGGATAATTGTTGGGACACTCCATGCAGGTAAATAAGCGTAGAGTTTCTCCTGGTAACTCCCGAGTGGTCAGTGGGCACGCATTTGGCAAAGAGCAGAAAGGTTGACCTTTCACGTCGCATTTTTCTTGTTTCCATTCCTGGAAATCTCTTAGAGATGACAATTCTGTTGGATTTTGCATCCATTGGATTACTTGAATTAAGGAGGTAAAGTAAACGTCATTTTTCTCAAGCATTTCTTCGATGAATTTGATAAGTTCATCTCTAAACTCCTTCTTGCTCTAGCAAAATTAAAGGGAAACAGTACTGTTTAGTCCAACCGTTTATAGCTCTTAAACCGTGGTTTTTCAAATTACATCTTGATAAAAGATCAACTAGTGTTTTGATTCGTATGCGAATTGGTCATGTTTGCAGCCCTGAACATTTAACAAAACTACGTATAAAAGACAATAATATCTGTGAATGTGGAGAAGATGTGGGTGATCTAAATCATATTGTGTTTTCCTGCTCCTCTTACGATCGTTCTTCATTTATAGAGACACTCATCTCATTAGAAATTCCTTTTCCTTCATCCATTGTATGCCTATTAGCTCATCCTAATTCTATAATTTATAAATCTCTTGCGTCTTTTATTTCCCATAATAACATTAAACTTTAAAACCCATGATCACTAATTCCGAGTATATTCAAAATTTAACCCGTTCCTTTCCATTATCCCGTCTCGTTTCCTGTTTTTAGTGGCATAATAGGCAACACTAGCCTCTTGCCAAAGAAGAGAAAAATAAAAAAAAAAAAAAACTTACTATAAAATTGAAGAATTCGTTAACGATCATAATGTGGTTATAGAAAAACTTTAAATCCTTAGCAGTGACAATATTATCTTATTACACTAATAATGAGTGCGTAGCGATTTCTATGTTGATTATAGCATGCCTCTTACTTGTTATACTGTGATTATTTATATAAAAAAACATCTATTAAAAAGAGCAACACACAAGTTTCTTGTTCATTCTTCTTGTGATGAATCTGCATTCCGAATGAGAGAATCAAAATATGACTATTCAAAAGTGCTTGTAAGTTTTTTTGAGTTAGTTTGAATTTATTTGAGTTTATTTGAATAAAGATTATATCTATTTCTAAATAAAGAAAGTCCTTATTACACTTCGCATTGCTTTGTCTGTTCAGTCTTTGCATAATTTTTTATAAGCATGGGGGTGGTAAAGAAATGGTGCAAGCATACGTTAATGGTATACGTTTGTGGGACACCAGTGGATGTTGAAGAAGAGTATAATTGCCTATCTTGTGAGGAATTAGAGTTATTAGAGTTTTATGGAGAGCACATGGACATCGATCTGCCATGGTACATTGCTAGCAATAATGTAAGTCCTCCATACCACATAGGGTAGGGGATATTAAAGGGTATTCCTCTAATTATAACATTATTCTGAAATAAGTTCTGTAATTTTACGTGATGACCAAATGACTAGTAAATAAACGACGACAATAATTTGCTCTCTCTAAATTTCATGCAAGATTGTAAAATCATTAAAATGATATTGAATATTTGTGGTACTCGAGAAATAGAAATAGAAATAAACATTATTCAAATAAACTTAAACACTATTGAATAGACACATTTGTTTTCATTTTACATGGATGAATGGATGCATACTTCTTTAATTTGTTTTGTTATTTTTTAATTTTAATGCCTACTACATAATAGAAAAAGTCTAACAAAAAATAATAAACAATATACAATATACGAACGAAAAATTTAATATATTATACGTATCAACCTTCCTCTGGAATATAAGTAGATAGAATACAGAAAGTAAAGGTTAGCAGCGTAAAGCGTAAAGGTTAGCAGCGACTACGTCTAACGGGTTACTTGTGAAATGGGTGTACCTACCTCAAGGATCTATTCTCGGTCCATTTTTATTCCTTGTTTAGATAAATGAGATCCCGTCTGCCATACAGGATAAATGCGGCATAGTGTTAATTGCACATGATACTTCATTGATTTTTAAGATTAATAGAATGAGGAATAATTATAACTATATAGTGCTTTGCGGCGTCTTTTGCATGCAACCTAATGTTAACGCAAAAAAAACATTGTTATTTTTTTTTACTTTCTAAAAGTTTTAATATTGATTACAAGATAAAATCAAACGACGAATCTCTCGAATTTATAGAATCTACTGTCTTTCTATGAATCACACTATGCTAGATTACTCTATTTTAGTTATTTTCATAGTTTATAGCTTTATGGATTATTATTGTGGAAAGCGGCAGACATTAAAAATATATTCATATTACAAAAATGTGCCATTCGAGCGATCTACTGTATGAGGAGTCGTGAGTCTTTAAGAGATAAATTCAAAGAAGAAATATTCTCACCGTTCCTACTCAATTTATATAGATACCGAAATATTCTATAGATATGTTCACATAAATCTTCACCTATTTCCAAAACTAGCAATATTCATAATATTAATATTAGATTTGAAGACAAACTTGCTGTCTCCAAATATCGTTAAGAAAAAGTTAATAGCTCTTTTATGGGAACAGGTATAAAAATTTTAAATAAGATACCAAATGATATTACCCATAGATATATTCAAAACAACTGTTAAATTATATTTACTGAGCAAAGCCTATTAGTCACTAAACGATTACTTGAATGATGATCGTACATGGCAATAGTTGTTCATACACGGGATATTAATTTAATGTTAGATATAGACACCTATATAAATATATATATATATAAATATACCTACATGAGTTTTTTGCCGGTTCTTTCAGTTCAGAAAAATAAATTGATTGTTAAAATGTCTTGCATGTATAAATGATTTTTAAATAGGAAGTTAAATTTGAATCACTCTATCTAATGCTGAAAACAGCATTAAAATCAGTTGCATACCTACGTTAATACATATATCTAAGCGTACCTACAGACAGCTCCGAGAACTTCGTTTTATACTACGTAAAGATAAAGATACTATAGACTCCTTGTCTAAAATTCTATTATATATTTAGGTAGGTACATATGGAATAAATTTTTGGTAGTTGATTATGTATGAAAACTACGTAATTTTACTTCAAAATTAAATTTTATTGTTCATAAATTTGTAGTAACCTAAATTACTTAATGCAATATTAAGTCTACTTATCAATTAAGTAAAAAGTTTTAAGGCCGCATTTCATTTCATAATAATTAGCCTTAAACGCCCCAAATATCAGCTTACAATAATAGAGATAGGTTTCTACAATCAACACTGCAGATTTAATTAAAAAAAATCCCTTCTTGAAAACCTTGACTTGATGGCTTTTACAAACTATTATTTGCTTTAGTGCTATAGATTGAAAATAGATTAATATCTACGGTTTGGTGACATTTCACTACAATTGGAATAGCTTTGTAAGTACCCAATGAGGGTAAAAATATATGTATATACTACATCTGACCTCATACGATCGCAAAAATGTAATTATTTATTATTAACAATATTGAGTATTATTTACATGTGTACAGTCTTTTAATATAATTTAAGAGATCACTTCTTAACAGTAAAACCTTCTCCTGTAGGATCTAATATCCAGGGATAATTGTTGGGACACTCCATGCAGGTAAATAAGCGTAGAGTTTCTCCTGGTAACTCCCGAGTGGTCAGTGGGCACGCATTTGGCAAAGAGCAGAAAGGTTGACCTTTCACGTCGCATTTTTCTTGTTTCCATTCCTGGAAATCTCTTAGAGATGACAATTCTGTTGGATTTTGCATCCATTGGATTACTTGAATTAAGGAGGTAAAGTAAACGTCATTTTTCTCAAGCATTTCTTCGATGAATTTGATAAGTTCATCTCTAAACTCCTTCTTCGATTTAAGCCAGGAAGCATGGAAATGGAGACCAAGAGGAGCACGGTTGGTCGAGTAGTGGCGGTTGAAGTTATGACGCAGAAGACGAGCAAACTGTTCACCAGTTTGGATGTTGGAACAAGAGTCTACTACATGACAACCCGGCAGAGATTCATCGAATGTCGGATCATCTCTTCGATCCAATTCGTTCATGACCATTTCCCAAACAGGATGACTTCTAGATGGACAATTATGCGCATTACCGTTACATTTGTGTGGCATGCGGAAGTATAGTGTGTATGGCCAAATAGGAACACGACCTAGAGGGGCTGTAATAGAAGCATCATATACGAAATACTGGTCGGCCATCATTTCAAATTGCTTATTTCCACCTACACGTAAGTAAGGAGCACGAACTCCAATTATAGAGGCATCAGTTATATTAGCGAAACGTTCTAGAATTAATCGAGCGCCAGCCATTTCAGCTAACCAATCGTCGTAGCTTCCACTTGTCCAGTACTGCGGATCGTCCTTATGTGTTATAGAGAATACCGCAATTTCATGTCCCTTGCGGTGGAGTTCTTGTACAGCTGCGTAATTCGTATACTTATGAGAGACGAAGAAACTGCCACGAATTTGACAGCCATTGGGGTTATGGCGATTGCCATTAAAAATTTGTTCGTATAAATCTATATTGTCAACATTTACAGCCCCGTTGAAAGTGATAGTAATCATCTGAGGCACTTGGTTAGGTTCAATTCCTCCTGGGATACGAGTACCATCAGCAGAGCAGAAACAGTCGGGAAGAGTACATTGGTTAGGGTCGCAGTCAGGTGCTCTATTAGGATCTACGTCAACAGCTGCAAAAAAATATAAATATTAATTTCTGCTATTTAACTACTTATAATTATTAATTGAACATAAATAATAAAAGTAACACTCACTACATGCGTTTTCATCAGATTCGTCCTTACAGTCGGGTTTACCGTTGCAAAACAATTCTTTTTCAATACAATCTCCACTACCACAAGCCAATTTACCCTCGGGACAAATTGGTTCATCGGTCTTGAGAATAGGTAATATTTTCCTTGGTTCTGCAATGTAAAAAAATATATATTTGAGTAAAGTTACATATATTATTTGGAGATTCAACAAGGACGAGTAACTGGTCAGTGCGCGTACGGAATAATTATGGATTATATGAACTGGTTTCATCTCCGTGTGATGTTTTCGATGTACGAGTGTAAAGGATCATTATGAATGGAGCAAAGAAAGGGCTCGGCGAAGCATGACAGAATGACAAGTTAAAAAGTAATTAGGTACAAAAAAATATAAATATGTATATGTAATTAAGTAGGTAGGTAACAGTGTCCATATGGTCACGTCATTAATTAATAATTAATAACATTAATAAGTTAAGAGAGAGGTAAAGAGATCATAGAAATTTGGGAAGGTACATTATTCCGACTCAAAAATGAAAATGTATTTGAGGATCCGAAATATGAAAAATGGAGTAAAAGAAAAGAACGACAGAAGTATAAATTGTACATTGTAGCTATACAGGTATTTTATTCTTAACCTTTTTACTAAATAACTTTCCATAACATATCTACTTACATAATTTTATTATTAATTTATTCACTATTGTTGTATTCGTGGAATATTCGTAAAAAGGTCAAAATATTTTGTTTTGCACAGCCGTATAATGTTTAAAATTTACTACTATAAACGCACCAAGTAACGTAGAATTTAAGATTTATTGATATTTAATTTAGTTAAATTACTACATATGTTTCGTTTAACTAAAAACTACGTATGTATATTACACATTTACGACTGAACAATATGAAATCAACAAAATTTAAGATTAACAAAAGCTGTGTGTATGATATATACAAGTACTTGTTAGTAGTTAAAGAATTATTTATATATTTATAACGTAATAGCATGTTATAAATTAATATGTGAAATATTAACATAATAAAAACGAAATGCGGTTATATACTTATTAGTAATATTAATATAGTAATTCCGTAATAATGAAGCTAAAGCGTTGGGTTAGTAGATATTTAGAAAACAAAGAGAATGATAGAAGTGTATAGTGTTTCTGTATTAACAAGTCGATATTTACACTACATATTTACGTGTGCACTGGATCAATTATTAATAAACTTGACAAGTGTAAAGTGAACTATAATTCATTTTTCACTTTGCCAGTTCAATTTTAAGGGCAAATATTTTATGGCATCAACATTATTTTATTGCATCAACATTACTTACATGTTTATACTTTTTATAAATAGGTATGTAGTTATAAATTTTTACCTTAAGTCACTTATATAACATTATTTTTAAAATATGCAGGTTTTATAACTGCTAACAATAATTGTAATGACTCTACATATATATATTATTTTTACAGCACGATTAAAAATATAACGCTATGTTCGAAATAATATGTTTATATAACTTCTATAAAATATACTTCAAGACACTGTTATAAGATTTCACAGTTCATAATATATCGTATATGTAACATAACAAACCATAGATTGCATATATATTAGTCAATTATTCGCTTAATTATTAAATTAAGCAACCAGTGTACTAACTCTCAAGACCTAAAACGCATAATAAAGTATTATAGTTATGATTATAATAATTGGTGTAATAAAAGTATAATGATTACACAAGAAATGTCAATGCATATAATAATAATGTATAAAACGGATCGGTCCCTTGTGGCCTCTCCTTTAGTCCGGGGCCTCATGCAATACACCTAACTACAGTGCGACGCGGCCCCTTCACCCACCCAAGCCCGCTTGCTCGTTATGCGCGAATAACTTCTGTTTCGGCACTTACTCTCGAGTTTCTCACAGTTGGTCACTTTACCCTTCCAGTCGCAGGTTTGTTTATCGAGATCGAAAGCCAGTCCAGATGGGCAAGTGATCTGTTTAAGACCTGACCTAGTGCACCTGCGTTGACAAGAAATGTAATTAAAATGAATGTATAAAAAAAGGAAGTGGATATCCGGAAGGCTAACGAGGTGATATACAATCTTCTGACGCGATGATTTCCGACAAGGAAGTTAAGCCCTCCGTATAACCACTTCCCTTGATAAACAGGACTTACTTTCTATTTTATCGCAATTCTTAACATTTGTTTTCCAGTCACAGGTTTGCCGGTCGATATCGAAGGCAAGACCAACGGGACACCGCACAGAGGCGAGCCTGGTCACACCGTTCTCGCTGGCTTGGTCGCACCTGTACACAGCGATTCTCTCAGCAAAAAAATATTTCGCGAAAATGAAAACAGGCCATATATAATTATTTTTACTAATTACTTATAATCACTTTAAATCAAAGTAAGCACAATAAATTTCAATATCAGAATATCAAACACTAAAGTCAAATATATTTAAGCATTACTACAGTAGATTATGAAATTAAAAATCATCAATCTTATTCAATACTATATTCAGAATAAAAATTGAAATAGATAAAAAAAAAAATATACATAAAAAAATATACATAATTCATATGCATATAAGTATGTAACTACTCTTACGCTTTATTTAAACTTCTTCTTTTTATTTAAATGAATACCAACACTCAGAATATATTGGATGATGAATTTGTAAAGCTTTAATGCGCCATCTTTTATTTAATACTTATGAGTATTAAATAAAAGATGGCGCATTAAAGCTGTAAGATGTGAAAACCATTCATAATTAATTTTCCTTAAACATATACAAAAGATATACATATATTAAACTCTAAAGAATAAACATGTAGAAGTTGTTTGTTCGTATGGTTATTGTTACCTAGGTACATTGTATAACCACGTCGCCAAATAGCTTTATAAATGAGTAACATAGTGTAAAGTTAAGTTTATTAAATAGATGTGTCTTAAACTAATTTCATTATGCAGTTAGGTAAGCATGACTGCTATGATACGGCGGTGGTGGCTGTTCGTTCATGGACGTAGAATGTCACCGCATACCTATTTACTAATAGGGTATATTAATTTAAATTGGTAATAATGATTGTGCGATTAATAAATAAATATACATATATTTTGGTTGTGTAATCGTGGTCTATTATGTCTTAACTTGAGAGGTGTGATTTCAGGTTCTCGATACGTTGAATCAGTAAAACTTGTTTTAAATCTAACAAGTTTTCACCAAGTTTCTAAAGAAAACAAACTGAGTTAATAAACTGGGTAAACTAACTCGTATATAAGTGGCATAAAATGTTTTATATCAATAATTTTTGTAGACGTTTTTTGCATTTTTAGCTAACAAGTAAATTGTGCGTTAAATGCTTATTTGTAATCAGAGCGAAATTATTGTAACCATAAGTTTCTTCTTGCGTCAAGTACTTTCGTAATTTAGATGTTTGATAGACGACTCTAACGCCGGCTGTATCCTTCTAATTTTGCACGGTATAGCTGTTTCGTCACACTATTATTCGAACTGAAGCCTATAAGTAAATATAGAACTGGAAGAAAAGGACTGGTAAATAAAGCTTACCTGACGACATCTCGACAGTCACCTTCGGTGGTGAGTCTAAAATATTCATCGGCGGGCCGGCCCTCACACAATTGCTCGGCGTTCACGTCATCTCCTGTCGGGTCATCTTCCTGTCGTTTTACTCGTATTTCACTGCTCACTGTAAAAAAAGTTTGTTTCAAAAATATTGTACATGTCGAACGTGTAAGAGGTATATAGATTGCTGAATGGTTACTAACCACTCTATGGTGGTGAAACTACACCTAACCAAGAAAAATAAGTATCACTTCAGTCTACAACTTTTATCAACAGTTAGGTGCTTATACATAATGTAAGGAATACGAGACTAAGGATGTCTATTAGGTAATGCAATACAGCGTAAGCGGCGATTACAACACTGCCAATCAAGGAATGTAGTACCGTTTCTTTGCGGTGCTGAATACTTTAAAAGTTTTGTGTGTGACACGTCTAATTAAATTTTATTTAGATACTACTTCTTAGGTACGTTATTCTATGGTATTATATTAAAAATGTGCTCACAAAGTATAAGTACTCAGAAAAAGTATGCATGTTGCATTTAATTCCGTAAGCAGTTGGGGTCGGCATTGAAAGTTATGTTGAAAAGAAATCGAGGTCAGCTCAGTCAAACTCAACAAGCCACGTATATAGTCGTATGTACTGGCTTTAAATTAATACTTTAATCGCCATGAATAAACATCAGGTTATTATTTATAAACAGTAAAGCAGTGTAATGTTTTTTGTAATTTGGAACTTATAGGTAGATATTTTAATAACGACATAACGGTAGTAATGGCGGCCTAATTTAAATATAATAAAATAATATAAAAATTATTGAAGACGCAAAGTTAATTTAAGTTACAGTATTAAATATATTAATGGAGTACATAAAAAATATTATTATTACATGTATTTCGTTAAATAAATTTCTGTACCATAGACTTATTTCAAAACATGTTTAAAAATGCCTTTTATTTGAATACAATGTATTTTGAATTGAAACAGAAAGCGTGTCTTTTTTAATAACAATATATTGGTATAAAAAATATTTAATAAAGTTAGGTGGGGTGGACTCACCGTAGCAGGCGAGCAACAATACACCGAGAAACAAACGCGCGTGTCGAGCCATGGCTCTCGGCGAGTACTGGCTGCGTGGTTGTGCGCCGACAAGAAAGTGCAAGAGGTCTCTGCTGCCCCTCTTCACCTATTTATATAACCTGGCAGGGCGTGCTTACCCAGCCTGCGAGCAGTCGGCGTTGGTCCTATATGGACTATGCCTCTTGCCAATTTAAATGACTATAACATAGAGCCAGCTTTTAATAGCAAAGGATGACGTATTATGGAAGTAATCAAAGTATTAACGATTTACTTATTACATTTTTAACTAATGACTATTAGCTACTTTCTCTATAGTTGCAACACTATGTGAAGGAGTCCCTAAAGTCAAATGTAGATATATTTGTATACACTGCTGTTTTTTAGATTAATAAATAACCAAATCTTAAGTAATATAATGTTCTAACCTACTACTACATAGATAAGTATGACTATGTAATATACTTTACATACTGTGTAGTTACTAATGATGGTTCTATGTGTTCCGGGTATTTATCATGTGTATAAGTACATATTTAGTTTGATTATAAGAAGCGTAATTTATTAATCGATAAAAATGACTAATAATTGTGGTGTCTTGCATGCGGTATGTATATATCTAAATACTACTACTATACATATGCTTTTTAAATAACCAAACCTGTTTACATTTTAGAATAAGTTGCAAAGAAATAAGTAAAACTGTAATGTTATATTTGAAAGTTGATATTTATATTACACATTACAGCAATGAAGAGGATATATTTAGGGAATGAACATTTCTGCTACTATGTCCCTTTTTTACGTTTAATACAACCTTCTGGTAGCTTAAGGTCGTCTTATCCAACGCAATGCAACAATTACTCTTTGTCTCTGTTTTGAAGGTTAGGATATACAGTACCTAAGGTATCTGTGACACATAAATTGACAAAATCTGAATTTTTAGAAGTAACAAGGGCAATGGCTTCGGCAGTTATACATAATGGAGTAACAAACATAGAGATCCTAGTGTTTTCACAAACTTTATAATAGAATTATTACCACCCGTAAACGTATCTAATACCTATATGAAAAAAATATCATTCACACAATTAAATCGGCCTATCTATTGAATTTAAAATGTATCTTTATTTCCACTTGGGTATATATTTTATATGAATAAATTATTTATAAACGAAATATATACGTTCATATGTAGTAAATTATGTTAACGAAGTAATGAATAGCTCTAAAGATTTTTAAAGATTCTCTTTAACATACTTGCCAAGTGACACCGACTTTCGATTATCCACGTAACCAGTTTTATTTAATTTTATGTCAATGTCAAATAAAGGTGGAAAGATGATATAAAATATAAATGTTTTATAGTTGTTTGCATAATCTTAACAGTTTTCAAGTTCAGTATTGAGGATAGAATGTAGGAATATCATTAATCTTTTGAGAAATAGGTATATTAGATATATATAGAGTAAATGTGATTGATATAATAATTTATGGTGATATATTTTAATTTATGGTGAGATGGTAGGCTCACCCCCTGCCATGTCGGATTTACATATACTTACATATATAAATTACATACTTAATATGTCAAGTGTCGTTATCACCATGACATCGATAGTTGACAATACTTCTAACTACCCAATCTGGGATAACAGTCGTGTAGGTCTATTGTTATTTTTAATCGCAAGCATTTTATTACTTTATTTTTACTTTCGTAAATTTTTAATGACACAAAATTTTGAATAATAATCAACGGTTTTGAAAGGAGAGCAAGATCTATCGACTTGACACTGTCGTGATAAGTGATTTATTTAACCTATCCACATTTTAATATAGTCCATAGCAGATTTGTTTTTTTACCACAGCCATTCCCCGCACCAAGTTGTATTAACGAAATGTTAACGACGGGATGAGTAGGTAAACTAGCGATATCCGGGTGTAACTGATTATGTAAGAAGTTGTTAGCCCAAAGCCAAAGATTGGGCGCGCACCGCTACAATCTCGCAGCTCTCTGTAGCCCGAAGTTATTGTGGATGTAGCAACGACGTCGCCTCACGGCGCGGCGGCACGGCGCAGCGCACAGTGCGTCGCGTCGCCGCGCCGGTGGCAAAATCTGCAAATGTAATCGACTCATAATCCTTCATATACTATAATATAATATTTCTATCTAAACAGTGACCTCTTAACCTACAAATATAAAAAACCTTTTAAAATATTTTTATTTAACTTTTTCGATGTAAAGTAATAGCAGTAGAGCCCTAAAGGTAGTTTAATCAAATTTTGATCACCATCAAATAAAAAAATTTGATTATTTTGCCAGAGGTATTGAGATGTTATTAAGGACCCTTCACCTACATATCTATTTATATGGTACAATATTATAATTATATTTGGTCCAAACAAAGAAATGCTGTGAAAAGTAAAATGTATACATCAGAGACATTGAGTTCATTCATATCGTATCTGAATTTTATATACATACTATGTTTAATTAAATTACTGTATATATAAGTAAATTATCATACAAGTAAAGAGAGTAGAAATATGTTAACATTATTTGTTTGGATTATTTCCACACCGAGTACAGTTCGCACTTGTTTACTTTTGATATTTTATATTTATTCGTTGTTAGGCTTGTCACATTATCGTATATAAGTGACAAAATAGAGAGTAGAGGAATTGCTAATATTATTTAAGACGACAATTACACAAAGACAAAGAATTGGTCGGTTGAAATTCTATCTGTAAACTAATAAAAAGATAAGTTAGATTTTCACACCAGATATACCCAAATATCTATCATCATATCATAATTTTTATAGCTACATTGTACAACATAAGAAATAGTTTTGAATATAAAAACATGCTAAACTTATATAATTATCTACCAATATCGCCGCCAAGTAGGCGCGCACGAGTCAAGGATCCTATACAAGATATTTCCTTTCACTTGCGACAATGCGCTAGTACCTACACACCTATATATTACAGCTCATGTATAATTTGTGAAATATATAGAAAACTTGGTGGGCTGAATTAAAATAATAAATGTAAATGGATTAATTAGTTTTAACATTTATGTTTTATAAACCAACTAAAAATCTTATAGTATACCTAAATATATAGTTTAAATATACTTTTATTTGCAATTACCATGATTTGCAGTCATCGACTCAGAATTTAATCGAAACGATGTCCATTAAAAATGAAATGTCGGTTATTTATTCACATACCTACGGTAACATAAATAAAATAAAAAAACGATATATTATACGTGAAAAGAGACAATACGAAAGCAAAAACCTAAATTAGTTAGAAAAAAAAAATATAAATTAGATTCAATTTCGATACGATAGCATCGAAAACTAGCCTGACAAATCTCTAGATATCAATTTTGAACACATCTAAGTAGTTGTTTTTATAGACACTCAGATTATTTATAGCATTATACAGTATTCATCAATAACAGGCTTCATGTAATAAATCTCGTCAAGACGATTGTTTTCGTTGAATTTTTTTGGGGTTGCAATGTAGGTACACATAAGTATCCTTGATCAGACAAGTTCTAACTCAATTATGCAGGAAAAGAACTTAAATATACAGCAAGAAATGACCTCGGAAAATGACATTGATATGCCTTCTGAAAGTTAGGAAATAACGTATGGACAGGTTCTTGTTCAATTACAAGCAGTGATATGCCATAGTCATAATAAATGGGAGGAAGTCACAGAGGAGACATTCCTTGATTCATTATAGTATTTGTAATCATATATTACATAGTTCACATTTAGATATTGTAAATCTAATGATTAGTAATTGCTAAACTTCTTGTCATACTACACTTTTGAAATTCACGAAAAGATATGAATATGTTAGCAAAATGTAACCATACCATAAAAATGTTAAGAGTATTGTTATAGTCCAATTCCATCCCTTACAGCAATGAATTAAATGTTATATTACAATATGTTGACATTATGGGTAAATAAGACTGTGATTTCGAGTGTACTTGAGGACATCCAACTTTCACTGCTTTCACTGAAGACACCATCACGCTTTTTCTATCATACATAATATCTACAATCAAAGTAGCCACAGCTCTCTATTTATTTAGATTCCAGTAACAATGCAATTGTTTTTCATTGTCCTTATTCTTTGCTTCGATGAACTCTGTTATTGCAAAACAAAGTAGAAAGTTTGTTTGACGTTGAGTATATGCAGATAGTTGAGTGATGATGTGCAACTAACCACCTACGAGGTGTCATGAGAGAATAGCGTGTTGGTGGCGCCCAGTGCCTATTGTCTTATATGATTATTAGCTAGTAATGCATGCCACTATAATGCGTCAGGCTCCTTCAGACCTTGAGTCTACTACACACATTCGTAATGATATAATACAAATAAAAACAGAGCTTATCTGTACTGCAAGTTTTTTTTGCTCAAAAGTTTTTCCGCATCTTGCAAATATTTTTCAGCATAAAAAACCATATGTAAATTTTAATACGAAGTTGCGTATTTTGATTAAGAACACAGACTATGTTAGAAACATAATACGTGAAAATATTGTACCTAAGCAGCGTCATATTTTATTTGGCAAACAAAATGCACAAAGGAGTTCATTCGAACTTTGATGACCTTGGACAGTCGATAAAATCAACGAAAAAAGATTTATACAGAAATATCCTGTATATGGTCAATACCCTAACATACAAAGGTAGTTTGCTTTTTTCTGTATACATTGTTATTCTTATTATTAACATTCACATACCTCTCTGCATATTTGGTTAAAAACCAACTACATATATAAGCACGAGCTTATTAAAATATTCCGTGAGGGGCTAATGACTTCAGTCTACTTGTAGAAAACTATTCTTAAACACTTTCATTAATCTAGAAGCCAAAATCCTATAAATTTTGGTATTGTTAATTAAAGAAAATATGAAATGCTTTTTTTATAACTTGGATGGCAAACAAGTTGACAAACCTGTTATACATATTAAGATTATTATGATTTTATATATATAGAATGATAAGTATATTATTATAATATTTGACCAGTGGGTAACTTTGTAACTCTTATAATCTCACTGCAGTTTCTCCTCATAATACAAGAATTTAATAACTAACCTTGGACTCTTCCCAAACAGCTTGGTATAGGATTTTATTTCGATATTTCCTTCTCTTTTACTTCTGCAGGTATTTGACCTTAATTGTATCTTACGACATTCTTGGGATAAAAAGTAACGATGACACATTATTCTTACTCCGTCCGCACACGGAGATAATATTTATAACTAGCTGATCCCGCGACTTCGTCCGCGTGTAATTTAACTTTATTTTTTCTAAAACAAAAGTAGCCTAAGTTACTTCTTATTACATCAGTTACCTTTAAAATCGGTCTAGCCATTTCAGAGATTAGCCGGAACGAACAGACCGACAGACAGACAGACAAAAAATTTTTTCGTATTTATATTCATACATGTAGTAAAAAACGGTTATTTCAGTATTACAAACAGCCACTCCAATTTTATTTATACGTATAAATGATTATTTACCATTTCACTAGCTAGTTCGCCACTTATTTATTATGTTTAAATATTTAATTTTTTTTTGACATTATGATTTTTTGATAATTATTATGATTATATATCTTCACGACGTTTAATTAGCTTACACATTATTGTGCATTAATAGGTATTTTACGAAATAACTTTAATGTTCTGTCTGTTTGTTTTCATTTGACTGCCAAAAATAGACATATCTTGATAATTATTTTTTAAAGGTAAGAGAATTAGATTTGATTCAATTATTTGATAGAGTTTACTTTTGCATTGGTCCCACATGAAGTATTTCAGAATTTTTGGTCAGATATTAGTAGTGAAAAATGTAAATGTATTTGGATATTGTTGTATTTACATTTTTCACACACTAGGGGAAAAAGGCAAAAAATTGCAGCATTAAAATACAACATAATATTTTTGTGTTTGTATTTTTCAATTTATTAAACATACTTACATTAGGAAATCACATAAAGTATACAGACAAAACAGATCTATTAAATATTTATATGAGTCTATATTACATACAATTAGGTAGGCTTAGACTATAGACGGGATTATGACCCGGTACAAAATGAAATCGCAGGAAAACACATTCATAGTACATTAATTAATTAATAATTATTATTAACTATTGTGCTAAAATGTTGCGGGAATGTATTATTGTTATTTTAATTGAGTATTTGTACCTAAGAATATGTTATCCGTGCAATCTCGAAACCGAAATTTTACATAATAACTAATTTTTTGAGCGCTGTACGCGCGAGATCGTTGCGCTTTAATAGTGGCCGTCACCTGTGGGGTCATTTAGCCAAGGATAGTTTACAGGACACCTTACGCATGTTTGCAGATTGATGGTTTCACCGGGAACCTCCTTAGATGTCAATTTGCAAGAGTGTGGTACCCAGCAGGCTGGGATACCTTCTACTGCGCACTTTTCCCTCCATGGTTCGAAGTTCTTTGCCTCTGATACAGTGCGCGGGTTCTGTATCCATTGAATAACCTGAGTCATTGTTACGAAATAGACGTCATTGTGGCTAGAGAGGATTTCATCGATCCAGTAAAGGAATGCCTCTAAAAACTCGGGATTATTCTTCAACCAAGCAGCGTGGAAGTATAGACCCAAAGGTGCTCTATTTTGTTCGTAATGCCGATCGAAGTTATGATTTAAGAAATTGTAAAATTGATCTCCAGTCAATATATTAGAGCAAGAATCAACCATGGCACAACCTGGTAGATACTCATCATTATTAGGATCTTCTCGTCGATCTAGTTCGTTCATCACCATTTCCCAAACAGCATGGCTGCGGGTAGGGCAGCTTTGTAAATTACCATGGCATCGGTGGGGCATTCTAAAATACATGGTATAAGGCCATAGAGGTGGGTTCGATAGCGGTGCTGTAATTGTGCTGTCATATAAGAAAGCTTGTTCTTCCATCATAGTAAATTGATTATTGCCACCGACTCGCAAATAAGGTGCACGGACACCCACTACGCTGTTATCAGTGATATTTGAAAACTTCTCAATAATGACTCTCATACCAGCCATTTCTTTGCTCCAATCGTCAACGGTGGCGTTACTCCAGAAACGTTCATCATCATTGTGCCTGTAAAAAAACAACAGATGTTTAGTCTAATATTGAAGATCTTGGAATAATAAAACATATGATGTAAGTATTATTTCTAATACCGCGAACTTACGTGATGGAATGGACTGCAATCTCGTGACCTTTACGATGTGTCTCTTGAACACCTGAGTAGTTTGTGTATTTGTGTGAGATGAAGAATGTAGCTTTAATATCACATCCATTGGGATTTTTACGTTTTCCATTAAATATTTCTTTGTAAAGCTCAATGTTGTTGTTGTTTATAGCATCATCGAATGTGATTGTAATCATCTGAGGCACGTCTCTCGCGGGCAGGTCACCAGGAATTACTGTACCGTCTTCTGAGCAGAAACAATCGGGTAACACGCACTGTGTAGGATCACACGGCGGTGCCCTGTTAGGGTCATTGTCGATATCTGTAACAAATTATACTATTCGTAGTATCGCTCCATTGCAATCTATTTAATTGAGGATATTAGTATTTTGTGGAAACTATTATACAGTTTTGGAAATATTATTGTGCAATTTTTCTCATTATGAATATTACACGAATTGCATATCTACACTATAAATACTTTATTGCAATTTGCAGATATTATATATACGACGGTTATGAAAGTGTGTCATTGCTCAATTTTATTTGGGTTTCCTTGATTTGAAATATGTTTAGACTAAATTCATGGTAAGATTGTGATATAATTTGTTACTGGGTAGCGATAGACAACAGTCTGCGCGTATGCAGAGGTGTATGATACTGGGGCGGGGCAAGAGTCAGAACCAGTATGGGTACTTTCGCTCGGTCAAATCATTTGCCACAACTGACACTAGTTGGATTTCACTTTTGATTCAGGTATAATAATACTCTATATGTGTTAAGAATAAGTTTACATAAATATAGCTTCTTTAATTTTTTATTAACCGCGTTAGATGTTTTTATTAAGTAATTGAAATGGTATTTGATTGGTATTTTAATACATAAAAATAAAATATAAGGGCAAATTTAGTTGTTCTTTACAACATATAGGTATATATCGAATATTTATTTTATTTTAATTAATAATTTTGTCATACAGTTATTATTGAAGTAAATAATACTTCAATATATTATCAACTGTATCACAAAATTATTACCTTAAATCTAAGCAATGTCCACATATTTATAATGACAATATATATTTCTAAATTAAATTACATTATTAGTCTATCATTATAAAATCATCAGGTATAAATTATTTATTGAAGAAAAGAATTAATTTTTTAGGTTTGTTTTGTTAATGTATTATATATATTTTTCTTCACATCATGAACTACACTGTATAGGGTTCGTGCTCATGACGAATTTAAAGACTTTGTATCCGCCTCAGGTACTTCATTAAAATTCAAGCAGAACTTCGCTTTAATTTCAAGTCTATATGTATCTGCTCAATAGTAATATATCGTATGAACCGGTCTCGTGCGCCACATTGCATATCAAATATCTAACTCGTAGAGCATAAACATATAATACACCAATCGTGACTGTAATAGGAATAAAGGCTATTTTCAAATATCGTAAATTTGAAAATGTTGATACATATAAGAAACTCCCCATTTGCCTAGATATGTTACGACATAGCATTGAGATGTTTTTTTAGGCCAAGTGATTGGCATTTCAGGCAGGTCGTTCGTCACGCCTCGCTATTTAAAGTTGGTTCAAGTTCAATTGCGTATTATACTTTTAGATTTGGTTTCACACGTGACGTGATATACTTAAGGGTGATACAAACCTACGACATATTCGTATAAAATAACTTGTAATTTCCATTGTAGTATATTTTAGAAAGGTTTTGTATTGTACCAACTTATATATCAAATAAAAATCTTACCACATGTGTTTTCATCGGAACCGTCAGCGCAGTCCTTTTCACCGTTGCAGAATAGGCCGCGTTCGATACAAGTTGAGTCGCCGCAAGCCAACGAGCCGTCCTGGCAGAGAGGCTCCTCAGTAAACAGCAAGGGTTTCACTTTCCGTTCTTTGTTCTTTAGTTTGCAATTCTTTACTGCATCTTTCCAGTCACATGTTTGCTTTTCAATATCAAAATATAAACCGGCTGGGCAACGTATAGCTTGAATTCCCTATATAAAAAATAATATTTATTATTGTAATAAAAATAATCTTAATACAATTTCTATTTTACTAAAATTTTCTTTTTTATTTTATTTTCTTCATTATGAATAATAGCAAAATTTTTAATAATGTATGGAAGTAGGATAGATTATACTTTTGTTTACAAAAAGAATAAAATTGATTAACCATTCTATGCTTGTAGAAGATAAACATATATTCTGAAGAAACGAAATACATACATAATTATATTATGTAGGTATAAATAAAATAGACATAGTTGTTATTATAATAAGATGTGAACGGATTAGCTCTGGCAAGGACAAGGTCGAAGTTTAAAAGTATCGTAGTTAGTCGTCTCTAGACGCTTGGATACAGTTGGAAAGGTATGTACCGACGTCTTCACATCTTCACTAAAATGTAATATAACAATTTGCCTATATTAACATAATATCAATATTGAAATTTAGGCAATCGATATATACATTTATATTACAGACATTTAATATAACTAATTAGGTACATTTCCATAGACTAATTGCTGTTGAGCAATGCAGGTGAGGTTCAGTTATCGTGATCATTTCGATTACATCATAAAGTATCTACTAATTGTATGGATTCTACATTCATCTAGTTTACTTCAGTTACTTATAAATATTTTTTTAAAAATATCTGTTTATACATTATACACATGTAAAAAATAATTAACAGATATAACAAAATTATACATGTATATGAAAAACATAAAACGAATAGTTGTTACCGAGGCAGTGCATTGGATGACGTCGCGACAGTTGTCGCCCTCGCCAGCCACCAGCCGGAACCACTCGCCAGCGTCCTTGTCCTTGCATAGCTCTTGCTCCAGGCTCTCGTCTTTTTTAGCTGCATCATCTGCTTGCCGCCGCCATCGATGCATTCGATGCTCGTTCGCAGCGGCTAGTAATATTATCAAAATTTAATAACTTTTTATCAATTTTCGAGACTGTTACACCTAAAGAGATTTATAAAAATAATATCTCAGAGACCCGGATGTGGGTCATCGTCTGAATAAGTCACAGTAATCATGTATATACATGTATTCCCTCCGGAAGGAATTCTTGAATAGATAATGAAAACTGTATTTATTGAAACTCATTCCATGGTTTAAAGGACGTGGACGCGCTTATGTTTCTTACAAACAGATGAAAACGGCCACCTTACTAAATATTATTTATAAATTTTCTTTCTAAATTAATTTACAATTTCAAGCAGCTATTTATTTTCAAATGTTGGAAAACAATTCCTTAGTTTTTTTTTCAAACTGAAACCAAATGTCACTTAGAAATAGTATTTAAATGTCAAAGGTGGGGTGAGCGCATATGACATTTGACTCACTTCAAAATGTCAGCGCTTGGGCAAGCAGCAAGGACGACTCTTTCTATGTCTTCTGTCTATACCAAATGTATATTATGCATGGCATTTGGTGCCTTTGTGTGCGGTTCATATTGATGAAATTATTATAATTCGAAAAGGTTACGGAATAGTTGATTTCCTTGAATCACTCAGTAAAATCGTTAAGCCAAGTAAAATACTAAGCAGTTAATTTATTTCTTAATTCACTTAAAATAAATCAATCAAGCACTAGTTTATATGATCAATCTCTTTCAACTATCATGTACGCCCCACTGGTAAAAAAGGTAGTTTATATTATGTCATCTGCAATACGTTATCCATGTTGTTCTCACGCTAGTAAACATTGCCGAGTTTGAATATTTTTTTGTTAATTAATTAAGTGCTGTACATGAATATGGTTAGGTAATATTTGCTAAGAAAGAAATAAGAAACAAATGCGGGTCGTGTACATGAGTGGTGTAAGAACGTAACACAAGGAAACGCAGCTCTTGCAATATTATCTAACTGTCTCGTTTGCGCTTACGAATGGTTAGGCGCCTAGGTTGTGCACTACAGTCTACTCGATAAGCCGCTGTTGCTACATAGTTGTCTCGTCATTCAATATATTCTTAAGAAACATCACTATAAAATTGCGTATTTTAATCGATATTTTCTACTAGAGTTCACTTACGTTTAATAGTTCTTACATGGTAGTGTCTAACATAATAGTGTCACTAAAATTGAGAAGATCTACTGGACATCTGATTCAGTACCCAGGAATGCCTGACGTTTCATAGTAACATCAACTTTTTCTATATGTACAAACATATATATAAAAAAAAGAATTGAGATAACTTTTATTTCTTTACTAAACCATGAATAATAAAATTTACATACCATGACATATCATAAGAAAAAAATATAAACAAAAACTGGTTCTTTTTGACCCGGATCTACCACTTGTGGAACATCTGTCCGGAACAAGTGCGCTCTAACTAGGCATGTTAACCCTTCATCTTATTTAAATTAAATATATATCGATTCTACTTTCCAAATCATTCCACTTCATTTTCAAACATTCAAATGAGTAATATAACTAAGAAGAAGCGTGTTTATATATTTTTTGAGGTTATAAGGCATTATTTAAATTTTCGTAGCACTACGCGCGTTGATGTCTTTTCTATGATAGGTTAGTATAAATGACTGTAGTACATTATTAGACCTTGGTATTAATTTCTATGACAAATTATTTAAATAATAAAAATAGATATAATAATATAAATAGATATTTGATTTATTTTATTATAAAAATATAATAAATATGTATTTTGTTATTATTATTATTACTTCTATGTAAAAAAAATGTATTTGTCAATTTTAAAAAAATTCATGAGTCTTATTCGGATTTTTGAAATATACCCTAGAGAGTTAAAAAAAATCAATAGTTTTAATTAGTTATCTCTTGAAAGGCTGAAGTTGGGAGTGGAACTGAAATATATAGGATGTATGTGAGTTGGCGTATTCTCTATTTATTTTTTATTCAATTTGTTATTATATTTATCTTTGTTTTATTTTACTGTTGTGATCTGACTAATAAACGATTGAATTTTTATATTAGTTTGATCAATTTGTTAATAACTTATTGATCTGCTGAAAATAGTTTGATCAAATGTATATGTGGCGCTACCGGTATATCTTATGTAGGAATGGAAAGAAACGGCTTCGTTACTGAATTTTATGTATAATATAATTGAAAACTATGTTACAATTAACGTTATTCTTTAAAAAAAGAATGTTATCATTATATAAGTACCATTGTATAAGTACTTTAAATTTATTGTACAGCTTTCCTCTTGGCAACATAATGTATAGTCGTTTAAATTATGTTTATTTTGATTTGTATTACGTAATTACTAGTTTTTAATACATATGTATATACATAATGTACGTCATTTCCAAAATAAACCAACAAAATACCATAAATGATAATAACCTGCAGCTCTAGTACCGGTTATTGTTAATATGTTTTTCAATAAAAAGTATATACATTGGAAAAGTTTCGAGAATACATTTCTCAAGGTTATTAAAATCTTTTTATGTAAACAGGGACAACTTTAACAGGAGGTAATTCTAAAAATATCTCTAAATTGCTTGTTTTTGACATTCATATGACGTAGTTGTTTACAACGGACGGAACGCGAATGTCAAATGGACAGTGGACGGCAAAGCGCGCGCGGCGCGGCGGGCGGCGATAAGTATGCGGGAGGGCGCGGACACGGGCGACGACCGCATGGCGCACAGTTCGCATACCGAGCACCGAGAGCCGAGCAGCAAACACCGACGCGTACCTACACGGGTACCGTGTCCAATACCGACCTTATACATATTCAGTGCCACTTCTCGACTTTCCTTTTATAGATATGTTCCTTTCAAACAACCGCTGTATATTGATAACGGACAAAAGGCGTTTCCGGACGAATGTTCTATTTTGTTTCAGATTACTTACAAGTTACAACATAAGTCAAGAACACAAATGTCATAGAATAAAATGGAGGGCATACTCTCCGATTGGGCTATAATTATCAACAAAAATAACTTGAATCTCACTTGTATTATTATATTGCAACTCGTGGAATTGTTTACTATAAGCAAGAAGATAAGCAGGATTAGATGATGTTGTATATTAGAGCATGTGTTCAGGAACTACTACTACTAATACTAACTACTATTATTTCTTCAATAATTTGCAGTTATCAAATCGATCCACCGAATTTGTTTCCTGTCCTATTCCACGTTTTATACGGAGCCATAGGTCCTCCTATACGAAGTCGAATGGTTATATATATAATTTACGATTTTAATTATGTATAATTTATAAGGTTCAGATTAAATCTTTAACATAATATCATAATCTTTAAAACCAACTGCCTGTGGAAAGTTGGTTTTAAAGAGTATGAGGTACTATCAATTTGACTTCTCAATGAATTAACCAAATATAATTTTAATAAGATTTTACAGGTAACTCATTAATTTTAACGTAAAGTTGTTTTCATACATCTACATATTTGTATTCTATGAAAGTGCCGTTTCTATGAAAAAAACAAAGTTTGCTCTACTGAAAGTGTTCAGAGTTAAATTTTTTTGTTGTTTAAACGCCAACATAGTTATAAACATTTCCGTTTTCGTGCTGAGAAATTATGGATAAATTAGATACGCTTATTAAACAAGCGTAACCTGCTTATGGCATAGTTACTGGCACGCAGTTATGGCACAAGCGACTGACACCGATATTACAATCGTACATAAAACATATTGGTGATATTATGCAAAGAATTGTAACTGATTTAGTTTTGAAATTTGAAGTAAATTAACCAAGTAGTTGCAACTAGATATAATTAGATTTTTGTTTTATTTGAGATATATTTTAAGAATAAGTGTATAATAAGAATAATAAGAAATGATAGTAAATACGAAAAAAAGGTATTTCAATAGTTATTAATACTTTTCTTAATACCATGATTATGAAGAATTAAGAGTTTCCAGTAAGTGACTGACTATAAGTAACTATAAGTTTTTAGTAAGTATTATACATAGATATATAATTACTAAAAACTTATAGCTGTTATTTAAAAGTTATTATTTAACCGGAAATAAGGATAAAACCGGTTGGCTTTAAGCATACAACGTATAAGGTAAGTTTCCCGTTTCATATAAGGCAACCAATAACTTGAATAATATTATGAAAAAAGAATGGCCCGTATGACAATAAAAGTATCGTGCACTGTTGAGTTGAATCAGGTAAGATTCAGTACTATCATAAATGTATTAATTTGTATTTTTATGGCACAATGATACAGTTCCTTGTTAATTAATATTTTATTTCTAAATAGCTTTCGACAGGTCTTTTCTTTTTTAATTACACATAAAAATAAGTATTTATTTAATTATTTTCTTTGTTTTGAATTTAACATTAATTTCAAGACACAAACTTATGTAGACGATGTAAATTTTACAACGACTTATAGAAAGATAATAACACCTCACAAAATAACACACCTGCTCAAATAATTTCTAGGATCGTTGGTGATCTGTAATTGTGTCTCTATAATAAAAATGAGTATCTAGAGAAAGAGATACAAATTTATTTTAATGGGTATTCTGTTTTTATTAAGTTTGGTACTCTGATAGCTATTTCAATATTGTTTTTGAGACTATTAATGATCTTCGTTAAGTTTTGAGTTTGAGTTAATATTATAAAGCAAGTTTATATTTCTATTTATGTAATGTGATTATTTTATGTACATATTAAAATAATTTTTTATATTTTTTGTATTTTTTCATTAAATATATTAAAGCTAAGTTAATGTTATGCTTGCTTGTAAATCAAATGCATGGAATTCATTTCCAAGTGTTTCAAAGTTTAAGAACTAAATTTTAATAATATATTACAATGTGTAAAAAAATTATCAGCTATTTAGAATCTTATTATTAAGTGTGAATAAAGTATGCGATAAAATAAGTTAAAGTGGAGGGAAACTTCAATGTTACATTTAGATGTGCATTGGTTGTTATGTAAACAATATTGTTTTCTATACTTTTTTAAACTACAGAATACTACAGACTATTTCCATAAATTAAATGAGATGAGAAAAATGAGATGAGTAGACAAAATACAGATTAGAATAGTAGCTGCTAGCTGTAGAATTAGGTGAAATCTACGGAAACCCCTATCTATAAAAAACACTAGTATATATAGTACTAGTACATATGTAGTTTACTATATATAGGTAATCTATCTGATAGCACATGTTAATTCTGTATTAATATATGTCGAATCTAAAAAAACAAAAATATAATATTATTGAACTTATTAGTTCATCCAATTGACACGTAAATACCGCTTGCTCGTGTCTAATAAAAGTATAATTAATTATTTAGTAAATATCATAGTTCAATAAATAGTTACTTTTTGTTATTTTATACACATTGCAAGTGTTAAAGACTTCGAAACTAACAACATTACAAACTACATTATATAATGTGAAAGTCATTGCTACTTTTGGGGCATTGACAGCATAACAATTTATATTAATAGTAGGTACCTTCTACATTAGTCTTTTAACACTAGCTATTTGTTTGATAGTTATTTTACCAATAAACTAGCTTGAACAGGTTCGATTCGCCTCGACTCGCCTTGCCTTTATTCCCTGTTTTTCGTGTTTTAGCTATTATTAGATGGCGTAACACGAGTTTTCCTACTTTGATATAATTTTGTCCAAATATACTGTAATATATAAATTTACCTTCACATAAATATAATAGCTGTAATATATAAAGTAATGATAAGTCTCGAAGAATGAAACCAATTTGTAATTTTATATGTCCTGTTTAAATAACAATAGTCCATCTCGAAAATTCTGCAAAGCGTAGTCCTCGAACCAGGGGTTAGGTTAGATCAATTATTTCCTCCTGGTCAAAAACTTCTAAGACGGGTAAGAGTTTGAAAATATAAAGTCAGTCTGCGGTTCCCAACGTAGGTAAGTTGAGGAGTACCATCTTAGCAAAGATTTAAAAAACAAAGTCATTTACTTCTGGTTCAAATTGCATAGCATCATAAAGCGATAGTTAAACATATATGGAGGATGGAGGAAATTGGTCACCTTGACCCGTTCTTGGCTTGCGGGCCATATGAGCTGCTACAACCTTAAATAATGGCAATTCGTTTGCTCTTTGGTTACTCATATTACCTACTCCGAACTCCAATCAAGCCATGATTGATTCCTGTGTAGAGTAATTCATATTTAAATATGAAAAATAATTTTAGGTATTCAACATAACATATTATCTAGGTATTATTAATGTAAGTAGCAAGTGACATTTCTTTAATGAACTGTTAAGTACCTTGTCTATTTTACTACGTTATTTTAGAGATTTGTACAAATTTTCTGTATCAGGTATATATTACTCATTATATTCTTGTATTCAGTAATTTAATTACTTGAGTGGTTTACAATAAGTATTGCGAAATTTCTATTACAACCTAATTAGATTAACAAGGTTAATGAGTCAATTTAATAATTGGTGTTATGTACTGCAAAGTAGGTTAAATTAGCCAAATAATGATAATAAATTTTAAATAATTTTCAAATTGATTATACAATTCTTAACTCATATTAAATTTAATAATACTAGCAATAATCCGCAACTCTTACCATGTATTCTGTCCAACTAATATTGAAGTTGCGAAACTAGGGGTATGTTTCAGATTAAAGTTATATTTGCCTGGTTCGTGCAGTTTAGAGGTTCTTTTGACACCGGTTTATTATTGAGACTATCCTTTTATTATATTCATTTATATATAAAGGTTACAATGTGAAAAAAAACGATGATACTGAATTATAGATGAGGTCTTCATTAACGCATTTCTTACACAAGTTGCCGTATGCCGGGCCGTGCACTAGTTGCCGTATGTAATAATAGTAATTAATAGTAATAATAAACTCTTTATTGTGTATATAGAATACAATAAGAAAAACGGTAATCACAATCGTGATAATCGTTGCCACGGTGTGTATCATCGTGATATATAAAAAATATACAATTTTACATTAAGTTTATATAAAGCGCCAAAATTTAAGCCTGTTAATTAAACATTGTATAATCTAGACACCCTCATACATATTGGTAATGGGACGGAAAGACAGCAGAGTGTCAATAAGACACCGCTTTGCCCTTTGGAAAAAAATGAAAACCTTGTTTTCTTTGTCTTTTTTTACAACATACTTAATTTCTGAGTCTGTTAAAGCAGGAATCGTCTTTATATTATATTGAAAGGTTTGATTTTGTTTTTTGTTGTTTGATTATTGATTTTAGTTTATTATTATTGTTAGTTATATTAAATATTGAGTTTGTTGGTAAACACACTGTGTAACTAAAACACGCTTTGTGCACATGCAACATATGTGCATATTTTCAGATACTTTAGTTTGTGTGAATACAATATCTCATCTAAAACTCAGCATAATATAATAACTACCAACATCATATTTGTGTTATTAATAGAATATTTCAAGGTCAACTTTCAACTTTATGATCACCCTCATTAAGACATGTGGGAATATTATGATTGGAATTGATGGTATTAAAGTCCTCTGTGAATAGAATAGAAAATCCTTTATTCAAATAAACCTAATTTAAGCACTTTTGAATAGTCATAATATTTTTTTTAATCTACCGCTCATTCGGAAAGCTGTCTCTCATCACAAGAAGAACGAACAAGAAACTTGTGAAATTATACGAATGGCGAACATCTATGGGAAGCCAAATGTTAGAACTTTTTAGTAGGTATATTTTATTGTCTTCTATCATCACTTCATAGTGGTGGTACATAAGTATTTACGTAGCATGACGTCACTAGCGCAGGCGCAGTGCAACATGGAGCGAATGTGAAAGTTCTAGGTGTCACAGTGCGCCATCACTACAGGTGCTAAACAGTTGTATTATCACATACTTGGTTAGTCTGTTGTACAAAAAATATATATTCACTATCATACCTTGGTTTAAGTATGGTTAATAATATATATATATATATACTGATTTCCGGAGAACACAATATGAAAAATTAAAATATCAGTTGCATTTTAAAATAGGTATAAATCACAACAGCCAATTCTACCAACAAAAGTCGTGCATTCATCAAATGTGCCAATGTTTCGTACAATACTTTCGAATGTAAATAGAGACTGATTAACAGTTTTCGCAAGACCGGTACGTTTTCTCTATTGAATCACCGAATTGAAATAAGCTATTGCATTACAAGTAATATTATCCATTGCACCGGCACACTTGTATGAGACACGATACTTGCCAGCAATTTGCCGTTTAGGTATCCTTGAAACGCAGTGCCTGGTTATCCTTTAGACGATCGATGCAATGCAATCTTGATTGGCTGCATTCATTGGTAAGTTATTCCGAGATACGGAGTCTATCTCGCAACGATCGGGCTCGGGGCTACATCACTGTTCACTATGCGACACACGACATTGAAGACAATCACTGAATTATTTGGAGTTGTGCGGATGTGACGTCGCATCACCCATGACGTCGCGAGATGGACGGGATATGAGGCGTAAGATAAAGGTTAGGACTCACCGCAGGCAAACAAGAGACACGCGACCAGAGTAGCGACACGGGCGTAGCGCGCCATGACGGGATCACAACAGGTCGTTGCGCGGCCGTCGTGCGATTAAATAGTGGCCTCAATCTGCGCCCCGCCCGCCCCTCTCGCCCACAGCACTCACACTTCTGCCAACACCCTTCGCACTCATCAGCTGTGAATCACCTGCATCTTCTGGACTATCAGTATACCTTATAATAGATAAGACAGAACTTCTTATACGCATTCGATAACTATGTTATAAATCTTAGCTTAGCGAGAGAATGGTGCCTTATTTCCTTCACTTAACGATGACGGGCGCTGCTTCTTGTTTATGCAAATAAGAACCTCAAAAACAAACATAGGTATATCTCAAATAAATATATACCTTTTATTCGTATTATTTTTAAATTAACAAGGTGTATTTAAGTATTTCAAGTACTAAGTATTATAGTATAATAAAATCATAAGAACCGTAAAGTCGTTGATAAAATATTGTTGCAAAAATTGTGTTGTTTAGTACACAATTAAATCAAATTACCTATTTTTATTGTATACATTTGTCAGTAATCTCGACATATTTATAAGAAGTTGGTGTTAGAAAATTCTTATAAAGTGGCGTATATTTCATCAGAATCAACCGCGCTAACGATTCATAATAATGCGGCTACGTTGACGACAACGTTGCGGACAACTCGTCGTAAGACAACTAGTTTAGAATAAAAAGACTGAAGAAGTGTAGCACCACTAAGTAGTTGCATACTTCTTCTTCTTATTCTAAGTTATTTGATCAGATTAATGCAATTGAAATTCCAGGATGAATAAACTGTATTACTTCTAAAAATAGTGTTTATTCTATTACAATATTAATAATCATTATGAGAATATCCTAGTAAATAATATACACATTAAAAGTGTAATTTGATCGAAATATAACATTATCATTAAAATTTATTAACATTAATACAATTAATAACATTAAAATTACAAACCAAAATAATTCAAGCAATGCCACGACGCCACTCCTGTGAGCTAACCCCTTTTTTAACATGAGGTATAATCTTTACAAAGTCAGTGCTTCCGCTGGCCTGATGGCGTGGAGATGTGTGAGATGGGAGTCTAAAAACTGTGATAGGTGTAAAAAACTGTGACATAACATGTGAGACTAAAAATGTGTATAATAGAAAAAAATCTTTATGTAAGGAAATTAGAACCGAACATTAAAGAAGAAGCAGAAATGAAATGAATCATAATTATCTATTAAACAAGTAAACACAGTTGTTTTTGTTGGAACCAATTTATTATATACTAGCTGTACACGCAACTTCGTCCGCGTGGAATTTAACTTTATTTTTCTAAAATAAAAGTGGCCTAAGTTTCTCCTTATTACATCAGCTACCTGCCAAAAAAAGTCCCGTCAAAATCGGTCAAGCCATTTCAGAGATTAGCCGGAACAGATAGATAGACAAAAATTAAAAAAAATGTTATTTTGGTGTATTAAAAAACGGTTATTTCAATATTACAAACAGACAGTCCAATTTTATTTATATGTATATTACTTATGTATAACATATCCAATAATAGAACGATATAATTCGGAATGTTATACAGAAGTTGGTTCTTTACAGTTAGTCTAAGTAATCTCTAAGAAAATAAACAAATTTCCAATTTAGGAATTCAGAAAGAAGATAGAAAGAACATTTTCCTGTTGAGTACCCAGGGTATTCTATATCGCTGCATCCACTGCTTTCTTCAAACTCATACTTACTCAATTTTATAACAACAGCACTAACATCACGTAGTTATATGATACTCATATTATCGAGCATACACTTCCATTCTTGAAGATAGTCCTATGCTTCCGTACACTGTAATTTCACTATCATTTTACCCTTTAAATCAAACACGGCTTATAAAGAAACTGATTGCCGGCAGAAACGTAGTCGTTGATCACAATTAGTACACAGCTTTAATGGTAGATTGTTTTTTAATAATAAGCAAGTTCTTTTTATATTCAATTACAAAATTTGTAAATAAAATAAATTTAATTTTGTATAGATATTGCTTTATTTAATAAAATTATAGCCAAGAGAGGTTCAACCTTCAGGTCATTGAGCTAACATATGTATAAAATTATTAATAGTCACAAATCACAGGAAGATTATATCACTAGAAAGAAAATAAATAAATCTTTCTACATAGATCTAAATCGTACCATAGTTAAAAGTACATAGTAATATCACCACTGAAAGTCCTAAGTTACGCTTTAGTTCAAGAATTTAATTTTTTTTTCATATGTAGGTACATAATGGTACCTACTTTATAATGATTTCTAGGTAGGTTATATATCCTATAAATAAAATTAAATACCTATTGGCTAATACAAAAGTAGATAGTTACCTAATATACTTTACTTAGGCTAAATTCTAGGCGACTCATGAAAGCACAATTTCTAATGGTTTTAATATTACATTTTAGTTATTGATGATTAACGGTGTAGATTACATTAACTACCTATCTGGTTATATTAGCAGTGTATTATTAGAGCTACACAATATTTTTAATTCTTTAACATTCGAGATTAGTAACTAAACGATATTAAGCGACATCGATGCTAATAAACCTATATTTTCTAGTAATGAATATCACAATATAGCTACTTAATACATATATAAAATGTAAGTATGAGGCAACACCGACTACAGATTTATCCGCAACCTTTGGCTATACATATTACATAATTGCAAAACATGCATCCACAGAACACACAGATGACTGGGCATCATATTATATGTCGAGTCAAGTATTTATCGGTTACAGACAACGTTACGGGTGACCTAAAATATTATGTGACAAGTTACCTATATTTATTTCAGTATTGAAAATTTGTAAATAAGCTCATCATTGTTAGTCATATCATTCAGATACGCTGAAGAGAATAGACTAGGTTTATTATTCATAGAAGATATTACAAATAACATATCTGTTATATTTCATATTACCTGCCGAACAGCAAATGCAACGGTATATTTACGTATTATTATATAATTATAGTGTTTTAATTTTGGGTTTTGTTTTATTGAGAGAAAAGAATAATAAAATAGAGATAACATATAGGCCCATAAGACTAGGTAGAGTGGCCACCATTGCTAGCAATGTAACATTTTAGTGCGTTTTCCACGTGGTCACCCCTAGAAACCATTTTGGTTATTTTCCGCTAACTGGCCTGAGTTGGTCTCAGACCAGTCAGTCTAGACCTCATACTAATGGTACCACGTCAGCGCAGGCGGGTAAATCATTCCATCATTATCCATAAAAAAATCCTAACTAAAATTTCTGTCATTGTGATAGACATGAAAATGACTAATTGTTCTAAAGAAGCAAAGTAGCATACATAAATGTTTCATAAAAATTGAAGTTGTCGATATTTATATATTAATGAAAGCTTATAAGTATTTTCTGAATGGGAAATGGGAATTCGAAATTTCATGGAAATTAACCCTTTACTTCCAAAGAGTATACGTGTATATTATAATATGATATGATTGACTCTACATAAAATTTTGATAATGAAAAATGTTTAGTAGATTTATTTTAATTATACGCTTAAAAACATTCCTCTTATACTTAGTAAATATTATGTACGATAATTTATATATGGTGATGGTGACATTTTAGGGCTCCATAGTCTTATTGCATATATATATATATATAAATATATTATTAAAATAATATATAACACATTTTTTACACATTCTTTCAATTTGGTTCACTAAAAAATATTATAAAAATAGGTACATGCTTTAAATGACAATCCATTATCGGTCAGGCTTCTACTGTTATTTGGGTTTGGTACAAGTTTTTGTTTCCATACAAAATTTATATAGGATTACATAATTGGTAAATTTGTAAATTTGATGACATTATGGTAAAATAAAACATTATTGTTTGTGTGATACTTAGATCTTATATTTAACTTGTGTTGTTGATTAAATACAGCTATTATTAAATTTCTCATGTCTTTGTTAAACTATGTATTTATATTAATTTTATGCAAATTACCAATGTCATTCAATCGTTTCGTTCACTTATAAAATAAATACATTCATAATTTAGCTCCTAAAATAGATTAAATTATTGCAGAACTTGTAATATGACAACCGATGACATCATAAATAAAATTAATTTTATGTAGTATAATACCTATTGTTTTTAAACAACTTCTTAAGAAATTTAAAGTAGTAAATATCAGTGGTTTATACGAAAAGATGACGATTGCATGCAACATATATATATAAACGGTCATATAGATTGTAGTTAACTATTGAATTTTATTGCTATTACGCCTTGTTTTGTTTCGTATCCAAATGCAAATTGAGTGTAAATATTGATTTATATAAAATTGTATATCAAATTTCTCTGTACTTGATTATATGTATTACTAGGGGTTAACAATAAATATTATTATTTGCATTAACCAGTGTTTAAATAACTTTAAATAATATGACTATGGAACCATTTGTTGTTAAAATAAGTCGACATGTGTTTACGGCCGAAAAAAACCTGTATACTAGATAACTATAGATACTCCACATGTTTTACACGAGTGTAGTATGTTGTGGGTGACAGGCATACAAAACATTAAAAAGTAGGCCATTTTCTAAAAACAATACAATAGATTGTGGGAAAATGACTATTACATTGAGAGAGATCTTACTAAATACAGTCACAGTAAAAAGTGCTGAAATGCATATTGCATGTATATTTACGTGCGATAACAATAAATATCAAGACCGTACAGTTGATCATTGTATAAAGTAAATGGTCAACTTTTTTTATACAATGGTTGCATTTAGTATGTAAGCAATCAATTCTGTGATTTGGTCAGAACATGTCAAGATATGGTCTAAAACATTGTAATTTATCATGAATGATCATAAACACTCACTTTACTAAATGGTCAACTACTTCATAAAATAATATGATAATTTCATATAGTTTCGATATTCCTATTGATCATGCCAATTAACGCGCAGCACTGTGCATATTATTTTTACGAGTACATTTTTTAATCATACAGGTGCATTTCAAAGCTCTTTCTTTTCTATACCTTTCAAATTAAGAGTATCTTAATAATAAAAATAATATATAATTATGTTATATAAAGTATAGAGGTATTTTTGCTATAAATTATACTGTACGAGTATATGAGTTTGGATTTGTAATTCATAAAAATTGTCATATACTTTTCAATCATGTTAATAATTACTAGAATATAAACATATGTATATGTTATAAAGCCATTAATAATAGGTCTATAATATATTTGTGCCTTTACCACATTTATTTATAAATGCAATTGTTTCTAATACATAAAAATGACTACTTTCCTATGGAGACTGATCGTATAGACACTCATTTATACTTATTAATTAATGTCACGAGTAATAACGACATTAGCCGAAATAGTTACGTAAACACCATTAGGCAACATTCACTTTCTCATTACTATTATCTATAAGAGAATTACAATAAATAATTAAGAGCCTTGTTAACGAATAAAATATTTTAAAAATCCTTTAGAAATTAGATTTTTTCATGATTTCTATCCAATAAAGACTATAGATTGTTTTAGATTTAGTAATGTAACTTTACTGATAACTCTGTTAAATTTCGTAAATATTTTCATTTTTGGTCACCTACACTTTTATCGCACAGTACGTTGATACATTAGGACAGATTTGTCAAGTACCGATATATTAAGAATATTGGTAATTTACAGAAATTTACATTTTAAAATATAAGGAAATATTGAGAGTCTTACTCATTTTTAACAAAATAATCGCAATAAAAATATATTTGACACTTTTATGATATATATAGCAAATTAAAGCAAACTAAAACTTCAGTTTTGAAGACTTCAGTTTTGTCTACTATATAAATCGAGCTGCCACAGAGCAACACTTTTGGTGTCATTTAAGTCTGATGTCAACTACGCAAGGCACTGATAGTGCTGTAAAATAGCGATTTTAAATTTATCCGAAATCTTTCCTAAGACATGATCATAATAGGTTGGGTTATAAACATTACAACATTATTCTCTTGAAATCGTACAGATATTAAAAGAGGCTATTTAGTCTAGTAATTTTAATAGACCACGTCTCTATCATCATCAATGACTGTAAATGGAAAAAAAATGTTTTTACATTAAGCCGCTGATATACATAATGTTTAATATCTTGTTTACGTATAATCTACAGTCTAAGAAATTATTACGGTACTCGTAAGAACTTAGGCGGTAAGCAAAGGGCGGCCGGCGTCATGGTCGGTGCGTTGTGGTGAGGAGCTTTGTACAGCCGCAGTTGCATCTCCATTTGCCAATAAAGCTTCACCTTCACTCACAGACTCCTCCATCTGAAACATTTAAAAACTAACCTAAGGGTAATCCATCTTGAAGTGAAAAAGTTAGAAAATATACAATAAACACATAAAATAAATACAATCTATAATTCGGCATGCATATTACAATTCAGAATAAATACTTTTTTTTTGTTGTAATTATATTTTGTCTATGTGAAAGCAATATGAGGATATTAATATTCGGCTGAAATTTTATATAAAAAACAGAATCATAATGTATATTCTAATAGGATTAAAATCTACACTTATGTTTTCATATAAACAAATCTATGTAGTACAAAGAAATAAAAAAAAATGTCATTTTAGTTGTACAACCTTATGAAACGTGTGCCATGAAATTATTTGAAAATTGTAAATTAAGTAAACATAATGAAATGAACAAATTTTGTATGACAAAAAATGTGATGACATTAGCGTATACGTATATAGTGAGATAAATTATAATAGAAATAATATTCAGAACGCGTCAACAAAATATATGTCTTTCTTATTATCAATTATGTCTATTAATTTATTTCACGATAATACTACATTAAATTCATAACCATATACAACTAATGTACCTAGAAAACACTCAGAGCGATATAAACAATTACACTCAAGAATACAAATGCTGATACCGTTTGAGAATCGGACCCACGACCATCAGAAGTCAGGTGGCATGGGCGGCGTGCTAAACTGACCGACCACTGAGGTCGTTAAATATATTTTGAGATATTTTGTTCAAAATCTTACTTATAATGAATGATATTTGAGATCATAACTAGGGATCAATTAGTGCATAAGAAGGCCGTTATTGAATACAGAATTCTGAAACTAATATCTATGACATTCAGATGATTAAGATTCTTTATGTTATTGTGGCAAAATAACAAAATAAGTTTTCAGAATAAATAACTTTAATATTCGCAAAATCACTTTAGAACTTTCATTCATTTATACATAAAGTACAACATATTACTATACAAACAAAAGAGACTAATAACTAAGTACTGATATACATTTCAAAGTCGTGTCGTAAATATGCATTTAAAAGATGATTAATTTTGAGTGTCAACGCAAATAATGGCTATTTTAACAGATTTTGAAAGCAGATAAGCTAAAAAAATATATACATTCTTATACATATAATTGGTAACAATTGCTAAAAAGTTAAGAGATGCAGCTTCGTTGCAGTTGTAGTGGTAGACAAACGAGCAACAATCTGAGCGGCCTGTCCGTGCAGGGCGACAAGGAAAAAATCGGCCTGTCCGGGTAGACTGTCCAGAGTGAGCCGTAATGTGTCGGGTTGACGTCGAGTCGTCGCCATACCATTCCATAGTTAACTATTATTATTAATAAATATATATCTAACAGATGTGTCCCCCATCCGCGTTGCATTAAGTAAAGCATACATAGTAAAAATAGTTTTTAAACTAAATATTACACTGATAGAAATTGACAAAAACCTCTCGGTATTGTTTGATTGATGATGATATATGGTACAAATAATATAGAATATTATACAATGATTTAATATTTTTCTAAATATGTAGTATATATACAACCTAAATAATATAATAAGATAATAATAATAACCCTGGACACTGCGCCATTTAATTCCAAGCTAAGTTTTTTTATACATACATACATAGAAAACACCTTGACGAATACAATCAATTATACTCAGGAAATAAATATGTACATACATAGTGCGGTGAATCGATCCCGCAGTAATCAGAAGTAAGTAACCACTGAGGTTCAATATTTCAATAAGTTTGGTGCTCATAATGCCTGCTTGCTCTATATCTCTACCGACAAAAATATTCCTTTATTTTCGACATAAAATCATCCTCAATAAATATTTATTTCGCGTTTGAGTTCATATAAAAAATTAAGGACATTATTAATTCAAAAATGTTTAAGCACAAGTTGAACTTTACTAAAAATATAATAAAAGGTCGCAGCTTATAGGTTGTCGAGTTATTACTATTTAGTCGTACAACCTTTTTTTAACGTCCTATATACTGAACTGACTTTACTATTTTATTTACTGTGAAAATAATTTAATTAACAACAAAAATCAAGAAATATATTGCCTTATCGCTATTATTGGATACTACAGAGAATGTATACTTCATTTATTGATATAAATACATGGTTTATAGCAATTCATAACTTTCTAGTAGCAATCGATATTTTAATTAATAGATATCATTTTATTTGATATAGTCACATTCGTTCAGCGAGTATATGGAATACTAGTTGTGAATTGACTATGTATTATACACTACACTTTGGTACATACTTTAAACTGAAATCAACAAAAGTCTGCAGATTTTGCTAAGCTGAAGACGAAAGGCCACTACATATCCTACATGGTTGTAGTCACTTATACATAAACGAAACATCTCCTTTGGAAAGTATACACTCTATCCTGAGCAGATAAAAGCCATTGCTCATAAGAATATCCTTCCAGTCTTGTCCCTGACCGGTCTAGGTAGAGAACTATGAAAAGAGTGGGTACAATCGATCTACATATTTAGGTCCAGAGCTACAGGTCTAAGGATCTGATAATACAAAAAGATTATACAATAATAACTTTGATAGGTACATATAGGTAAATAAAGAAAGAGGCCTTGTGAAATACTGCTTGCTGTCATGTTAGACCTTGTTCCTCTCTCCGGAAATAGTTATATCAGTGCTTTATATCCGGATATTATACAAATTATATACATTATACAAGTTTGTAATATAAATTATTATAGTTTGAAATGAACTTCTAAGGCAGCTTTTCCAATCATAACCAGTAGATACCTATAAGCACTTATTTCACCATTCTCCTACATTGGTGGTGTGTAGATGAATATCAATATAATTTAATCCGTATACATTCAATATACCATCATACTTAATTTTAGTACATGTGTTGTTGGCATAAGGTAAAAGTAGATCTCTAATATAGCTACGACATAAATAGGTTTATCTATTACACAAAGCTGACTACGCTGGAAAAAAAATTCTAAGCTTTCTTTTGCTATATGTTGATCCATGTGTAAAATCATATTCGGTGAAAATTTCATTTTAATTCCTTCAAGTGTTTTTCATAAAAGCTTAAAACTCAAGCAGATGGTTTACGGCTTGTCAAGATTTTATTATATTTAAAGATGATACTTTACTGATACTAATTTGATTCGCTATTTGCTTATTAGTGTTCCATATATGTATATCGAACGACAATCATTAAGCAAGCTCGCACAAAATGTGGTTAATTTCAAAGAACTTGTTTACAAATACACAGGTAGTTAGTAAATAACCACATTTGTAAATATGCACTCTGATCAAATTCCTAGTCATGAGTTATACAAGTTAAATTATGTAGCAAATTTTATGCAATATACTCGTTTACATATTTAATAATACAATTCTTCGTGGAACCAATTACAAAAATAATATAGTAATTGTTATTTAGCCATTCTCATAGTGGTGTTAATTTTATAAAAATTTTCACATAATATCCTATTAAGAGCAACATGTAGTTATTATACGGCATATTAAATAGTTTTGCCATTAACAATTGTATTATTTTTGACCTAGTGTAACGTAATAATATTGTGTATTATGCTCATTTAACGTTTTGAACTGAACAAAACTGCCTTGCAGCAAAACAGTAGTGAAATTCGTCAAAAATAATACATAAAGAATTAGGTCAGGCTAAATATTTTCCTCTTGTCATAACAAAAAAAAAATTACCTATAACAATCCACTTACAAAATCCTCTTGAAGTTAATCGTCAATAATCGAAATATCACAAATTTAACTTGAACATATAATTATGTCTACATAATGTATCTATTAATAGTTTAAGTATGAAAGTACTACTTATCTAGTTAGCATTATATGAGTATAGGTCTAAGATAACTACAATAGTAAGTGAGTAAATAAAGGAAGTACTAACAGCAGATTTTTCCATTTGTGTGCTGGATGCATCCCGTTTGCCCTGTAGGTAGTAAGTCATTAGCTGGCCTTTGCCCTTGACTGCTACTAGTCCTCGCTGCTCGAAATAGTACCCAAAACTCTCTAAAATATGACACGTCTCCTCTGTGACCTAGTAATAAAAAAATATGTATTATAATTGATGTCGAGCGTTTTTGCAGAAATTTGACTATTAGGTACCTATTTAGCAAATTATTCAATATTAAAAATGTTTATAGTTCTAAAAGCATTTATGAATATAATTTAGTTTCATCGTTTTAGTTTTACCTAGAGAAATGCTCTATTAATACATTTTAAACAGGTAAGCGCTTCTTGCTTTTAGTGCCCTAGAAATTGTAGTTCCTTCATTTACATTTTTTATAAGACGGTATGAGTAGGTACCTACATATACTAATACAACTTTATTAATGACAGTTACCATTTAATGAATAATAATAAGCCATTAGCTTTCATCTACTTCATATTAGAAGAGAAAATATAAAAGAAAGCTTAGAATAAAAAATAAGGACAAGTTCGTTAATAAGAAAATTATTCAAACAAGTTTATGTTAAATTCAACCAAACTAAATTTAAAATATATACTTATAAAGGGAACTGCTGTTACTAACATGTAGGTATGTATAATTTGTAAACATTCAAATCTCGCAGTTTCAATAAGAACTATGTAATAATATTTTATCTATGATAAAAAAAAATGTAGCGGACTCGTATTCACATGAATTGGTTACGAAATAACATGTTAACTTTTTGTTATTCTAAAGTTACATACCTATAGCTATATTTTAAACTAAAAGCAGTATGTTTTATGTGGACATATGTTTATATAGATAACATCTATACAATATTGAAGAAGTAGCCTTGTTAAATATTTCTAAAAAAATATTAGTAAAAGATGTCTTAAAAGAAAAGTCTAATTAATATTCTTTTAAGACATCTTTTTAGCTTGATTTATAACTATTAAGTGTCTTTTAAATGATAGGTAATATATTTTATAACTAATATATTTATAGTATATTAAACGTTATTGTCTTTATATACAGAACACTGAGCATTAAGTATGTGAAGTTAGTGTCTATCTAAATCAGTAAAAATTAAGCTACAAAAGTACTTACTAAAGATATTGTTAAGTCAAAAATATAATATAAAAGGATAATATATAAAAACTCATTACTAAGTATTATACTACTAACTATTATATTTTTGACTTAACAAGTTAGCTGTTGATTTCGTTATTATTACTCTCTACTTACTTTCTATAATTGATGTAGACCGCAACTTTCTACAATTAAGCTAAGGAGAAAAATATCTAACTGCGCACACTAACAAAAAGCTCTTTTAGTTGTATTATATTCCATTTTATGCATTTAGCTAAATATCTGATTGTGTATTATACCATCACACACATTATACCATCCACTTGTCCACATCAATGTATTATAAGTATTATTTATTTCTTTTGTCGTTAAGGATTGATATTATATACATATTTTGTAAATTATTAGATAAATATAAAAGAATTCGGCAAACTCTTGCAAAAATTGGGCAAACGAAGCGGTGATGAGCTGAGAGTGGGGCAATTTGGTATCGGTGATCGGAACTTCCGAGGTCAAATGCTGGCCGACTTCATGGAGAAGGAGAACCTCTTTATGATGAACTCCTTGTTCAGGAAGCCGGAACACCGGAAATGGACGTGGATTAGTCCCGATGGTGCCACAAAAAACGAGATAGATTTCATCTTGTCAACGAGAAGACAGATTTTCAATGATGTCTCTGTGATCAATGCCGTCAAAATTGGAAGTGATCACCGGATTGTAAGAGGCACATTGAATCTGAATCTGAAACTCGAACGATCCCGACTGATGAAATCTACGCTCCGCCCTACACCTATACAGATCCAAAACCCCGAAAGCTTTCAGCTAGAATTGCAAAACCGTTTCGAAAGCCTTGGTGACTGCGTTGACGTGGACGATTACAACAACAGGTTCGTGGAAACTGTCCGTGCGGCTGGGTCTAAGCACTTCAAAACCCGCTGCGCAGAAAGAACCGGAAAAATATCTATTTCTACCCTCAAATTGATGGATGAAAGGCGAAGTATGGTCCTGCAGTCTCCGACTGACGCTTCTCAGTATCGGCAACTTAGCAGGCAGATCTCTAAGTCCTTGACTCGTGACTTACGCCACTTTAACACAAATTGTGTAAAGGAGGCTATTGAGAGAAACAAGGGCTCAAAAGTATTTAACAGGGATCTGGCTGCCGGACAGAGCCAGCTGACGCGACTTAAGACGGATGACGGCAGGATCGTTTCGTCTAAACCCGAACTTTTGAGGGAAATTGAGAAATTCTATGGACAGTTATACACGACAACACGGGCACCTGTTAACAACACGGCAAAAGACCCTAGAGCCAAATTAACCCGACACTATACCGAAGATATCCCGGACGTCAGCCTGTACGAGATTGGTATGGCTCTTAAACAACTTAAAAACAACAAGGCGCCGGGCGATGATGGAGCTACTGCTGAGCTTCTGAGGGCTGGAGGTAGACCTGTTCTACGAATCCTCCAGAAGCTATTCAACTCCGTCATCCTCGAGGGCCAAACGCCTCAAGCATGGCAAAGGGGTGTGGTGGTTCTGTTCTTCAAGAAGGGAGACAAATCGCTTCTGAAGAATTTCAGACCCGTAACACTGCTGAGCCATGTTTATAAGTTGTTTTCGAGAGACATCACGATTCGTCTCGTGCGCAGGTTTGACGACTTCCAGGCTCCCGAACAAGCCGGGTTCCGAAAAGGCTTCAGTACCATAGACCACATTCATACGCTGCGGCAGGTAATTCAGAAGACCGAAGAATACAACCTGCCACTTTGCTTGGCGTTTGTGGACTATGAAAAAGCCTTTGATTCGATCGAGACGTGGGCTGTGCTACAGTCTCTCCTGCGGTGCCAAATTGACTATCGATATATCGAAGCGTTGAAATGTTTGTATGAAAACGCCACTATGTCAGTTCGCCTCCACGACCAGAATTCGAAGCCTATCCAACTGCAGCGAGGTGTCAGACAAGGCGATGTCATATCGCCAAAGCTGTTTACCGCTGCGTTGGAAGATGTCTTCAAGCTTCTGGACTGGAACGGGCTGGGCATCAACATTAACGGCGAGTACATCAATCACCTTCGATTTGCCGACGATATCGTGGTCATGGCTGAGACCCTGGAAGACCTTAGCAAAATGCTCGAAGACCTCAGTAGAGTCTCACAAGGAGTAGGTCTTAAAATGAACATGGACAAGACGAAAATTATGTCAAACGTCCATGTCGTACCTGCTCCCGTAAAAATCGGAGATTCTACACTCGAAATTGTCGATCACTACGTATACTTAGGGCAAACTATCCAGCTAGGTAGATCCAATTTCGAGAAAGAGGTCAATCGTCGAATCCAACTCGGATGGGCAGCGTTCGGGAAGCTCCGATATATCTTTTCGTCCAAATTTCCGCAGTGTCTCAAGACGAAGGTTTACGACCAATGTGTGTTGCCAGTGATGACTTACGGAACAGAGACGTGGTCGCTAACTATGGGCCCCATCAACAAGCTCAGAGTCACTCAGAGGGCAATGGAGAGGGCTATGCTCGGAGTTACTCTGCGTGATCGAATCAGAAATGAGGAGATCCGCAGAAGAACCAGAGTGACCGACATAGCCCGAAGAATTGCGACTTTGAAGTGGCAATGGGCAGGGCACATAGCTCGTAGGACAGATGGCCGTTGGGGCAGTAAAGTCCTCGAGTGGCGACCACGGGCCGGAAGACGCAGCGTGGGAAGGCCTCCAGCAAGGTGGACCGACGATCTGGTCAAGATCGCGGGAAGGCATTGGATGCGAGCAGCGCAGGACCGATCGTCGTGGAGATCTTTGGGGGAGGCCTATGTCCAGCAGTGGACGTCTTCCGGGCTGCGATGATGATGATGATGAAAAGAATTCGGCTACTTATTTAGTCTAGTATTGTTGTTTATAAAGAAGTTATTAAACATAAAAGTAAAACAATCTAATAGAAATATAGAAGCGTCTCTGAAACCGCACTGTTCGAGACCACTCAGGTTCTAGCATGTGGGGATGAATTCCCTGTCGATGGCGAGCGGTTTTATAAGTAACCCTAAATATAATAAATATTTTACAGTAGCTATATTTTATTTATATGGGACAGGTCCCACTCCGTGTCACAGAACGGAACAGTTATTTTACAGGCATTGTCTTCAGGACACTGTGGGAACTTGCCCGCAGTCTGCCTAATAGGGACTTTATTCGTTTCCGTCGTATAGCATAGAAGTCGTCGGTGCGCTCTTGCACAAATATCTATGACGCGCTGCAGTGGCGGGGCGGCCCTAATAGCGCCCCAAAGGCATTGTTATTGAACACAAAGAATGTTTTTGTAGTAGGTTTCAATGCAGATGTAACAATATGTATAAAGACTAGAAATTGAAACAGTAATAATAATAAAAATGAAATAGTAATAAGCCTGGAAATTGATATCCGGGACTATGTGTGATATTATATATATATATATATATATATATATATATAAAAACAATGTATAAGAAATAGTAATTTCACCTGAACACAGCCAGCTTTCCCTGTACTTTCCATACGGGAGGCGACATTGACGGTGTTGCCCCAGATGTCGTAATGCGGTTTGCGGGCACCGATTACACCCGCTGTGATCGGTCCGTGGTTGATTCCCATCCGCAATACAAAGTGATTGAAGGACTGTTCGTTTATCGCGGCCAGCACTCTTTGAAGTTCTAGCGCGAATTCCACCAGACACGCGAGGTGTGCCCAGCGAACCAACACGCCATCTGAAGGCTTATTTAATTTATTTATACATCAGTTATACTTATTATAGTATAGTAAAAGAGTTAAGACTATCACATGTTACGATGCTCACGACTTTGCTATAATTTAGAAAATTATATGTATCTTCAAACTAAAACTTTATTGGCTATATAACACCCTTCTGTATAAAGTATTTAGGTACATATCAGAGACTGCAATAAAATACAATATTAAATATTTTTCCTGTTATTCTATAATATTAAATATTGAGGTTCAAAAGTAACAGAGATGATTCATTTTTTCTGAAAATATATCTACGTAAATGCTTATTTCTCAATTCTAAAGATATTTTAATAATATGAAGGTAATTTATGCATCAACTAGCTAGTGTTTGCGACTTCGCCTGAGCAGGATTAGTATCTTTATAAAAAAAAATTACATTTAGATTTTTAAATTTAAATTTAGGTTTAGCGATTTAGAGATGACGTCGTAATAAGTACACTAGAATAGCTCACAGATGACAGATTTTTAATATTTTATACTTTGGATAATTTACACAATAAAAGTGTAAGCAATATTATTGTAAAGTTTCATTAAGATCCATTCAGTAGTTTTTGCGTAAAAGAGTAACAAATACTTACAAACTTTCGCGTTTATAATGTTAGTATGAGTATATATTCATACTATTCATTTAATAATTTACCTGCATCTCTCTGGTCGGATTTAAACCTGAGGCGGCCATGTATGTTGAACTAATTGTCTTGATTTTTATAATATCTTTACTGAATTTTGCATCCTCGAGCAGCTGGAAATTAGAAAAATAAATTAATTACACCATCATTTGTATACACCTGTATTTTATATAGGTACTTGTAATAAGTACTCAGCAACATTATGAAATAAAGTGAAAGCGTAAATGATGTACCTAATATTTTCTTGAAAGCTTATGATTAATATTAATCTCTATGAGTATAATACAACACATCCCCATAACTACAGGTTTCTGTTACGACTAAATTAACGGATGAACAGAAAACATCTGAAGAAACTACGAAAGAAAACTAATTTCGCTTCGGTATTTAATTCTTATATTTATATCAATAAACATACAAGTACTTTTTATTTTATATACATGTTACCTCTGCTCTACATTAATCACACTATATTGTCATACAATATGTGACTGCTAATGTTTATAGGTTGGATTCACACGTATTACAAACATTTATATCCAGGAGTCTGTTTTTATTGTTCTGGACTTTTTTTATTTATACTATGTATTCACAGAACTAACTACTACTACAATGAGTAAGACTATCAGTTCCTTATAAATGATGTTTTAAACAGAGCTTTGTTTAAAACTTTTAGGTGTGTGTAATATACCAAGGCTATGTTTTTATTCCATTCAGTTTCTAGGAACAAACACTGAATCAGACTAGCAGCCGTCAATATAGTGTCGTATATTGCCGTAGTTGCGCGACTTAAATTCCAAGTAGCTTAATCACAAACAAGAAGAACATGTCCCTACTGCATACATATGTATATTACTTTAAAAGAACTTAGGTATATTGTGTAACAGGTCTTACAATAATGAAATGACTGTCCGACAGAACATTATTTAACTACATTCTTTACAAATTATACCTACATTTTTGTATACCGTTTTCGTATTGTATTTACTGAAAAATAGTTACATGGGTACTATTATTCTGTAATATATTATAGTTATAGTGATGATTATTGTTTTTCATTAGTTATGTAAGATGTCAGTGGTATGGCATGTATGTATGACAATACCAAAAAAAGACATGTAACTTGTCATTTAATAGTTCAAGATACAATGTTTGTTACGTAACATAAATAAGTATTATTTAGCACTCTCTCTAGAAACTGTGGTTCTAGCAACATTAGGTACATCGAAATAGTAACAGCTATTTCAATTTCTTGAGTTCTGAATGTACCAATAATATTTATAGATATTTAACATCCATCTTCACTTATTTCACTCATGACAGAGAAATAGAATAAAATAAAAAGTTCTACCTACTAGAAATAGGATTATAATGAAATTTATGTATGTGCATATAAAGCTACAGTGTATTATGAGGTAATCGAAATTTTAAAATGTATTGTACATGTTGAACATAAATTAATATTATAAGGTAAAGCCAAATTACCAAATCGAAGTCTGATATAACCTCGTTGAGAAATCGCAAACATTCCAGGCCCTGGTTATTAACAGTTTCTTCTGAATAAAACTCTGTAACAATATATTAAATACATAATTTTGATATGATAACCGTATTGTATAAATAAGAACATTTTTTTTAGTTATGTAGTAAAAAAATATAAATAATGTAGTCATAATAACGCGTATAAATAATATCACATAGACAATATACTATGGACTGTAGAATCTAGCTGTATGTATGTTTCTGAAGTGTTGTTTTTTGTGTCAAATAATTCGCTTCACGCTGGTAGACATTTAACTTCTAGGATAGTGAGAAGTAACGTTTTATTTTAACACCTCAATCACAAATTGAAAACTAAGCGAATAAGCTGTAAAACTATTCGTAACTTTCAATTAATCACAATAATGATTTTTGAAATATATCGTTCTGCCGTAATTTCACGGACGGAGTCGCTATGTATATGTGGTATTTCACAACTTTACTTGTTAACTTAAATATGTTGAAACTTAGATTTGATGATGATGATGATAATTTAAATGAACCTAAACAGAGAAGAATATATAGAAATCAGTGATTTGTAAATATTAGTTTGTATACGAAGCCTATATTTGATGTTGATAGAATGTAAAACATTATTCCAACATAACAACAATATTTGTATCTATTATAACTAAATATATACACAAAAAAGTAAAGTATATAAACACTGACCTTTTGACCTGTAAATGCAAAAAATGCCTAAGCCCAAAAAGGTCACTTATAAACGAATTCATATATTTATATGTAAATAATTAATATTAGTAAATATACATAAAAAGTAATAATACAACTACATAACATATTAAATCATCAATTTTAATAAATTGATACAATGACAGTGTATTAACAATGTGACGGTTGTTTTTAAGTTCAGGTACCATAAGTTATTTTAAACCTATACAACTTTATTTTGAAAATAAGAATAACATAAAAAACCATTTTACCTACTTTTTGTTACTTTAATCATCCTATTCAACCAATTATCATTATTCAGCCCTAGTTTGTAATACAAATACCAGACGTTGGTTTGTAAAATAATTATATGCGTGTTCAGGTTACGAAGAACTCTCGATATTAACCGATTTATACCTAAATCAATAAGGACCTAATCTAAGAAGAAAGTTCAAACTTACTGCCAGTAATATTTGAAGATCTCTTTCAAACAAAAACTAATTTCGAATATCAGTCTACATTTGACGAAGATACCGAAGAAATAGCATTAAAAACAAATATTTCATTGATTTATTTTTTATGTATTTTCTTGTGTATGATATGTGTCAATTACTTTTTTAAGCTGGAAAAAAAATATGGATGCGCTTTTAACTAGTTCAAAATTTACTGTTAAGTTTCATCAAAATCCGTTCATTGGTTTTTCCGTGAAAGGTTAACAAAACATCCGTGGTTACAAACTTTCGCTTTTAAAACATTAATTAATAAGGTATACCTGAGAAATTAGGCATGGAGGCGAATAGCACGCCGACTTCGGCGTAACTCTGGCTGTAGAGGTCGCGGTGGTGGTGGCGCGCGCCCATGAAGTGTCGCGCGACGTGCGGCGGCAGCACGTTGTGCACGAGCGCCTGGTTGCGGCGGCGCAAGTCGCCCGCCTGCTCCGCCTGCGCACGCATGCGTTCGCCGCGCGAGTGCCGCGCGCGCTCCAAAGACTCGCTCTGCGTGTAAACAGACATCCATAAATACCACATATTATTGTTAACGGATTCCCCAACTAAATCATGACCGTACTTACATATCTATTGAACACCAGGAGAGCTATCGTTACGAAGAACAGCATTATAATATTGCGTCCAGGGTGTATCTTCCCTCTAAAACAGACAAAAATAATGTCAGTCAGAAAGTTACATGCTTCAAAATAATTTACTATTCTATCTTACTACTCTTCTGTATGGAAAAAGGAATACGAAAAATATTTTTTACAATGTGCACCTATATAAATATAAATAATAATATTCATCACCTATAGCCATACAAGAGCCAAAAATTAGATAGAAGTACCTACATTGTTATTCCTGAGAATGAAACCTGTATGTACCTATGTATATATGCAATATTCATATATAGCATGTGTATCAGTGTGGATTAATACTTGTAGTAATTATTTCAGTCGCTATTTTCTGAGATATTTGTTTCCTAGTCAAAAAATAAACAATAATGTATCAGTTAGTAAATGTAGTTATGTGCTTCATCAGTCAATTACATGATCGTTTAATGTTGAACACGCATTTGCCACATCTTTCGTAACATTACCTACAAGTAAATGTTACGAAAGCCGATCATAATTTCAGTCAGCTTGAATCAGACCACCCTTCCTATATAACACCGAAGGAAAAGCTAGGTCATCGAATTCTCATTTCATATTACTACATATTCATTCGCAGATTAAGTATTTAAAATAATAATCTTCTAAATTACTATAATGTGTAATCTATATTTATTTATTTACTAAAACTTTAATATACAAGAAAGAATAAATAATTATTGAAGTATCTATATATACAAACCATATGTCTATTGATATTTATAATCACAAAACCCATATCGTCACCACTGTTATCGCAGAAGTATTGTCAACTGTCGATTTAGCGGTGAACGCAACACTTAGCTACATTTTGCTCAGTATATTTGAATCAAACGTGAGGCTCTCCTACATATTTCATAAGTTTATATAGATAGAGCAATAGGCAACTAAGTATCTTCTCCATTATTCTTGACTGAATCTCCGTGTGCCGAATGTGGCGGTAGAACACAAAAAAGTAGCATACTGAAATGGTTATACAATGGGTATTAAATTCCTTTCAATAAATAATACTTCTATCATATTATGTGATGTTTAGTACATGTTTATCTCAGTGTATCTCAGTTCAATAGCAATTCTTAGTAGTATATAAAAAAATGTCTTAGGGTTAATGATTTTGGGTGTCCTTGCACAATAGTAACAACAAATCCAATATTAACTGATTTATAATACTTGTATAACTAACAGTATTTCAAAGAGTTGTTCATCGAAGTCAATGGTGTGGTTGTAGGGCGCGCGGTAAGGATCTCGGTCGAGGCTAGGACGCGACGTAAGTAGCGCGGGCTGCAGCACGGACGGCAGCGCATGGGCGGTCGCCAGCGCGGCCAACAGTGCTGCGCGAGCGCATCCACCCAGCGGAGACACCCAAAGTGCACCACATAACGCACCTGCGCCAACCTGCCCACCAGTTCAAACCATTAGAATCTATTTATTATCATAAAACTATATTTTACCAGAGGTAAACCATAAAAAGTTGTCTGCATCAGTATCTCGTTCTCTTCTATTTTGGCCGCCATCCAACATGCTTAGGCTGTGTTTCGGTTGTAGGGAGTAGATTAGGCAATGAAATTACTGGATAAAATGCATGACATCTTAGTCCTCTGGAATGGCAACGCAAGAGTAGTATAACAGCATCACATGACAACCCTATTCACTGTCGTGTGACACTGTGAAAACAATGTGCGAGAAATAGAACCCGCGAACGTCGGGTGCAAAGCGTTATGCTAAACTCCTACAATTTGATGTATGATATTAGTTAGTATATATGTTACGGGCGATTTTATAAGTCAGGGCACTATTAATGTCTGTATTCATAATGCCCGACTCAATTGGACAATGTGACTAAAACAGCATGATTATTCACTTTTCCCGGCCATTATGAATAGTGCCCACCTTATCTTGGGCAAAGTAATAAAATAGGTGAACTGTAGTGTTTTTGTTTATTAAATGAAATTAAACTTACAAAATTTTCATGAATGTCAATAAAAAATAAACTATTGAACATAGTAGTTAAAAAATAAACAGTAATAAATGTAATAACACTAACCTAACCGGAATTATTCGTACTCCCCGGTCCAAGTGATAAATTCAAGCTATTTTAAACACTGACTTATTACTTGGACCACGGGCCGTCGGGCATTATTATAAATGGCCGATCAAAGTGATAAATTAATCACTTTGCCCATCGCTCTTGGACATTATTAATAATGGCCGGTCCTTATTAATAATGAACAGTTAATCAGGTTGCCCATAACATATAGACATACAAAATTGTAATGTAAAGTATGTTAATTTAAAAGAATAGTATTATATGTAGCGAGATTTTATATATAGTGTCATGCATCTGAACACGCCGTGAGCTGCAGTATAACTGCAAAGTTTGAGCTATGACTTTTAAAAGTTCATAAAAAAGTATTTTAGGTTTAATTTCACAACATACCGATAACATATAAAAAATACAGTATATATTAATTTCAATTCCATTATTTTTGCTATCCGGCTCGAAGGATCCCAAGAATTAAGATCACAATAACAACTAGTAAAATAACTACATCCCCTGTTAACTAGGTACTAAACATGCAAATAAAGCACATGTAGTACATGTGTATCCGCATGTCCGGTATACTGGTATCGAAATTATATAAAAAAGTATTGGTAATATTTTACATTTCATTTTGTTTTCTCCGATTAATCGTTACGAAATCAACATTTTTTCACACTTCAGTGTTAATGTTCAATAATGAGGACGAATGTAGTCATGCAGATTTCAACTCCACGGTTGATTATTGACAATGAGAAAGTAAATATGACACTTTACGTGATAATAATATGAAGGATGTATGCAACGACGCGCACCGCTGTGCGCAGGTGCATCTTCTCTTAGACCATCCTCCATTAACATCGCCTCAAAATTACCACAGATAATCTGCAAAAAAACATATTTTTATAATTAAGATGGCCACGTTTTGTAGATTAGTACAGTATCTTATATGCGAACATTATAATTGTTATAGCGTAGATTCTAATATTATCTTTATTACATTTTTACGTACAGTAATTATGTTGATTAGCAAAGATGGATGGACTTCTTTTTGAAAGAGATTTCCTCCAATCAACCTAACATGATCTAGTGTTGTCTACGTCTCAATACTGCAAGTAACAATTTAATAATGACAAAAAACCATAATAATTAAAATTACAAATAACAAATATTATTAAATTCTTTTAAATTTTTATAAAAGTGCCAAGTACAACTGCATCCAGGAACATAATCCAGTTACAGTATGATCACTACTAATTTATTTTTAGTTTTATTTTTATTTTTAATGAAAACTAGAGGTCTCTACATCAGGGTATATATGTGTAGATGTCATTTATTGAAGACAATCAAGCACCAAAAATTAATTAAAAATTTAACTAAAGTATACAAATGTATACATAGCGTATCTAAAAATTAATAAGAATTTATTACTAAGTTACCCATGTGTTTTCCTACGATTTCTTTAGCCTATGTATATTAACACATGTAATAACATATTTAGCAAAAATTTTATCCTAATTCCTTTAGCCGTGAAGCGTTAACCATACCCACAGAGTTTTCGCATTTTATTATTTGTGATACCTAATAATAAAGATGACTGACTGACTAAGCAACGTACGACAGTTTCTAAATCTAGGAATGCAATTTTGCACAATATTTCAATATGTGTATAATTTACCAACTAAGAGAACAGGTTCTCTGTGGGTGAAGGAAGTAGCTAGTCGAAATTTGTTGAAGATTACTGTTGCTACTTTTTTACACCTAGATATATCACATTCTTAATAGAACAGTCCCCCAAATTATTCAATAATATATTTGTCTGTCTGTTTACTTTTACTAATAGATATTTATAACATTAGCTATCTGTGAGTGAAACTCCTAGCAAAATGGGTCTAGCCGTTTCAAAGACAATAATAAAAGAATAAAGATATAAAGAAATATAGAGAGAAATATAGAAAATTATAATATGTCAAAAATTTATCTCACCAAAGGAGCTATGTTGGCTGCTACAAACATTACTATATTAAATGTTCCACATGTTAATTTCCAGTAAGGACTGAGAGACTTTTTCTGAAATAAAAAAAAAGACGTTCAATATAAACGCTATAGTATAATAAGTGCTGTGTAAGATAAAATGCTGATTTTATTAAGTTTAGGCTTTTGCGAATTATTATAAGAGATGCTTACTTGAAATGATTGGAATTGAATCTTTATTTTCAAAAACATAGAATTTCTAAACTTTATATATTTACTAAACTCTGCCAATAATTATGCTTAAGAAAATAAATAAACTAGCCATATATTCTATTGTGTACAATTATTGTTAATACCTTAGTAAATATCCTCCTCTAAAACTAAGCCTCCGCTAAACACCCATAATTATGATAAATTGAGAAATATTTATTCTTCCATTCGCAAGTAACATACTTGTAATTAAATTCGACGGATTCGATTCCTCGCACGGTGCCAACATTTGTATTTCTATTATGTTTGTATAAAAAATCTATGTATTTATGTAGTTGTCTTTTACCCAAAACACAAACTCAGCTTACCATGGGACTAAATGACTATGTGTTAATCGTCCAGGGTTATTTATCATTCATTTATAAAAAAAATAGTAAATCACCTTATACTGTGCATATCTGAAGCATGCGTAATATATAATATTAATTAGGCCGGTCTCGAGTATGAGGGCGAGGTAGACCGCATGCAAAGATAAGGAGGGCGGTACGGCGAAGCTGGCAAGCGCAACCACTGCTGGCAGTAGCATTAGTGGCGGTGCTGCCACCGACAAAGGGCAGGGGTCACTTCGTCTGGCATATGTCGCCTCCGCACCTGCTGCCTTGAACGTCAGGCAGAGAGTAGTTGCGTCCGCCAATTCCCTAATGATACACAATAGCACTCTCTAAGTTACTACTACTCATTACCTTATCAGAAAGTTAAGTAGGTAGCGTAACAATATTAAATATAAATTTTATTATAACTCATATAGGCCTTTTGACCTTTTACTTAACACAATAAGAATATCTGATTAGGAGGGTAGTATATCTCTACACTTTAGACGTAACAACTATTGATTAACTAAACCTTAAAGGACAGGTAGAGGCTCTACATCTTATATATAAAATTCTCGTGTCACAATGATAGTTATCATATAGTTATCATACTCCTCTGAAACGGTTTGACCGATTTTTATGAAATTTTATATGCATATTCAGTAGGTCTGAGAATCGGTTACAATCTATTTTTTATACCCCTAAGTGATAAGGGTTGTTCACCCCTAACATTATTTTTTAATTTTTGGGCAAAATTTTTTACTTATATATATTTTTTTTAGGTATCATTAAAAATACATACAATCCTAAATTTTCACCCTTCTAGGACCAACCTCTATTTTTTTATAGCGTTATTAATTTATATAGCATAACAACGTTTGCCTGAACAGCTAGTAATCTGTATATTTATATTTCATATACTATATGTTAACACAGTTGTACAGTGATGAAAAAGTCATAATACAATGGTTATCAATTGTGAACAACAAAATGAATAGGTACTACAGACAAGTCCGACAACTCAGTTTTCCTCGTAAATTCAAAACCAGCATTAGTATTTTTCTATATCTAATTACAGGTCACATAATATAATAACAATTCCATTTTTCATTTTATTTCTTAATGAAAGTAAAATAATATAACAACAATAAAAATGGTATATATGATAAAATAATCTTGAATAATTCTTAGTTTTTATTTAATGTTGTAATAATTTAGATTATATATATTTAAGTTTGTTATTGTCCAATCTTATTAGTTTGTAATCTTGTTATTGTCAATTTTTATGTTTACTTTGTTAGTTGTAGTTTAGAACTTAACTTAATATGCTATCGACGTCGTCGATCTCACATTGTATTATTTTACTGATAAAGGCTATAACAGAATAGCAGAGAGGGTGGATTCACTGCCCTCACTGAGTTATAGACCGTTTTGTCTCATTCATTAGTTTTAAATTATATTGTTGTATGGGCAACAGTTGTATTGTGTGAAAAGTTTTTATTTGAGACAAATAAAGATTATTATTATTATTATTATAAAAAGGAGTAATCGATAGAAAGACATAAACTTGTAAATATAACCACTATTGTACTGTAGTTGCCATTGAGAAAGCACAGTAAACTGTGTTAATGCTAGCTAATTACACAAATACATTTTCAATATTAGATATATTGTGACAAAATCACGCAAATAACATAATTCTATTTTACTGTCACTTAATGTCAGTGCACGCGTCACAAACACTAAAATTGTGTAGTTGACGTAATTCGAAGACGTATACTTGCTATTATTATATTTACGCTTTTATATGGTTTAATTATGCCTAATTAACTTAATTGCTTTTGGTAACAATAAATATAAGTAAAGTAAGTCATTAAGTCGTACTTACTTATTATCATCTCTATTCACGAGTTCTTCTTGTAACATGTTGAGTATTTTCTGTTCTTCATTATCCTTGTTCTCCTCTTGCGGTGACAGGACCTACGAATAATAAATGGATCGTATCGTTAATCTTATATCTGTATACGTATACCTTTATGATTGATATCATATATGATGTTAAAAGAATATTGTTCAAATAAATAATTGACAACTGTCAACATAACGGTGAACGCAACACTTGATATTCCCCCATATCGTATATGGTAGGTAGCAAGCCTACCACTGTCCATCGATTAATATGTTATCATTACGGATCTTATAATTATGTAAAGTTATTGAGAAATATAAATTAATGTACTTTCTATATCAGCGGCAATAGTTGAACTCTCAACCTTTGGAAATCGTAGTAGGGTATTTAACCACTAAGCCACGACGCTGTCAATAGATCGTGTCTATGTAGTTCATAATTAAGAAATCGATATAAAGCCTCATAATTACAATGTAACAAAACAAGGGGCTTCTTATCGTGAATTAAGTAACATTTTCATCTGGTTAGAACTTATAAAAGTTGTCTTGGCTGTCTGACACTAAGTAGGGCATTAATATAAGCCCGGGGCTAGTGCCCCAGTGTCCTAGATTTATTAAGACTGTAGGTATAAATAAATGGGGCATACGGGTCTGCGAGTAGTGGCGGTCGGAGCGGCAGTAGTGCACTCACCGAGTCCTCGTCGTCGTCTTTGAGGTCAGAGAGTGCGTCGTTCGTATCGCCTCCCTCTATCGCCTCACCCTCAGGAGCAGTTTTATCTTCGCCTCCCTGGTACTGCAAGATAGATGTAACAGTAAATTATTGTGTTTAATATTATATAAATAGTATGTTCCGTATTTTAATATTTAGGGCATAAATATTAAAATTTATAACAGCAAAAAGTACTTAATATGATATTTTGAAACTGTATCTAAGTAATAGTACTGACATCATTTTTACTGAATATTTTATATTAATCTAAACTAATAGGGTCAGCAGTATTCATACTAATTATATCCTTTTTACGTATTTATATACAACATAATAATATGTTATGATACGCAAAAAATTGAATTAACACATAAGAATAATGAATAAATCATAATTTTTATTCGTGAAGCACCCTTACGAGAATTGTACGGAGGATTATGTAACACAGTTGGCAGAGTTAATATTTACGTAGAGAAGAAAGGTTCATATTCAGAAAATTTATATCTAATAAATAAAAATATATTGTGTCGCAGTGTTTATTATAGAAATCCTTCGAAACAGCTTCCTCGAATTTTAAGAAATTTTTGGTGTACATTTGATAGGTCTGAGTAGACTATTTTTTATAATTGTAAGTGGCCCTATCTAAAATAATGTATATAGCAAAACGACGCTTAATGGGTCAACTACTTTGTTTAGAATAAAGCATTGATAAGAAATCATTACAAACTACTATTTACACCTACATATATACATGTAGTCTTTAAATATTTTATTGTTAACGATTTAATGTTAATAATCTTCAAACTTAATATTTAACTAAATTATAGTGGTATTTAGACCACTGATTCAGACAGATTTATAAATATAATCATGAAAATTACAGGTTTTAATACGCGGACGATAAAGTATGTTTTGATGCCAGACTGCCTTAGCATCTCTTCACGACGTTCGCCATGTGCTGGCTCGACTTCGAAGTCATCGTTGAGGAAACCGAGCGTTGCTTCTGATATGTGAACACGGCTGTTGACAATCAATACGTCACGTAAATAGTATTTTAATACTTCTTCTACACTTCTTTCGGTATTTTATTAAAAAAAAATAATTATAAACCCTAGATATACAACTCACACTTAAAGCAGAGCTTATGCCAGTACCTCCTTGGCAAACAACTGATAGAAATAATTAAATACAGGGATATATATATACTCACAAATATAAATATTTGCATTGTGTAAGAATGAAACTCGATCATAGGAAGTAAGGCAGTGTTCTAGGTAGATCACGAGGTTAAAAAGTATTTTAATAAACAATACGTAAATATGTAAAATAAAAATTAAATTATATAAAAAAAGTCGCGTAAAGCAATTTTTGGTAAAGTTACTGATCTATTAATGACATTTTAAAACTCTAAAAATAATATAATATACAGAATAAACTGTTTGTCAATATTAAGGAATTCTTGATATAGTTATACAAATATCCATGTTTACTGTATAATAATATATTTATTATTGACTGTGTCATAAATATGCATGTCATAATTTGCAATAATTGAGCAGTATACGAAACACACTAACCCTGCCATCCCGCTGCTCTCCATTTTATTGGCAAGTTCTACATCCCGCGAGTATACGTCAAACTGCCATTGTCTTTGTCCCAACACGCCTGCCAGAACTGCCCCTGTATGTATACCGACTCGCATGTCTACCGGTGAGTTGGTGGTCTGCTGCACATACCTAAATTAAATTCATAAATCACTAAGTACAATTAAATTAGTATAATTTTATTTGCTTTGTAGTAAAAAATCATCACATATAAAAATATTCATAAGCTATGTATATACTGAGATACACTCATTACTTAACTCGACTATGAGTATGATTCGATCTTAGTTCTAACTCAGCTAGCGAGGTATATATGTATCAAATCCATAATGATTCCTCTGAAGTTGACTATTTACATAGGAAATTGTAATCACAAAAATACATCGTAACCTTCACAATATAAGGATACAATTTATTAATTATAGTTTTATTAAATATAATACAAGTTTCATAAACGGTCAAGTATGTAGGTAGGTAAATGATTATGTAGATATTTTTAAATAGGCAAGAACTTACTTGATTGCTTTCACCATTGATAGACCCATATGAACACATAGGACTGCATGATCAGGACGCTCTACAGGTGCACCACTGATGCAATAATAACAATCGCCCAGGATTTTAATACGCAGTTGTTGATATTTCTGTATCAAGAAACGTTCTTTTAAAATAAAAATTAAGAATATATAGGAACATTGTGATAGAAGATTAATTGATTTACCTCGGCAAGTCGGTCAAATCGTGCAAACAACTCGTTAAGGATTGCAACAAGATCTTGTGCTGAATAAGTAGAAGAAATAGCCGTGAAGCCTACGATGTCCGCATACAGGATGCTGGTTTGGCATGCAAAAATTTATTTAAACTATATAAAACATAAATTTATCAAAAGAATGCTGAATTAAAATGCAAAAAACTGCGTAACACAAATAAACATTTAACTTACCTAACATTTTCGTGTCTTGACATATAAATTTTTTTAAATTGTGTATCGATTAGACCTAGATCTTGTCTCATTTGTATTGCAACGTGTTCAGGAAGTACTGAGAGAAGCAAACGCTCCTGAAATATAAAGCTAGGTATTACTTTTGAACTATATCTAGGTAGCTACTGTATTTACTATATACACAAGGAACTGTTCCCGTATCAGGCGAAATTGTATAAATGGTTTGATGAATGTAGAGCAAAAGACAGAAGTATGTATAATTTGGATGATATGATCATTTGGCGTTTTATTGTCTCTTCTTTCTCTCTCTACACATATCATCGTGTATACTATTTTTTGAGGTAAGCCTCAAAAAATAGTATACACGATGATATGTGTATGTTATGTATGTATAACTTGACCTGACGTCTCGTTCTGAACGAGACTGTCCCTTTTTTTAATTGCGAGTCCGGGTGTCTCCGTTCCGTCCGTTCCATTTTCACGTACCAAAATTTGAGTAGTCGAACCGGCCGGTTGTGATGTTAATAATAATTAATATAAAAAAACGAGCCAATAGTTTCATTCTTATTTAAAATCTTCTCCAACTATGTTAAAGCAAATTTGTACCTCTTATTATCGGGTGTATTTTTTAATTCATAACTTTATGTAGGTATATTATATAGTATGTATAACTATAATACAAAACCTGTTCTTTGCTTTGCTGTTCGATGGTAAGCTTATCACGTAAACTTCGTTTGGTTTCTTGGAAAGAGCGACGTTGTTGTCGCTCTCCTACTGCATATGCAGTCCCGCCTAATAGCGTAGCTCCTAGTAGAAGTGCACCATTTGCTATTTGCTGTTAAAATAATTAACAAAGTAGGTATATTTTCTTATACATTATGGTTATTAAATAACTATCTAGTTGAATTATACGATGCAGCGTTGATTCGTTATGTACAGTAGGTATACATTGACTCCCAGTAGGACAATCAATTGATGCAAGTTCTCAATTTGCAATTGTATGTTTTATACAGATACTGAGCATATTTCGGTCATTCGGTTTGTAATCGATAGAATTTAATCTCTGTTATTGCTCCCATGTATATAAATCCATTGAGACCCATTTGTTATTTATGGAATGTTGGCATCCACTTATTCACATTCAAATTCAAATTTAAAATCTCTACAAAATATCATAATCATCGTATATAAATTTATTTTTAAGACTAAACTTTATAGCTAGACATAACTTCGTAAGCGTAAGATCTGATTTGGCCTATTCATTTCACTGACTGTGTACATATGATTAAAAATAAAGTAAAGAGGATCTACTTTCTCCTAATATATAATATTTTTATAATAAATATAGGTTTTAAAAGATTAAGTATAGCTACCTGATAACAAAAATCTTCAGCCAGTCTACTTTCTGAAGTGGAAGCATTATAATATTGTACCAAGAGATAAGCACAAAAAGAAATGGCACTGTAGAACATCAACACAATGTAATGGAATGGTAGGGTTGCTAATGTGAAGTATTGTAGAACGATGGCCCAACCCAGTAACTCGTTGTATGAATCACCGAGACGGCGGGAAACACTAATGAGGAGTTGTATCCATAAAACAAGCCACGAGACATGGTTTAATATTGGACGCGTGGAGCGAAAACAGGAATAAACTGTAGCCATTGTTAAGTTAGCAAATAGCGATATCACCACAGAACTGTAGGCGAAAAAGAGGTCTCGTTCTCCTGGTACCACAATCGCAAATACTTGCAGCAATACACCAGTGATAAGCAAACGGGGGATAGCTCGTTGACGCTGACGCTTGGTGTATGCTGTGTATAGTTGTTCTTCTTCTCGGTCTGTGAAACCCCATGGTGGCAGTAGACATACCAGACAGGAACATTTATTTAATAGTCGTGCCTGCATCGATTTCTCCATTTCTATCAATAACTTCCCATTTTAGATTCTTCAAATCATGGTGTACTGTAGCGTGTTTGTTTAGTTTCGTAGGCCGTTAATACTATTTTCATGTTCTGTAATTATGTCTGTTTTCCATTAAAATTTGTATTAAATGTCAGCATATCTCAGCGTAGATACAAATAAACACATTCACATTCACTCAGGTTTTCCAGAATTCACTGTTATAGCGCGATTAATTGTCATATTGATAAATTATGGGCATAATCACAAAAAATAAACTGAAATTTTGAGGAAGAGTGGTTAATATTTTTCCATTACTGAAGTACATTTTTATTTTATCTATTTATGTAATATGCATAAATTATGAGAAAGTAAATGCATCAGCAGTCTATTTAATGAATTGTCGCTATTGTGATTAAACTGTAGTAACATGTAGGCACACGCGTCGGAGTTCATCAAGCGGAGACTTTCCGTTAGTGACGGCCTGATCGAGGACGCCTGTGTAATGAATAAATTACACGCTGAAACATTGTTCCGATATCCATTCATTAACTGTGCTGTCTACAGACATTACCAACTCATTCCGTACAAAGACACATACATACTAATTTCAATATTGACAATCGTCACGGCGTATGTAAGTAGCGTGACCGTGAAATCGAGTAGCTTATACAAATTACGTGTAAAACTTAATTTTACTCATTGCCGCTTCATGTTGTCTTTATTTAAACAACAGAATATAAAAATAATTTCAGCGATAAAGTTAGACCAACATTCCAATTATATATACCGTAGGATATTACTATGGTAACCAGAATCGAATCAGATGACTTTTAATGTTGTTCTTAGCATTCAAAACCTTGAATGAACATTGTTTTTTTATTAATCATCAAGATTCTTTAAACAGAATAGATTCAAAAGATTTAACTTGCAATGTGTAATTTATTTCTATTTTTTTTATTACAAGTACATTTAAAAACTATTGGAAAGATAAGATTAAGGAAACAGGCGTTACATACAAGTAGACATTATTTAATATGTTACTGCAATTCAATATTACGTCATAAGTATCTAACTACCTATAATTGGTTGATTGGGTTATTACTAAAAAATATCTGATTGTACCTACTTTTCGAGATATAAAATTCATACACATATTATAAACGTCCCTAGACCATTAATTGAATATCTAGAGACGCAGTTGAATATTCATACCATGATTAGGCATTTCAGAAATAAATCCTAATTCGGGCCTAGTAAGTAAAACTCAAAACCAGAAAATCATTCGGACAAAACACTTAACGGGCAGATTTGAACCTAAATTTATATATAATAGTTTAAAATGTATCCATAATAGTAATCTTTGTCCGCCCTGTTTCTCCGCCTACTTTTTCTAAATCAAGCTACTGTTTAAGATATACATAGATTTCAATGACATTTAAAAATAAATTCTAAGCATACCTATACGAAATCAATATAAAATGCTAAATCTGGGATAACTAAAATAATTGTTGTTATGTCTATTTTATATTTATTATTTTTTATATTATATAACCGTGAATTTAATATTCAAAAGTATGGTTTTATATTTTTATTTATACGTATTTAGGTTTGTAGGTTTGATATAAACTACAGACACATATTAATTAACAGTTAAAATGAAATGTAATTTCTGATGTGTGCACTATTGTATTGTATACCACTGTGGATATATATATGTCAACATTAATCCCATCATCATCTTATATTGTGCATAATTCATAGAATTCATGTATCTATAGACAATTATTCATGAGAGAAGCACATACATGGATCTTGAATATCTAAGCTTTTCGCAAGAAAACCTAAACTACGTATTTATTAAATGTTTTAACCTCACTTTACTAATTCGTTACTGTATAACAATTGTTTCCCGCCGAAATTATGGTTGATGATGTAAGCAATCTTTGTAAAAAAACTTACTATTGACCTAAAAACGTTCAATCCACTAGAACAGTTATAAAGTGTAGCTATGAAGGAAATACAGTCAGGTAATGAAAAGGGGTATATTAAGTGAACGATCCGTGATAGGGAATTATAATATGTGATGACCTAAAATATTGAGCGAATGGGGTGTGTAGGGCGCGGGTGGTTTAACGGGCGAGGGCACAATGGCGCGAAGGCGGTGCGCGCACGTGCTCGCGTGCGACTGCCGCGCCGACGACCAGCCGCCGCCCACAGCGCCGTGCGCTTACAACGCGGCCGCGCCGATCTGCGGCCCCTGCCACTGCCGCCCCAGGCGAACGACGACCCGAGCCCGCCCGCCCCAACCTGACATACTACATTGATTCCGCTCTTGTTTCCACGCGTTCCATGATGATACTATATTTAAATATTATTCTATCTTATGAAACATTTTCACATAGTCATTAAAGAAATTCGATACACAGGATATGTGAACACTTAGTAATTGATGATTGATTTGATGAGTAGGCCATTAAACTATAATTAATTTATTTCTTTTACTATACTTTCAATATTCAGTTTACTATTTGATGGTAGGTACGTTATATTATGATGCTGTGGTCAAAATCGTGATTGTGCGAATAGTGTATTAATAAAAAAGCTCCTCAATATTATTTATCCATTAGATTATTCTGTAGTTTTCCTACAAATTAAGAAAATGGTACGACATTGAATCATAACAATAGATTTATTAGGTTGTTGATTTTATGAATAAGGAAATGTGATTTTATGTTATTCAACGAGTACAAGATTTGGTTATGAATTTTTGTTTTTGGTTATGAAATTAATACATTTATAAATATTTTATATATTGTATGTTATAAATATTAATAAAAAATTGTCATAATGCTGATGAATCCACACTTCGCATATGCTGATTGATGTTCTGAGAAATAAAAAAAATTCACAATTAATAATTAATTTATAATAACACATTAAAGTATTAAAGACAATAAAAAATAGGCGTATCTATATATGATAATTTTGGTAGCTATAATAAAAAAATATGAGTAAAGGATCACGTTTTGCATAATTTCTTCATATGTGTGGCGGGTTGCTTACCACTTGCTATAAGGGAGTCATTATTTAACTAGCTGACCTGCTCGACTTCAGCTACGCCGCTCCGTTCCTATTGGTTGTTGCGTGATGATAAACCCTATAACCATACTCAATGAATTAATTCAACACTAAAATAATATTCCAAATAAGTCAAGTAGATCCAGAGATTATTCCCTACAACCCCTCTGAAACTCTCAAACTTTACCACTTTATAATAGTATAGAAGAGCATACAAATAAGATTTTCCCTACATGTCCATTCAGCAAGTTTTATGATATTTGGCAAATAATCTTATATACAAAATTCGCGTGTCACAATGTTACTTACCATATTCCGAAACGGCACGTCTTGAACGATTTTTATAAAATTTTGTATGCATACTCAGTAGGTCAGAAAATCGGCTACTATTTTTTCATATCCCTAAGATATAAAAGTTGTCCAACCCTAATATTTTATTTTTTGGACAAAAAAATTATTGATTTATTTTTTTATAATGTGCCATTAAAAATACATACAACCCTAATTTTTCAACCTACTATCATCAACCCCTGTTTTTAAATAGCGATTTTAATTTATATGGCAAAACGACGTTTGCGGGGCACCTAGTATGCCTTTATCTTCCAATTTCACTACTGAGCAGAATATCCAACACGTGTTAGCTTAAGCTCTGACGACTTTTGCTCGGGTATTTAAAGTTACACCCCTAAGTAATTCAGTGGATTTCTATCGATCTCCAAAATTATCCTGCTAGTTTTGGAGAAAACCAACGAATTACTAAAGGTTTATAGGTAAAGGTACTAAAGGTATACAATAAGACAGACCGACCCCGCCACCGTGTCTAGGAGGATTTTAGTTTGCTATCTTAGATTTTATTTAGTGTTTCCATCACAGGAAAGTCAATCAAATATATAAATAAAAATACTAAGTGTCGACCAGAATAGAGTTGAAGAAATTTTAACAATAATTAGAGGTCCATAAAACGGGTACCATAAGCGATTATTTAGGTACACAGATCTGACCCATATAATTTTTGTATAAATAAACCAATATAAACCAATTCCTCTATAAGAAGAACGATACATATTTTTTGCCCGCACCCGTAATAATATACACAAAATTCTTTAGCGTTGAATATGTATTAATTTTTGCTGGGACAACTTCTTTACTTGTCCTTATAAACGACTCGTTTCGGTGGCTGCGCGCGTACTGTACCTACGTACTGCGCAACGAGTACTCTTTTCTCCGTCAATGTGCGCTACAGGTGACCTTCTTTCAAAAACGTCCTGTAATTTTTTTTATTAGATAGGAATAATGTAATGTGAATAAGAATAATACATAATTTAAAAAAATACAATGACTTGAATTAACGTTATCGATTTCCATAAACTCGTTCTTAGAATACTTTCATCGTGGCATCATACCGTGAAACTAGTTATAACACTTCTCTACCAACTCTTAACTAACATAACACACAAACACTTTTCACCAAGTAACTGTTCTCGCGGTTTAAGTTGCATACAAAATTTATACCCTGTTTTGTTCTGTAAAGTTTCATCAAAATCCTATCAGTAGTTTTTGCGTAAAAGAATAATGACATCCTTCTATCTATCTATGCTCACAAACCTTCGCGTGTATAATATTAGTAATAAGATTCGCAATTAGCTATTTTATATGCCAAGCGTAAAATTGTTTCATAGGTATACTGTAAAAATCATCTGCGTGTGATCTGCGTGAAATAGGTGAGAATAAGGTTTTCTATATATGGAAATAAAATTTTGCTATTTACCTACTTACATAAAAAAATATTTATCTTATTTTCTATATTTACACCTTGGTCAGCTTCAATAGCGCTAATGAACGTTTTAACTAATGAGCTCTATAAACCTTCAATAAGTTTTTTTATGAATAAGACCGTTAGTCTTTATCATAGCCTTACGTATAGCTGTAGCTACACGTCTAAATTTATATAATGCTGGAGGAACAAGGAGACATAATCATTAATGATCTATGCAGGATATATTGAGAGAAATGTAAATTACTAATCTATATTAAAATTAACTTAGTGTAAGCACCTCTGAATAATCTTTTTTTTTTTCATTTTTACACTGCGAGTGAAAAAGCCTGAGCAAATAAATGGGTATATTTGGTAATAGGTTCTTATAACGATTCATTAAATTAATACCATAAAAATAGTAAGAGAGCTAAAATACAGTAGAAATGGGCACAAGCATCGACAAACATTTGTATAAAAGAGAAAGAGCTAACTGAGACAGATAGACTGATACATAAAACACACATCTCTGACCTGTATACAAGTGTCAATGACTGAATCACCACACACGTCAAAACATTGACCTGTGTTATTACGCCTATTTTGTGTCTGATCACTCTACTCTGTATTATTGTGTCTTGGTTCCTTTTTGGTATATTTACTTTACTCTGCGTGATTCTAATCACTTTTATTTTTTTCTTGTATATATTATATAGTATTATTATTTTTTAATTTACATTAGTAAATATATTGCAGATACCTATAAAATTATTAATTACATTGTCAAAATACATGTATTTAGTGTTCTTGTATTTGATTATTTTTTCCGGTAATCCCGTTGTCAGTATAAGGTTGTTTTTAAATCTATGGAATGAATATTTTTCAAGGCGACGCAACTAATGCAATACCTATATTATTAATTGTTGGAAGTCTTATATATCATATGGTGATTGCGGAAACGAAGTATTTATTATAAATCACGGTTTATACGCCCGTCATCTAATAAGACTAAATTTCATTACAATATTTTTGTTACTCAGAAGAGCTTTGCAAATATATTTTCTCATAGTATAAACTTCGTATTCTTGGATTTGCAAATTTATATAAATTCGTGAGTGCATACATTGTATTAAAGAGTAACTAGATGGATAACGATACTACAAGCTTTTTGAAACCTGTTCTACCTCATGTCTTCAAAGCTATTAAAAATGTTGATATTGAAACCCTAATGAAATGTTCACCTGATGAAATAAGACCTATAATACCATGTTTAGTGCGCATGGCTCTAATATCTCCTCTGGATGTTACAAGTTATTGCACTGAAGCTAAGAAAGACATACTGACACTGTTGTCAGGTATTGATTTGGTAAATTTTATTGTCTCTCTTCTATCAATAGAATTTCATACACTTGAAGTAGATCTAAAAAAGGAACAGCAAATGAGGTAAGTCCTTTTATTATATTTAAATAGTAAAATGGTTGATCATTGTGAATCAAATAGTATATATAATATTTTATACCTGTACATATTTTACATACCTATATTAATTTGAATTATATTTTATTAGATTTACTCTTTGAGCCTAAAGCAAAACCAATAAATGCAATACTTTATATCTTGATATAAAGTATTGCATTTATTGGTTTATTGGTAACATGTTACAATCTGTATATATAAGCCAGTGTTTTTTATTTCCAGACAAAAAAATGGATCACAATGCACTGAATCCTTCTTGATTCCAAAGGTGGTTATTGGTATAGCAAATGACTTTGAAAGATCAGACTCGGCTCGTCGTTTGCGATTAGTTCTATCTGAAATTCTACAAATGCAAGCTCAATTAACTGAATACAATCAAAATAAAATCTCCAATATGGAGTGCACCGTCAAACCCTCAGAATTATTCGATAATGATGTTTATTTGGAGGAGATCACAGATGTTATATGTATTAGTTTAGCAGAGTTACCAAATTTACTGAACATTTGTGATATTGTTGAAGTTTTACTGCATGTGAATAAGGGACCGATTATAATTTCATGGGTTGTTGCTAACATGCCAGATACATTACAAGAAGGTGAGTTTTAAAACAACAAGAAATATTTCAATAGAAATATTTATTTCAGACTTACTTGACGTAACTTACCAACATGAATATCCCCAAAGCTATTTCAAAATGACTTGCTTAGACATTACATACTTTATAACTCAAGAACTTACACGCACAACGGCCCGAATGAGAGGCTAATTGCGGAGACTGGAGTCCAACATACAACTCCAGAACTTTTTTTTTAATTTTTATCATGCATTCAGACTTCCAGACTATAAGCAGATTAGTTGATTATATTATATCGTGAGAGGTGATTATCCATTGAGAATCCATCCTCAGACATTCCAGTTTATGCCAGGTGTTGAAGTCTGGTATTTTACATCTCTTAAGACATGCCATATAATCAGCCAATGTCAGTTGAACAGCAAGTTTATTTGGATGTCAGTCCAGCTTGATTTTATATTTTTTTATTGTCTGAGAGATTTCCTCCTTGCCAGAGTTGATCCCCAGGTGCTGATGAACCTCCGAGTTACAAATAAACCAGAGTGCATTACAGGTTTGCTTCAATATATAGTTTTGAGCTCTTTGAATTTTGTTGATGTTGGTAAAACTTGCAGAACCCCACAGCTGGAGCCCATATGTCCAGATTGGCTTGATTGTCTTGTATATGAGCAACTTATTGTCAGTAGTAAAGCTTTGAATTTCATCCAAGCAGCCATTGCATTTCTCGGTATTTGATATTAATCTCACTCACTTTTAATCTCAACCACTTTACGTTGACTCACTTTGTGGTTATCCACCAAGTGAGTCAACAATATTAAGATGCATATCCAGGTATTTCACAGTTTCACAAGTGGAAAGTGTGCTCGAACCCATCATCATGGATGGACAGTTGCCTTTTCTAAGGGTGAAAGTTATTGAACTGATTTTGAGGCGCTAAATTTAACCACAGACCAATCTTTGTGAGAGCATTTTGTAACAGATCTGTAGCTTCCACTTGATTCTTACTACAAGCTAAGATGGCCGTATCATCTGCAAAGGTGGCTACGATTGTTCCCTGTATTTCTGGAATATCTGCTGTGAAGATGCTATATAAGGCCAAGTACAGAGCCTTGTGGCACTCCAGCCAAATTTCGTAAAATGCCGAGGTGTACTCATTCTCCTTTACTTGGAAGATCCTTTCTCTAAGATAAGACTATTAGCCTATATAGATTATATGGGAGGAGGTTCTTGATATTCTAGAGTAAGCCTTCATGCCAAACTTTATCGAATGCTTGCTGTACATCTATAAATGCTGCAGAGCACTATTCAAAAACTAAAAACTAAACTTAAACTTTTGTTATAACATTGACACTGTTGACATATTGCAATAGGAATGACTATATTTTATAGATATAAAAATGTTTGTGAAATGCATTATCCCACTAACTTGTATTAATATTCTATATTGTATAATATTAAAAATTATAGCATATATGTAAGGCAATGATGATGATAAAATTATTGTAATAAGTTACATTCACTATTGTTTAGCATCTCATAGTATATTATATATTTTATGTATAGTGGCCGAGTCATTAGTATTGAATGCAGAAAGAGGTGAAGAAGGTGGCATAAGAGCAAAAACACTGTCTACTCTTTGTGATGCCTGCCCATACATAGCAGCTTCTATAAGATCCAAGGCAGCTGCAGCATCACGTCTTCCCTCCTTAATTATAAATCTCACCTTAATACACCATCAAGATGATCTGGTAAGTTACACACTTAAAAAGAATGCAATCTACTGTAGCAATAGTTCCCTTTATGTTGAATTACTTTTATTCCATATGAATTATTAAAAATAATAGTTTTAACTACAGTTGTCTCTTCTAGGTATCATTTATGTCAGGACTTTTGCTTGGTTCTGATCAAACTACTAGAGCCTGGTTTGCAACATTTCTACGCAATTCTCACAAAAGAGGCAAAGGTGATGGCCATACATCACTTACAAAACTTCGCATTGAACTCTTGAACAGGCTAAAAGAAGCAACTGCTGGTGTTAATGCTTCTGCATTGCTAAGGCTATATTGTGCTCTTAGAGGTATAGCAGGAATAAAATTCCAAGATGATGAGGTTGCAGGACTTTTGAGATTGGTCACGCAAAAACCGCCTCCAACACCAGCTGGGGTCAGATTTGTTTCTTTGAGTCTTTGTATGATTCTGGCTTGTCCGTCATTAATGGGTTTGTAGACTTCATAAAAATATATTGTTATATATTTTTTTTTCCTATATTGTTTCAATATTTTTTCTTTTCAGCTGCCGCTGAACATGAAAAAAGAGCTATAGAGTGGGTGCAATGGCTAGTTAAAGAAGAAGCATACTTTGAAAGGTATAATATTTCACATACATTTTGTCTGTCTAACAATGCACTGCCCACTGACCCACATTTTTTTTTTAATTTAAATAGCAATTCTGGTATAACAGCGTCTTTTGGCGAAATGTTGCTATTAATAGCAATTCATTTCCATTCTGGACAATTAGCAGCTGTTGGTGAATTAGTCTGTGCAACACTTGGTATGCGCGTCCCTGTACGGCCTAATGGACTCGCCCGCATCAAACAAGCTTTCACACAAGAAATTTTTACTGAGCAGGTACATTAAAAGAAATATTTTTTGCTACAGATAATATTCATTTATTAGATTTGACGGTTTGCTTTCATGTTGGACACCACAATGAATGTACACCTTTTATTGTTCCTTACATAAAGGATCAAGAAAAGTACAGTAAATTTAATAATTAATATCAACTAGTTACTTACTTAATAATAATTCTGTAATAAATCTCTACTGCACATATAATTTTTTATTTTACCATCTTATAGACTAGCCTATCCATATATACCATATTTTCTTTTACTAATATTAACTTATGTTTCAGGTTGTTACTGCTCATGCTGTGAAGGTACCAGTAACGGCTAATCTTAACAGTAACATAGCTGGATATTTACCAGTACATTGTATTCATCAATTACTGAAATCTAGGGCATTTTCAAAGCACAAAGTTCCAATAAAAAAATGGATATATCGTCAAATTTGTAATTGTACAGCACCTTTGCATCCTGTTATGCCAGCACTGGTTGAAGTTTATGTGAACTCCATACTTGTCATTAATAACAAAGGCACAAATGAATATGTAAATAAACCAATCACTGAAGAGGAAATTAGAAAAGTTTTTAGGAACTCGATCTTTGGAGCCAACTTTGATATACAAAATAAACCTTTTAATCCAATGGAGATAGATAACGCAGAAGCCTCTATAGAAATTAATATAGATAAACCTACATTAGCTGCTCAACTACTTCTTATATATTATCTTTTACTCTACGAAGATGTCAGACTATCCAATACAGCTACACTTATTGCCAATGGAAGAAAAGTGAAAAGTTATTCTGCAGCATTTTTGTCTGAATTACCTATAAAATATTTACTGCATCAAGCCCAGAAAGATCAGATGAGTTATGGGTGTCTGTTTAGTCCCCTCCTTCGTTTACTGGCTACTCATTTTCCACAACTGTCCCTTGTTGACGACTGGATGGATGATCAAGTATTTGGAGATACATGCCGCCATCAAGTTGATGTCAACTTATCGGAAGCTGCTATAAATGAAGCTTTCCAGAGTATTGAAGAAAACCCTTATAAAACTGGCAAAATTTTAAAAGCTATGCTGAATAAAAATCCTACCGACATCTGGCCCTTCGCAGAGGTTTTTGTGAAATATTTTAAGAGTGTACTTGGTGACCAAGTCCCAAGGCACATACAAGAATTGTATCGTGAAGTTTGGCTGCGTCTTAACACAGTTTTGCCGCGATGTCTTTGGATAATGACAATAAATGCTTTATTGGATATAAACGGAAATGTCAGAAATGTTACCATCACACAGGAAAATGTTTTAGTTGATCCTTTACAAGTACTAAGGTGTGACATACGAGTATTCAGGTGTGGCCCCATATTGAAGATTATTTTACGAATTTTGGAGGCAAGCCTAGCAGCATCAAGAAGCCAACTTAGTCGGCATTTGCTAGATAAACCTCTTCTTGAAAAAAGTGGCCAATTGACTTCGGATTCTGAAAGAGATGAATTAAAGAACGCTTTAGTCGCTGCACAAGAGAGTGCGGCATTACAAATTTTGCTTGAAGCATGTCTCGAAACGTCAGAAGATGAAAATAAACCAGAATTGATGTGGTCCTTGCGTGAAGTGAGAAGCGTTATTTGCTCATTTCTTCATCAAATTTTTATATCAGAACCTTCATTAGCCAAGCTAGTGCATTTTCAAGGATATCCACGAGAACTTATCCCTGTCACTGTGCAGGGTATTCCTTCCATGCACATATGCTTGGATTTTATACCAGAACTTCTTAGCCAGGCATCACTAGAGAAGCAGATATTTGCTGTAGATTTAGTATCACATTTATCAATCCAATATGCTTTACCGAAAGCCATGTCAATTGCCAGACTATGTATAAATACTCTTTCAACCTTACTGTCAGTGCTTCCAAGTGACTTGCGCTTGGAACTTTTTCAGCCTATTTTAAAGTCATTGGTACGTATTTGTACTGCATTCCCTTCACTTTTAGAAGATATTACATCATTACTATTACAACTAGGACGGATATGTGAGTCACAAGCTTCCCTTGGCCATTGTTGGAATGATACAAACATATTGGGTGAGAGTGCTTATGTGGCATCAGATATTCAACCTAAGACAAAGGTTTTAATTGCAGAGGTTTTATGTAGAGACATTAAGTTAACAATTGCTGAAATTATACAAAAAGCTCTTTTAAATGATAAAATTTATTAGTTACCTACATATTTTAGTATAATAAACCCTAACCATTTTAAACATATTGTTTTTTATTTTGTCCAAATTGTATAATCAAAGTAATATTACCACAGTTTTAAAATCTATACAGTGTGAGAACGGATGTAGACGCCATGAATCACATGAAAGTAACCAGAAATAAAACAATTTTGGGTTTGTACTTCAAGACAGTAAAGCTACAAAACTCTACATGAATACAATACAGAATAAATCTTGTGCGGAATAATTTGTTTTCCATCAGATTAAAAGAAAATTATTCCGAAATTAACAACTTATATATTTTTGTCTTCATCAAAATCTGTTAACAATTTACGATATGTTAATGTAATAAGTTTTGTTGTGCTTGTTTGTTATTAGCAATTGTAGTTACAAAAAGACGTTAGAAAAACATAGTGCCACAGGCGAGTTCAACGTCGACCGACTATATCGATCGAATTTAAAATTGTATCTGTCGGTCGACGACAGATTCAATTTTGAATTTCACCAATAAAAAAATACTCTTTATTTTGACACATACTAAATTGTAATGCCGTTCCTATCATACCTTGATCCTAGTCTTAACTATACTCTATAGAAAAAACAAATTTTGCTACTATTTTGATGTTACAGGATCAGGCAATAAACTATGATATGTACGTAGATATTATATAAGATGTGTCATTAAATTTGATGTTAACATCAAATTGAATGACACGATTCCTTCTTCCATTACTAACCATATATCAATGTCATTATTACTTTAGTTAAGATGATCTCCATAGCAATAAAGTTTAAGTCAATTTAAGAAACGGATATTTGTAAATTGAGCTTAGGATTGAGTCTGTCGTTATATACAGGCACGTCTTGTAGTTTCGTTTTTTACTTCATAGGTTATCCTAGTTTAAATAACAGACGATTATTAGTCTTTGGTACTTATAATGAAATAAAACACAGTACATTATAAAATATTAATACATTATAAGCAACATATTTGAAAGTTCTATTGGGTTTTCTGTTTCTAATTGCCTATACATCCAAGCACATTGATTCCTTGCTCCATGATTTCCTATGTCATTGTATATCTGCGCCTGAAATAAAAAAAATATAATTATCGAAGCACTTCTTTATACTGCAATTAAGAGTAATCTATGTATCTACGAGTATCCGTGTAGTTCGTACGGTCGAGTTTGTTGGTTTACAATATAAACGGGTTTATTTTCGTACGTAGGAAATATCTGTATTCATGAATATGATTGGTTTGGTTTTTTTTTGTTGTCGTATTTCGAGATGATTATTTTTTTTTATTACTGAAATTTTGACCGAATCTCGACTTAAATAGTGCAAAATTAAATCAGAGATCTGAATATTGTCTGGGATACCTACTTATTTATTGATACTAAATTTAGAGTTAGGAATATATTGTTGTGAAATAATAATAACTACTAACTGACGCTGCATCCGGTGCCCCTGGATATAGTATGTACGTATATGCGCATTAATAACAAATATATTATTATAATACAGCTATTTCTATCGGTTGTTTCGGACTAGTTAGTGTTGTGTGAATTGTTGAAAATTTGTAATAATAATTACCTGTAAGTACCACGTTTGTAGTAAGCGGGCATGTGCGCCAACTTTCGCAAAATTCTTTTTAACTGACTCTAAAGCATCACAACAAGACTGAAGAACATGAATGCGGCTCTCGCCTGCCACGGGCGCTGATGCGATTCGACACTTTGTATACAGCAGCAACGCTAAAATTATTCCAATAAAAATATATGCACATTATTTTGATGATAATTAAGTTAAATTAATTAAAAGAATATAATTATTTTACCTCTTGCCATATCGTACGCACTTCCATGGGCCATAACCGTAGGTAAAACTTTTCTCACAAGGGTCAAAGCATTTTTAGCGTAACCCATATTTAATTGTACATTTGCTATGTGCATTTCGGCAGTTGCAGCTAAATAAATTAAGTGGTATTTTTTTGCTATCGATAAAACTTCATTGAGTATCATAATATTTGTCGATTGTACACTACTGACTGTATGTTGTACTTGAGACATTAATATCATAGCTTTTAATCTTAGTGATACATAATGCAAGCTATCGTCCTCGGTTTTGCAAAAATCCAAAACATCATGAAGAGACTGTAGCGCCTCTGTGGCATCTCCCTTTAGAAAATACATTTCAGATTTTAGTAGTTGACTCTCCCATCGGTCATAAGATGCTAGTTGTCTTATACATTGGTCGGCTTCCTCCCATTTACCTAAAATTATTCATAGTGACGTAATATATATAATCTCGCGAGATTTAACACCATCGAAATCGAAATATATTATCATTTAGGCGATTTTGCAATATTTGTTTATTACACAAACGCTACATGCGTTTGTGTAATAAACAAATACAGCAAAGAGATACTTTTACGCACAAGATAGCGCTTTGCCAAATGTAGATGGTGTTATTAACATATTCTCTCTTTTGTTGACATACGTTTCTAATAAAACTATATTATATTTCGTCATTTTTGAAACTAGAATTATGAAACTATTCTTTGGATTAGATTATGAGATATTTAATGATATCTATTCCACGCAGGCACAGCTAGTCTATACTCTATACATATAAATAAAATTGGAGTGTCTGTTTGTAATATTGAAATAACTGTTTTTTACTACATGCATATGAATATAAATACGGTACGGTTTTTTTACAATTTTTGCAAAAGAAAGAAAAATATTTAATTCAGTGCTTTTTAACAATGTAAAAAATACAATATAAAAAAGAAACGAAAAAAATGTATATATAATGAAACTTAATTTACCATGTAGATAATTAAAAATAAACATAAAATAATCATTTTTTACATCCATATAGGCACTGAAGGGCTCCACTAAGCTTTAATGTATGCCCTATGTGAACATACAGCTGGTTTTCAGTGGCACCAAAACGAGGAAAAAAATATATATTTAATGGGGAGAGAGAGAGGGCACTATTTAAAATATTAGTGATAATAATTAAAACAAAATTACAATTAAAATTACTAATAAATACAAACCAATTACATATACTAGAAAGAACAAAATATAATAAAATAACATGAATAAATATGTATAACATTAATAAACATATATATACAACTACTTTGCCGTAAGATTTATAGATTAAATAGTACATAGATAATTCTTGTATAGTTTTTTAAAGGTGATTTATGTTTTTTTTGTCTGTCTGTCTGTTTGTTCCGGCTTTGAAATGGCGGGACCGATTTTGACGGAACATTTTTTGGCATGTATCTGATGTAATAAAGAGTAACTTAGGCTACTTTTATTTTAGAAAAATAAAGTTAAATTCCACGCGGACGAAATCGCGGGAGCTACTATTCCATATTCGGCCGAATACCAAATAACAAATCATGAAAAGAGACACGTCATATTACTCAAGATTCTATGTATTTATTAACAAATTGCAATATCTTAGTAAGTACAATTGACCAGTGATAAATTATGATGGATGAAACAGGAATTTCAGCATTTGAACCAATCCTAGGAAACTTCCCGCAACGAGGGAGATAGGTTGCGACCGGTTGGTTCTTGTTTACGGGCTCGACAAGCATGTCTTACGCCGACTATTCGGCGCTTCGGCCGACAGCTTTGCCGAATATTCGGTATTCTGCCAAATCACTATTGGTGACAACTCTAGTTTAGACTCACCGGCTAATAGCGCGAAGGATGCCTGCGCGTGCGTGGAGACGGCGAGCAGGTGGTGGCAGCGAGCCAGCGCGGGCAGCGCGGCCGCGGCCGGGCCCGCGCCGCGCGCCGCCGCCGCGCACGCCACGCCCGCCGCCGCCGTCGACGACGCCTCCGTCCAGTGCCACGCGCTACTGTTGCCCACCACGCACTCTGCATACCAACCCATACATTGTGACCACCTCCAAAACACTCTCAATTCTAATGTGTAATATGCTGAAGGTTGGTACGGATATATTTGACGGCCTCGGTTTAGCACACACCGCCCGCCGCCGTCGACGACGCCTCCGTCCAGTGCCACGCGCTACTGTTGCCCACCACGCACTCTGCATACCAACCCATACATTGTGACCACCTCCAAAACACTCTCAATTCTAATGTGTAATATGCTGAAGGTTGGTACGGATATATTTGACGGCCTCGGTTTAGCACACACCGCCCGCCGCCGTCGACGACGCCTCCGTCCAGTGCCACGCGCTACTGTTGCCCACCACGCACTCTGCATACCAACCCATACATTGTGACCACCTCCAAAACACTCTCAATTCTCACGGATATATTTCTAGCACACACCGCCCGCCGCCGTCGACGACGCCTCCGTCCAGTGCCACGCGCTACTGTTGCCCAATACCAACCCATACATTGTGACCACCTCCAAAACACTCTCAATTCTAATGTGTAATATGCTGAAGGTTGGTACGGATATATTTGACGGCCTCGGTTTAGCACACACCGCCCGCCGCCGTCGCTGACGCCTCCGTCTAGTGCCACGCGCTACTATTGCCCACCACGCATTCTGCATACCAACCCATACATTGTAACTACATCCAAAGCTCTCAATTCTAATATTACTCGCGTCATTTACCGAAGTTGGTTAAGATATATTTGATGGCCTCGATTTAGCATACCGCGCCCGCCGACGCCTCCGTCCAGTGCCAAGCGCTACTGTTGCCCACCACGCACTGTGCACATCATCCCATACATTCTAAGCAGTTCCACAACACTCAATTCCAATGTTAATAGTGTTATATACCGAAGTTGGTTGTTGAAATACTTGACGGCTTTGTATATATTTATTTAAATATTTCTGTCGATAGTGTCAGAGTGTGTAGTATAGATTATGCGTAGTAGAATATGTGTACATTATTGTCCTAATTTCTTATCATATTATACGTTATTTTGTAACTGGAATGGCAAATAAGCAGACTGAAAATTCGGGCTATATATTTTACTGTAGTAGTGTGATATTTTAGTCCTTTGAATGATTACTCTTCAACTATAAGGGTTGAAAAATTTACTAATTAAAATAACATAAGGCTAAGTATATACATTTAAATGGTGTAATCCTTTTAATGAGATATTGTAAAAACTACTTACTGGTGTTTAAATTAAGGAGTAACTGACAGTTAATGGATGCCATTTCAGTCTTTCCATATAAAGACCACAGAGCGGCCGTGTTCGCCAAACCCGCCATCGTGAGATCCGTCATTGAATGTAAGTAGTTAATAGTGTCTCCTTTCGTTATGATCTGAAAAGTGTGACAAAAAAATATGGTGTAGATGGTTAATTTTAATTATTGGCAAAAATGGTTAAACTCTTTATTAAAATTATATGGAATGTTAATTTAATTGTTTTCATTATACATATATTTTGAAAATTACTTTCTGTTTAATTAACAATTTTCTAGTGATTTTTTCTTAAAACCTATTATAAGGTTCTGAAGAAAATAATTAAATATTTTAATGTTATAAAAAGGTTGTGAAACAATGGACTATATAATGTCGTGCGAATTGTCCAGAGCTATTTATTAATATACAACTAATAGGGAGTTAGCCTACTAAACTAGTATCGGAGTTATTAATATTATGATTACAGGATCGGTGGTGAGAGTAAACACACAGTAGGTTTGGAACCTGCGTATTCTATTGTTATCATGAATAAATCATGAATAATTCTACACTGGTTATTAATACAATTTATATTATTTATAACCTAACGTACACCGGCACAATCTATAATATTATCCTACGCGCTGAAGTGCAATTAGTGTATGACAATATTTACCTGGAACACCTCCGCGGGCTTGGTGCCGTTGACGGCGGCGTGCTGGGCCATGAGCTGCGCGGCGGCGGCGGCTTGGCGCGGCGCGCGCGGCACGCGGGCGAGCAGCGCGGCGCGGCGCGCGCGGCCCCCCGCCCGCGCGCCCCACGCCGCCGCGTGCGCCAGCGCCGCGCCGTCCGCCGCCGCCTGCGCCGCGCCCAGCGCCTCGCGGACCGCCTCCATCGCCACGCTCCTGAGTGCACATGCGCAACACGCGTCTTTTCTTTTAACTGTTCCGATATCGCCGGAGACGTCCGGTGATACACAGCATACAGCCTCCCGGATGAAAATGGCAGGGATTAGAGAAGCTTAACGTTGGTTTAGAAAGCATTCTCCGGTTACGGCTTCACCGGATGAAAACGGCAGTAAATTGGAAGACATTCCAAATGTATCCATAGATGCATAGAATGCCTTCTAAATCGCTCCCATTTTCGCATGCTCCTGCGTACCACGTGTCTCGTCTTTTAACTGTTCCGTTGGAGCATCTGCCAGTTCCAGTGTCAGTTTCACCGGATAAATATGATGAATGATAATAATACTAATAATTTTAGAACAATTTACGCAACGCCAAACGCAATCTAGTCCCAAGTTAAGCCAACTAAAACTTGTGTTATGGATACTAGATGACGCTAGCCCACGCGGCCGCCTCCATCGCCATAGCCACACGCAACTTTTAACTGTTCCAATAGAATAGAATAGAATATGAATGGATTCATTGCGAGAGACGAGTTCCCATAACTTTCTTGCAATGGATTTATTCGTGCTATACAATCTTCGTATTTGCTTCTTTCTTTTGCTGATACATTTCAATATTTTCGAAGGGGCATGTCGCGTGGACGAAGTCGTGGGTGAAAACTAAAATAGTTACTAAAAATACTTACTTATGCCCAAACTGCGTATGCATAGCAGCCCTATTCAGAGCTGCGTAACGAAAGTTTTTGTTTCTGTCATTACACGACGAGTTGTTATTGTTGTTGTTGTTGGCGTTGTTATTGTTTGTAGTGACATTAAATACAGTGCGATCAAAACAATTGTAGAGGGAATCTTGTGCACCGCAAAACTCTTTCATACGAATGCAGTTTAGAAAACTAAGAAAATGCTGAAAATTAAATATATATATATGTCACAATAAATTACAATTAAGTGCTGAATTGGCTTAGTAGTAAAAGTAAAAAATTCTACGGGCATCTCGTACGACATAGCCAGCACACGCACTGTTGTCTGAACAAAAGAGGGGGAAGGGTTGTTATTAATGTGAACTAGTGACCCCTCCAGGCGGTTCCCTCTGGAAATTCACTTGAAGGAGCAACTCACACAGCACAATTTAACATATTTAATTAAACGTAATTTTTAAGTACATATTTGCGAAATATACTTAGAACTAAAGCATAAGCAATAAACAAACAAACTCATGAATGATGAATATATTTGTATAGGGCGAGAATTGAATGTGCGACCCTAAGAATTTTCCTATGACAATATGACATACCATCATAGTCGTCAAACACTATTATGATTGAATAAAAATCTTACAATGTCAGGATATTCCGGTATATCATTTATGATTTGTATTATGGTTTTTTGCAATTGTTTCGGTGGTAATGCCTTTCTCTCATTAATTTGAAGTAAATTGGCTTGTTGTGCTGTGAACAATTCAGCTTGTTTCCTAGACCACTGAGCTTCTTCAAAGCTGCTGAAAATAATTATTACATATATATTATATATTTATCAGACTATATAGTCGTATTTTTAATTAGACGAAGCTAACTGACAGTAGGTAATGTCACTTTGTAAAATAATGTTGCCATATTTAAAGTAATAGTGATGCGTTCAGTTCTCGATCAGATGAATGAACAATGGTGCTCTGCACCGGGGCGTGCCATGTTGGCGACAGACCTCTTTTTATAGATATTTCTATTTTTAAACCTTATATTTTTTATATACAATTTTTGAAATATATTTTTTATTATATTGTTTTGCTACATTGTGTCATATACTCTACCACTAAATACATCACTATAAGTTTGCTAAGTAATTTTATTTATATTACCCTATTTCACTGCCGTTGCCACCCGTAATAAGTGTGAATAGTTTAATCATTTCAAACTACAAAAGAATATTATTTCTATTTTATAATAAAATTGTATAAATGTGCTCTGATATAAGTTACTAGTGGTATGTAACTACAATCACTTTTTTGACGGCTTATTACAAAGCGCGCTACTAGTGCCAACACCGATCAACGTCGCGAGCGATTTTGTTCGTAATTCAGCTTCTAATCTCTGGTCTGAGAGCACGTATTTTTTTGCGCTCACGCTGTTTTGTTATTGTTTTTGTTAAGTTTTTCTTTATGTTGTGTTTGAGGTAATTGTTGGGTATATAGTATATTTGCTATATTGTTTCGTACAAACAATATGGATCCTCAACCAAACACGTCAAGCCAAAGCTTGTCTGTAAAAAAGAAGAGACCATGGATTGCTTTAAGCGTTACCGAAAAACTTATGAGACAAAACGTCTACAAACACGTATTTGAGGAGAAACCTGCTTCACTATTACCTTTTGAGACACCCGAAAAAAAAAGAATGTATTTCGAAAACAGCTGAAATTTTGGGAATTGGTGTGACCTCAGTCTACAATGTATTAAAAGAATACAAATAAAATGAACCATTTAAGTCTCTGGAGAAACGTGGACCGAAACACTGTTTCAAAGATAAATTATTGACAATTTTTCAGATTTATAATTAATGTCGCTGAAAGCGACAATGATTTTTTTTATCTGATGATGAATAAAAACAAATTTTGTAATAAGCGAATTTTTTTTATTTTTATTACCTAACTATATTATGTTATATATTGTTATATTTCATACATCTATAGTTTCAACTACATGATGTATTGTAAATAGAACAGTCTTAAAAGTTTCCTCGCAATTTTTTTTTTATGTTTAAAACACTCGGTATTCAGTATAGGTGGTCTTCGAAAACCCGTACCCGATATCGGCAGTTCGGTGGACTAACTATTCACTAAACTAGACAATCGAGGCAATTCTATTAATTCAGGAGTTTTCTCAATTATTCACTTTGTCACAACACTATATTTATTTCATCAAATACTGACAACACAGTAAAGATCAATTGACTTCGTCTAATTAAAAATACGACTATAGATGACATAATTTAGTTATTTATAATACTTCATTGTACCAACTATGAAATACCATACAAATGAAATAAAAGCTTCTACAAAATGCTTGCCAAACAATTCCCAGAAAGAGTTTAAACAAAAAATATAATAGGTGATGAATGACTGAAAATGAGTGAACATAAAATCAATTAAAAACTATAAATGAAAACAAATTTAGGTTGGATATTAACACTTAGATATACTGCAATAGAAATATTAATTTAGTTGTGCATACTTACTTATCTCTATCCACTAAGTTCATTCTTATTGATGACTCATGGGGCCTGGACTCATCAGGCAGTGTTGGAGAAGTGGCCGTAGTATGTGGTTCCATATTATTCAATTTCTGGAACATAAAATATCATATGAAAGACTGTTTTTAATGTCCTCTAATTCTGAAGGACTTAAACCTAAATCTTATGAAGTAACAAACACTGAATACCTCTTTGCTTAATGATCTCATCATCAAACCTGGCCTCCCTTTTTGATAATATATACAAAATGACTTGTACAAAGAAATAATTTGAACAAAAGTCAATTTGTCTAAATGCACCATTATTCGTCTCAAATAAAATCCTGAAAGTAAGAAAAAAATTATAAATATGGGTAATAATAATAATCATCTGAGGACAATTCACACAGTGCCATCCAGACCCAAATTAAGCTAGCTAAAGCTTGTGTTATGTACTAGATAACTGATACATATACATAGATATTTTTTTTGTAAATACATACATATTATATATAGAATACCACCAGACAGATACAAACAATCATATTCATGAATACAAATGTTTGTGCCATGCGAAGAATCTAACCCGCAACCATTGGTTGTAAAGCTGTGTGCTAGACCACCGAGGTCTTCAAATAAACCTTTAGAAGTGAATTTATATGTTTAATTATACCATTTATGTTTGCATTATGTAACAACAAGTAACAAATAAAATGCAAACAAAATAAAAGTTTTCAAAAAAACATTCAAGAACATTCATAACATTTTATTACCTAGTACACTGCATCTTGTTATAATACAGAGATTAGTTTCACTTTGTTCTATCATAAGTTTGTCTATAGTTGAAGTGACACAATCCATAAGAGCATTAATGCCATTGGCATATATACTTTGCAAGCGAACACAAAAGTTCTGCAAATGGACACTCAAAAGGTTGTATCGACCATCTGTTAGAAGAGCTTCTAACTCTTTGAATTCCATATCAGGACACTAAAACATTAAATTTGAACATGTTGTTAAACTGACAATATTGCTTATATGTATTTATGATAAATTTTCCACTCAGGTGGTATAGAGACAAAAGATGAACCACTAGTTATAACTGTGTACATATTTCTAATCCAACTGATGTTTGTATCTATATTTATAATCAGCCCTCAGTATTTTGTAGCACATTTGCAAGTATGTTATAACTCATAATAAATATTATGTTGGGGTAGAGGTATTCTCAGTAATGTGAACTAATAACTACTTTGCCATTCTATAATCATTAATAAAATATATATTTTATTGAATACATACCTGTATAAGTTTTAGAGCTAATAAACAAAAATCTTTTCTGTATTTAGGAGCCATAGCACAATCAATCATTTCTTTAGCTAAAAATATAAACACTGTAATTAGTTTGTTTATTATAATTATAAAATACCCCATATAGGACACTACAGTTTTTAGTTTTCTAAAGGTTAAGAGATCAGTTTTGGTTAAAATTGAATTGGGATATTCTTTATTTTATGTGAATTTTGAATTTTATAATATTTTGTTGACAGTAGGTGAAGTCCACTATTTTAAATTACTAAATCTTTTCATAAACAAAGTATTTTAAAATAAAACTATAATAACATTGTTATTAACTATATACATACCTTCTATTTTCAGTAAACCATACTCTCTAATGAAAGCAACAACAGCAATTTTATGAGGGGTAATGTTTTCAACATTGCCTTTCACATTGATTAATTTAACAAAATCTAAGCCTTCACCACCAATATCCATGGCTGCTGAAGATACTTTCTTATATACAGAATTTATAGATATTTGTGGAAACAAAATATTTTTCAGAGGTAAACTTATAATAGATACTGCAATTATAATAAAATGCAATTAATATTAAATTGTAAAACATTGCACAAAATTTATACATAATTTTAGTAAAACTTGCAGCAATTTAATTTGAAATAAATACATTAAACATACCTACTTAAATTTTATAAGTACTTCATTTTTTATGTTTGATATATTTAATTCCGTAATTTGAAATTTTATTTCTGAAACTGAATTCATTTTTTGTCGACAATAGCAACTCTTTTCAGTATTGCCAGACAACCATTTTGGGTTCCCCTCAAATTTTGACCATAAACAAAAACACTATGAAAATTAGGCCGTCATAATTACGATCGCCTTTTTTTTGTGGTGGCTGTGAGGGAAGCTACCTCTGAACTTCTCACGTTAACAAAGTAACTATAGTGGTGTTCAAGTAAATAACGTAGAATAAGATAAACAAAATATATTTCTAATCAAAATAAAATATATAAAAACACATTTAATACAATATACAGATAAGTTATAGATACAATATACGACGACAGACAAGATGACAAAACACACTCTCTTTTCAAATATTCTAACATACTTCATCTACCATACCAGCCAGTCTAGACATCGATTGCAAATCTCGTTCTAACACTCTTCCTCAATCGTTGCCTTCAGACTTTCTCTCAGTAGCATACTCCTCACAATCCTCTCACACACAAACTAATCCACAACACCCATCTCACTACGACAGAACTCATGCTTGCCTCTATGCACTACCTTTGTCATAATATCAGCAACCATTAACTTTGTCTCCAAATATTTTAAATCTATTACTCCATTCTCTAGAGTCTCTCGCAGAAAGTGATAACGTACATCCATGTTTGGTTTGCTGATGGTGTACTGGATTATTTGCTATCGCTATAGCAGATTGACTATCTGAGTGGATTGTTAAGGGTGGCTCTTCCTTACCCAAGAGTTCCTCTAGGAAACGTTTTAAAAAGACAGCTTCCTTGGAAGCTTCTGACAGACTGACATATTCAGCCTGAGCGGTTGATATGGCAACACTTCTTTGTTTAGTGCTTTCCATGAAATGGCTCCTTTTGCCATCTTAAATACATTTCCGGAATAGGACTTTCTGTCGACTAGATCATGTGTATGATCAGCGTCACAGAAACGTTGAACTGTTCCTCGTTCATCCCTGTAATATACCAGTTCCAAACTTTTCGTACCTTTAAGGTATCTCAGGATCCTCTTCGTTGCTGTCCAGTGAACTTCCTCAAAACAATTGCAAAATTGACTCATAAAATTCACTGCGTGTGCAATATCGGGTCTTGTACATACAGCAAGATACATGCGTGAACCTATAAGTTCCCTATATGGAACTTTCACATCTGGCCTATGCATATTGTCTGGTTTTATAAAATGATGACCAGAAACAGCTGGAGTGGCAACTGGTTTAAAGTCTTCCATCCGAAATTTGCGTTAAGAGTTTTTCTATATACTCTTCCTGATCAATTTTAATGCGGCTTTTCTCTTGTCTGAGCCTCCTGCCCAAGAACAACTCCGCCTTTCCTAAATCCTTCATTTCAAATTTTGACATCAAGTTACTTTTAACTTTTAGCATTTCTTGTGAATTATTATAGAAGATAAGAATGTCGTCTACATATTCATTATTCTTCTCTGTTCTCCTTGTATATACACAGGGTTTATTCTTGCAACGCTTGAAGTTTAAGCTCTCTAGCTCGGTATTTAGCTTCAGGTTCCAGGAACGTGGTGCCTGCTTCAAACCATACAAAGATTTCTTTAATAGACATACATAATCCTCTTTACCTTTTTCTTCAAAGCCTGGTGGTTGCCTCATATAAACAACTTCATTGAGATTACCATTTAAGAAAGCTGTTTTGACATCCATGTGGTCTATCTGTAGACCATTTTGCGCAGCCAGAGCTATCAACAATCTCAATGAGCTATGTCGCACTACAGGGGAGAATGTCTCATCATAATCAATGCCTTTCCTCTGACTGAAGCCAACTAAGCGAGCCTTGTATCGAGTTTGATTCCCCGCCTCCTTTTTGATTCGGAATAACCATTTCGAATCAACAATGTTGCTCGCTTGGTCAGGCTTCACTAGGACCCAAGTTTTGTTCTTCTTTAGTGCATCTAGTTCTTCCTGTATAGCGTCTCTCCATAGCTTGGCATCTTTTCTAAACAGTGCCTCTCTAACATTAAGTGGATCATCTTCTGATATCGCTTGGTAAGTAACGTAATCAGGACAGGACATTGGACAGGTTTCCTTACTCGAATCGAATATCTCCTTTCTTGCACTTCAGCTTCTCCACTTACGGTTGTAGGTTCTTCATTTAGGCTGTCTTCAAATGATGTACACCGGTCAACTTCGTATTCAATATTCTCAGTTTCCGTGATTGCTTCGGTATGATTTCCGTCATTCCTTTGCAAATCCTCTTCCTGAACTGCTTCTTCATGTTGAAAGTTCTCATTGGGTTGTTCAGTTTCCTCTGAAACATTATCAAGGTTGACGGTTGTATACTTTTGTTCTTTGTTTTCATCATTTATGCGGTAATACTGGTTTTCAAAAAATATGACATCTCTAGATCCGTAACAATTTTCTGTTGAGGGGTCGAATAATTTATATCCCTCTGATTCTTCGGAATATCCTACAAAAATAACTTCTTTGCTTTTAGGAAGCCATTTTGTCCTTTTGACATCTGGGTTATGTGCAAAGGCCCTACATCCGAAAATTCTTAGGTGGTTTAGGTCAATTTTTCCGCCAGTCCATACCTCTTCAAGCGTTTTATTTCTAACTGCAACTGTTGGACTTCTATTCTTCAAATAGACTGCAGTATTCACCGCTTCTGCCCATAAACGAGTAGGGAGACCTGCTTCTTGTGGCAACGCACGTGCCTTCTCTGCTATAATGCGATTTGCACGTTCGGCAACTCCGTTTTGCTCAGGTTTGTACGCATTCGTGAGTTGACGCTTAATGCCATGTTCCCTTAGATACTCGTCTACTTGATTATTTACATATTCTCTTCCATTGTCTGTTCTCAAGACCTTTAACTTTTTACCAGTTTGTTTTTCTGTAAAAGTTTTAAAAAATTTAATCTTATCAAAAGCTTCACTCTTATGGTTAATAAAGTATACAAAAGTTTTTCGAGAATAATCACCGATAAATGGTATATAGTGTCTATGACCTCCGACGGATTCCTCAGTCATTGGACCACTAATATCTGAGTGAACTAACTCTAGAAGTTCTTTGGCTCTCGTAGCCTTTGTATGTTTAAGGAATGGTTGTCTGTTGTTTGTTTACCCATTAGGCATGCTACACATTGTAAATTGCAAGTAGGTGTATTCTTGAAACTCACCCCTGTTGCCATTTTATCTCTTAGCAATTTAAGGTTACGTACTCCTAAATGCGCTAACCTTTTGTGCCCTAGCTCCAAGCCTCCGCTTTGTGTAGTCGCTAATGCACTTTCCTGTGAAGAAGAGTTTAGTTTGTATACACCTCTATCAAGCACACCTTCCAACCAAGTCTTACCTTTCACAATACAGTGGACCCCCCATTATCCGACAAACGTTTTGCAGGGCAGTGTCGGACCATCGAATTTGTCGGATTATTGAGTGCTGCCTAAGGGTCCCCTATAGTCCGGAATTTTTTAGTAAAGAGTATCTTGTAATCCGACAAATTACAGATCCAGTGATAAGATTCTATGTTATATATATATGTATGTATGTAGGTATATGCACTCTCAACTATATTGTCAAAAAAATATTCAGTAATAAATAATAGACCATGTCGGATTACAAGGGGGGCCGGATAAGACAGGGGCCGGATTACCGCGGGTCCACTGTACATTCATTCTTATTGTAGATATTACAGCCATTCTCTGAGAAAACAACAACGTTGTCGCTTTAGACCAGTCTACTTACACTCAATAGGTTTGATTCAAGCTTTGGTACATACATACACCTCCAATAGTAATATTTAACGACTCATTCGTCATCACACCAAAACCTTCACCATATACCTTACCTCCATCCGCGCAAAATATTTCTACCTTATTACTAGCCTCTACATAGTTATACATACAATTTCTTCTAGAACTCATATATGTCGATGCTCCAGAATCTATAATCCATGTCTCATCGTGTTCTCTTGATGTAGATTGTTGATGCTTTAAAGCTAATGCCGTCATTGTGTGGGCAGTTTTAGCTTCACTCGGATTGTGCGGACAGTCACATGCTTTGTGTGGACCTTAGCAAATAAAGCATTTTATTTTCTTTTTCTCTGTTTATTTCCTCTGAACAAACTTTTTCTTCGGTTTCTCTGTTAATGCTGAATTATTTGAAACTGTAAAGCTTGTACTCGTAATTGCTTTATTGTCATCCAATTGTAAAAGTTTTGTTTTTACATAATCTGAAGTTAATTCAGTATTAGCATTCTCTAAGGCCAACCTCACTAGTGTGTATTTATCTGGTAAACCTTGCAGCATCAGGGCTGCCAACAGCTCATCGTCAACCTCCTTTCCAAGGTCTGCTAACTGATTCGCTACTCTCATAAGCTCAGTAACATATTCGATTATTGAATTAAACATATTAAGCTTTAGGCATACTAGTGTTGATAGTAGTCTGCACCTATTATTAATGCCTTTATCCTCATATGCTGTTTTTAAACTGTTCCATGTTTGAAATGCACTCGTTGCTTTTCGAACATGTACCTTGCAATGGTTTTCAACCAATAGACAAATTTTAGTACGTGCCTTTTGATCTCCTCGACGTGCTACAGTATCTTCAGGGTTAGGTACTTCTTCTACATACTGCCACAGATCATCATGGACTAAAATACACTCCACATCAAACTTCCATGTATCGAAGTTGGTACTCCCTTGCAGTTTCTCTATCGCTGGGAGTCCAGATCCCGCACTCGATGTTGATGGTATACTCATCTCCGTACTTGTGTTTTTATATTGAATAGAAATAGGGGTGCTCTCACCGTTTTTGTAAATCATATATCCTTAATACACTTCGGTATTCGTATTTACTTGATTTTTGCTTCCCATAACCTGTGAGGGAAGTTACCTCTGAACTTCTCACGTTAACAGAGTAAGTATAGTGGTGTTCAAGTAAATAACGTAGAATAAGATAAACAAAATATATTTCTAATCAAAATAAAATAATATAAAAACACATTTAATACAATATACAGATAAGTTATAGATACAATATACGACGACAGACAAGATGACAAAACACACTCTCTTTTCAAATATTCAAACATACTTCATCTGCCATACCAGCCAGTCTAGACATCGATTGCAAACCTCGTTCTAACAGTGGCAAATAAGCATACGGAAGTGACTATGTAATTTAATGATGGTAAATAAACATACCTATATACAGAAAAACTCCCATGACATCGATGAATAATCGATGTTCTAGTTTTTTTAGGGCCTTCATATTCTAGATCGCGAATGCTTCTTGAGTCTTCCCATATCTCTTATATATTTCTGTTAAACGGAGTAAACAATTAAAAATAATGTTTTATTGACATTAAAAATCAAATATTATATTATAAACCTACCTCCTACTATTAACCTACTTCCTACAAATATCGATACTTTTTTAAAAACGATTAATATCGATTGTCACTAATGCAATCTGTGGCTGAATATTTATTTGAATACGAATACCTATATGTTTCAGAAGAAACAAAATTTTGTTTATTTTTCTAAGAACCTCTGTTATTTCAGTAAAATTTTATAAAATGTATCAAGTTTATTAATTTATAAACGTTATAATGCAACAACGGGCAATAGAAAGTAATGAAATACGAATCTACTACTAATCCTTTAGTTATCTCAGACCGAATGAATTAAAAAATATGAAGGCCAGTGCTTGGGTTTCGTTTGTGTTAAAAGTGTTTTATTTGTTTGTACTTACTGAAACTTCTCGTGTTACGATACAACAGGAAGATACAATACCTGACCATGGGCGTTGCGAGCCGATAACTATTCAATTTTGTCAGCACATACGATATAATCAGACAATCTTTCCAAATTTACTTAACCATGCTAAACAAGAAGATGCTGGCACAGAAGTACACCCGTTTACTCCGCTAATAAAAGTAAATTGCTCACCTGATTTAAAATTTTTCTTATGTTCTGTTTATGTACCTGTGTGCACAATTTTAGACGAAGCAATACCACCTTGTCGTCATTTATGCGAATCGGTCAGACATAATTGTGATGAATTAATGATACATTTTGGATTTCCTTGGCCTGAAAACTTGGATTGCTCAAAGTTTCCTGTTGTTACTGATCCTGGTGTAATATGTGTTGGTGACAATAATTTAACCCATGAAACACACAAGCCTACTGAAACTAAGCTTCCTAAAGTAGATTATAAATCTAACATTGAAAGAGATCCAACTAAATTATATGGAGCTAAAGATTATGGCTTTGTGTGTCCTGTTCAATTTAAGGTGCCTAGAAACTTAGAACTTGAATATTCCTTGAAAGTTGGAGATAAGATTGAACATGACTGTGGAGCGCCCTGCAATGGAATGTTTTTCAGCCAAGATGAGAAACATTTTTCAAGACTTTGGATTGGCATTTGGGCAACTCTTTGTACACTAAGTTGTTTATTTACTGTACTAACCTTCCTCATAGATACTGACAGATTTCGTTACCCCGAAAGACCTATAATATTCTTATCTGTTTGCTATCTTATGTTAGCTACTGCATATGTCATAGGTTGGAGTGCAGGTGACAATGTAAGTTGCCAAGGGCCATTTCCATCGTCAATCAGTGGCACAAGATTACCCAATATTTTAGTTATAACCCAAGGAACAAAACATGAGCCGTGTACAATTCTTTTTATGATAGTATACTTCTTTAGTATGGCATCAAGTATATGGTGGGTAATACTCACACTTACTTGGTTTTTGGCTGCTGGATTAAAATGGGGACATGAGGCAATTGAAGCTAATTCACAGTATTTCCACTTGGCTGCCTGGGCTGTGCCTGCTATAAAAACCATATCAATCCTTGCAATGGGGAAAGTGGATGGTGAGTGCACATTTTTCTAAATGTTTGTTATTATGAAAACACATTTTTATGTACATATATATATATTCGAAGTGAAATTAATTAATCTGGCCATATTAAGTTAGTGACTTCAAATCTACATTATGTATATAGTTTCATTACACAGGAGATTTAGTACATATAAGCACTGTAGATATTATACTATTGCTAATATCACTAATTTTGTCATTGAAGAATATTATTAAGTTCATACCATTAAAAATTACACAATTTTTACAAATTTTTGGTATGATTGGTTGTATAAATAAATCTGCTTTTCTGATTATAGTTATAGGATTTAATATGGTCATATTATTTTATAGATAAAAACAGAATAATGTAGTAAAAACATATAATACTGGTAGAGCTTACTGTAGCATGGAAAACAAACACACCTAAACACATAAATATTAAACTAATAAATAAATTAACTAAACTAGGAACTAATGAACCAATTAACTAAAAATTAATATACAGTGAAGTAAGCAGAGGATCAAAGTGGGAGAGAGTTGGTATATTAAACATACACTTGTAACACAAGTCTAAGGAACTCCTTGGACTTACCATCTCTGCCCACTATGGACTGACCCACCTCCTGCATAATGAAACCATTGAATACTAAGACCTTCATCTCAATCTCTTTTCAGATTCATCAACTATACATACAGACACTTTTGCATATATCATATTATGTAGAATAATAATCAGTTATATTTTATTTGTTATCATTTTGTTTCAGGTGATATATTGTCTGGTGTTTGTTACGTCGGGCTGTGGGATGCTGAAGCTCTAAGAGGATTTGTATTAGCACCCTTATGTGTATACCTTGTACTTGGTACAATTTTCTTAATGGCTGGTTTTGTTTCTCTTTTCCGTATTAGAACTGTTATGAAACATGATGGGACAAAAACAGATAAATTAGAAAAATTGATGATCCGTATTGGGGTATTTGGAGTTCTATATACTGTACCAGCTTTGATTGTGATTGCATGTTTATTTTATGAACAAGCACACTTTGACAACTGGATGGTAACATGGCATAAAGATATGTGTGCTACACCAGCCTATTCCATACCTTGTCCTTTCACACACCAACATATGGAAAGACCTAACTTTGAAATGTTCATGATCAAATACCTTATGACAATGATAGTTGGCATTACATCTAGTTTCTGGATATGGTCAGGTAAAACTTTAGTATCATGGCGACAATTTTTTGATAAAATTAAAGGTAGAAGAGTTGAAGCATATGTGTGATTTATGTGTCATTTTTTTAATGCAGCTTACTTTACAATGAAATTAATAATAAGGCTGATAATGTAAATATTCTGAGTCTCATTATTTTTAAGACTACTTTTTTTATTATGTTTATACTAAGTTTTAGAATGTAAGTATCATCAATGTTAGATGTAATAAAAATGTATTTTTAATTTTTATGGGTTTATTTTTATTACGTGTGAGGTAACTCAACATAGACACCTACCCTTGCTTTGTAAACGTATTTAGTTGCAGGATGCGAAAGGGCAGTGATATTGCAGGATAAGCGACATTGAATGTTCCGTAATGGCACTGCATGAGCGGTATGACGGAAGTTAACTAATAATACGATAATCGTAGTAATGTTTATAATATATAGAGGACGATTGCCACTTATTATCAGGTGGGCCGCCAGCATTTTTGCTATTCCATTTATTTTAAAAAAAAGTAGGCCCATGTGATATTCACATATTTCACCATTACCATAACATTTTCACCTACTTCCGTATCAACAGGGTGAAGAATAAAAATATAAAAATTGTTTCTAAGAACTAAGAAGGTTAGTAATAGATTACATTTTACATAATTTTTTCAATATCATTCATGATTAAAATCTAATCGTAAAAATTACTACTTGCATTAATCATTATTAATAATTGTTAATTAGTTTATTAAGGCTTGATGAACATAAATTTAAAGTCTGTGTATCCCGCTGATAAGGTTTTAAACAGCTTTTAATTTACACTTTATTCACAGATGAGACTATTTCTTCAATAGACTTTTATGTAAACAAGTAAGGTAAAAAAGAAGAGACAAAAATATCCATGTAAACAATGGGTATTTTTGTCTCTCTTCTTTCTCCCGCCGTACAACTTCTTTATAAGATGATGATGATGATGGAAGTGGTGATAGTGGTGATGATGATATCAATGTTGTAGATTTTGATTATATCTTTGAAGATGACATCATCCATCATCGACTTCATTACTGTCATCATCGACAAAAGTCACTACTAATATTAATTGTAATGGTAACCAAAATGCCCGTCTGATGGTAAATATACCGACCGACATGTGATGCCCTCTATAACCCTCCCGCGTTTTCACCCTGAGAATTTAGATGTCATGTCTCAATACCCTGTAATTTCGCTGCAATCGAATAATAACTTACATAGCAAGAAGTTTGAAGACAGAAATACATTCATACACAGACCTTGGATAGGAGATGACTGAAGGTGACTTTGTACATACAATGGAATCCCGGTAATCCGGCTCCCCTTGTAAACCGGACCATGTCGGTTATTATTTATTATTGAATATTTTTTTGACAATCTTCGCTTATCCATGATTGAACACGTTTGAACTTATATGTATCACCACTATTGTACTCGACGCGTAGGGTATTGTTTTGATTATGATTGCTTAGTTTAAATTTTACTATGTACATATGATGAAATAGCAGTGCAATATAGTATGTGTTCATTGTTTATTCACTGTGTATTACGTATCAGCTCAGATGCGAAAGCACAAAACACTGACAATTAAAGAAAAATGTGATATTTTAGACCGCCTAAATCATAATGAATCTTTTAGTAGATGACATACATAATGGAGTATGAATTGTAGGTACTTTGGAACGCACATACATACATATATAACACACAGAATCTTATCACTGGATCTGTAATTTGTGGGAGTACAAGATACTATTTTATAAATCATTCCGGACTATAAGGGACCTCCTTAGGTAGTACTCTATAATCTGACAAATTTGATTGTCTGACACTGCCCTGCAAAATGTTTGTCGGATAACTGGAGGTCCACTGTAGTCATCTTCAAACTTAAATTTAGATATAGTTAATCAAATACAAAAGATAATTAAATTTGAATAATTTTATCTTGATTATAATTAATTAATGTCAATAAAACTTTTAATTATGATTTATAATCATAACTTTTAAGGGTCAACAAACTTTCGGCCAACACTGCTCCTCCCCCTTTCTTAGATTTCAATAAATTTCAAAGTGTAACTGTTGTAATTATAATAAATTTCTAAGATCTATGTAAGATTAAATCTTCATCAAAATTGTATGGAATATTAATATATCAGAAATATGTGTTATTTCATTTATGTTCATTATAAGTTAATACAATTTGTCTGAATACAATAAATCATACAAATTTGTCTGAATTGGTAGGAGTAAGGTACATAATATCAGTGATGATTTATTAAACAAAACAAATTCATAATAGAAATAAGCTTAATTTAATTCAGAATATTTATATTACATAATTTAAAATTTCTATACACCCAAGTACTTCATACTTTTCAAGCATTGCATACATTCGACAATCATGTAACTTAACTGATAATAATCATTATAATCAATGTAACTTAACTGCTACTAATTGGTAGTTACTTAAGTTATGCTCTGGTGTATTTCCCCCAGATGTGAAGCATGAACACTGATGCAATGAAGAGTAGGGACATCACTAGTACTGGTACTGGACCTCTGAAACATAATAATGTTCATGATCAGTTACTATATTATGTAATTGAACCTGATATAGTACATATAGCAAAATAGAATAACAGTATTAATCAGGATTTTTAGAAGTTATTTTCATAACATATTGAACTTAAAAACAAAGCATACTAAATGGGTTTACATATATATTAAGGTAATAATGGCAATGAGAAATGTTTCATTACTGTATATTTTCTTAATATAAATATAGGTATTCATCCTATGTTACAAATTTTACCTATTTCTAATAACATAGTTAAGTAAGGCAGTATGCTTAATTGTCAACTGTTAAAAATGGAGTACTTTTTTTAAACTATTTTGGTTATGTACTTATACATTGTTTCTATTGATTTAATTAACATACTAATTACAGTGCCTCTATCTGTCTACTAAAGCACTATCTGACCTAATTTAATCTAAGAATGTAATTTATTTTGTATACAAAATTTTATTGAAACTGCCAGATATCTTGCTAAGATTTAATAAAATTTTGTGTATATCACTTAATAGATATCTAAAGGATTCTACAAACTTTCATAAGTATAATATCAGAAGTATTGGTGACTCACTGCAACTACTACATAGGTTCCTAGTTAACTCTTAAAGTGATTGTATAAGACGAAAGTAACTTTTATTGAAAAAATAAACTACTATTATGCTAAAATTATTAAAGTATAGAATTATTATTATATATATATGTATGTACGTAGGTATATGCAGTTATAAATAAAATTGAATAACATAACAGCGATACGAATAATATAAACTTGAAGAATATGATTAACTTACACTTTTACACCAGGGGAATCATCAGTGTAAAAACGCCACATGCCACCAGAGCCAGCGCCAGTGCTTCGATTTCTTGCCGCAGTGGTGGTTGATGTAGTTTTGCGTTGTCGTACTGTGCTTCCACTTGCCGATCTCGGAGCCGATGTTGCTTTGCTTGGCGATCGGCCACCTGATCCTACAGATGTAGAGCTTGGAGAAGGTGGCTGCAATAAATTATTTTTTTCTTTATTCTTTGAAACAGTAAGTCATTGCCTTAAAGATTTGTTTTATAGAATTAACCTACCATTATTATGAGAAAATTACTTTACAAACGGGAAATAACAAGTAAGTAATATCTGAAAACAACTGTTGAATATTAAAAAAAAAGTATGTTGTGAATCGTGGAATGCCTGCAACGCGTACAAATTGCTTTACACGTTGTCAATGTTGTCAATTCAGTGTTGCCAAAATTTATATAACTCAAAGAGCCATGAAACTTTAATTACGGCATTTTGTAAAAAAAAATAAAATAAAAAGTAGTTTACAATACACAAAAGTAGTTTACACTATTACAAGTGTAGTTGTTATGTTTATATAATTTTTTTTGTTCCTAATATATATTAACGAACTGTGCCAACTAAATATTGACAATGCAAAGGTGTTCTCGTATGCTGATGACACTGCAATAGTTTTAAGTGGGACAACGTGGGATAAAGTACACAATTATGCGGAACAGGGCCTAAGCACAATTGCAAATTGGCTAAACAATAACCTTCTAACATTAAATAGCTTGAAAACTAACTACATCTGCTTCACTATGAACAGTAGAACGCAGCCAGGTTCTAATTTTAACATAAAAATACATACATGTAAATATACCAATTCACAATGTAACTGCGATACAATAAATAAAGTGACTACTATAAAGTATCTGGGTATAGTGTTAGACCAAAGATTATCATGGCATCCGCAAATCGAATTGGTCGCTGGTATAATTAGAAAGCTTATATGGGTATTCAAAATACTAAGACACATTACAAATAAAAAAACTGAATGGCTTAAATAATCTAAAAAAAAAACAAACACATATGACAATGTATATGGAAGAGCGAGATGTAGGTACCTGACACAGTCATTTCCATGCTTAGTAGGTCATCCCAACACTATGTTATTGTAACTGAATTGTTTTTAAAAAAATAAACATTTTTTCCATTTTTTTTCATTTTTTCATAAAAACTCAATTTTGATTGATGATTATACTAATTGCTAATTATTGTATTGATGTAGTACTAATTTGTTAAACAACAAATTGGTACTGCAATCATAAATAGTATCGAAGGTGCATAATTATTTTTGGATTAAAATGGGCCAGAAAGGTAAGATGAGTGGTCAGTTAGCCCATTAGAGCGATTTGTCAGTAAGTTCTATTGTTTTGCAGAAAGGATCGCTTGGATATGGTGGTACAATTCTAATTAATGTTATACTTATTGTAATTTAACACATTTCATTGTAAATTTTACTGCATTGTTATTTATTTTTTATACAATTATACACCCCAAAAAAGATTTTCGTGTGACTTCTCGCCATTCGTTATTTATGTTATAATTATCTTTTCCTAAAGGCAAAGGAAACTACGGCCATACTGTTTTTCGTGATCTTAATTTTTTTATAACTTAATGTTTGTTCATAAAATGGGCTAAGTTTTTAAATTGTAAATATCTTTTTTATATAATGTTTTTTCCTACAATATCTATAGTTCTATCTGCCTATAAAACGGCTTAAACCTAGTTACCAAGGAAATGTCACCACTGGAGTCAATGCCAGGGAAAAGGTCCATGCTTGGAGTTCTCCCCGTGGGAAGGCGATTGTTAGTAATATGAACTAATAACCACATTGTTAGCAATGTACCATGTCAGGTTTATTAGTTTGTACCATCTAGAATAGATACGTGAAGTTATGGTACCTTAAATTTGGCTGGCCATTTAAGCCATTTAAATTTGTTAATATAAAAAAAAGAATGTACCAATGATTTTTAATGTCACTCAATAATAAAATAAGATTATATCTGCATATTTAAATGATCTTTCCTAAACTCTTTATTTACGGACTATATTTATCTTAAAAAGGTTGACCTCCACGCGGTTGTCCTGGAAACTATCGTGATAAATTCCTGGATAATTTGTCACGATGGGCTGACTGACTTGATTTCACGCTCATCTTATTATCTTCCACTGGTGCCCCGCCAGCGTAATCCGATAGAGTAGGCAAAAGGACCATTAACATCTAATAAAAAACCCAAATCACAATCTTCGTCTTCCTATGCGGGTGCGGATGACGGGATAACCTGGGAACGCACTACGAACTCCTTATAGCAGGCCTTAAACAGAACTGCCACAGTAAGCTTCCTGGGAACCCGTGTCTTTGTCATATTGTTTGACAGTAGTTAAGTCGTGTGGTTTTGACACTGTCATTGTCACTTGTGTCATTGTTGTTTTGCTTTCATGTTTCCGCGTGGTTGTAGTACAAATATGAATGAATTATTTTAACTATATTTCCTAGTCCATATATTTAATTATTTTGTGCCCTAAAGGAATGATTTATAAATTCTCTAATTGGTACCGTAATATAAACACTTTTGTCTCACTTTCTAAAACTAAAGCAATGAATTTGAATAAGTGTTACTTCAGATACGTTGAAAGTGATGATAAGATTGATATATCTTTTTTGCTAAAAGTGAAAGAGACAGTTCGACAGTTTAATTTTAGCCGTAAACCAACAGAAAATATAGAATCATTGTTAACACGCATGGGTAATAACATTCAGAAATTTGTTACGAAAGGAAATAAGAAAGCAAGTAATGAACTAAAAGTTGTAACAGTTCAAATTTATGATGATAAGAATAATGCCATATCAGAACAGGCAACGTGTAAAGATTTATTTTTATTACAAAGCCCAGTCAAATTGCATATTTATGATCATATTTATGAAGTAGTATTTAATGTTCCTTGGGTTGTAAGTATTAATTTGCCTCAATGCATCTTATCTGGCTTTCCTGTACATGCAGAAAATTTTGTTGTTCAATATGCTGATAATCGATATAATTTATATACTTGGTACAAAGGAATCTCAATTAATGACAAAGGAAATGAAGTGTCTGAGGCTCATATAAAATGGGAGAAACTTGGCAATGAATATATTTATATACCAACTACAAAGGACATTGGTATGAAACTGAAGTTGGAATGTACACCTGGTAATGAAGGACCTATATATTGTAAATTCAAAGATTTTTGTTCCAATATAACTATGTAGAATAGAATATGGTAAACAAACTGGTTACTAAACTGGATATAGATGGCCTAATTGTTGGTAAAAGCAGTACTAATAGGAAAACAAGAGTTCCATTAAATATTATCTATATATCTATACATATAAATAAAATTGGAGTGTCTGTTTATAATATTGAAATCTTTTTTTACTATATGCAGGTGAACATAAACATGGTACATATACCAAATTAACATTTTTTTCAATTTTTGTCAGTCTGTCTGTTTGTTCGATAGATAAAATGTTAGTTTACATTTTCTGTAACTTCTATTAAACCAGAGTATAGAAATCTCAGAATGGATGGGTTGGTGTTTAGTTATACTACTTTAGATTTTTTTTTTAATTTATATACAAACTGTATCTATAATTTTTGTTTAATGTGACTGTAATTGTATATACCTATTTAAAAAATAATTTTATTATTGATAGATTGTACTTTATTGTTATTTTAGGAAATGATAAAACATCAGGTCCTACAGTTGGAGTCATATCCAAAAATGTTGTAGAAGCTGGTCCAGGAACTTGTCCATTTGAAATTAGGCACATGTTCACCACTACAAAGTTAACAAACAAAAGGTTTTAACTAATTGATATATTGTTTTTTTTTTCATTATATGAAACAAGAAATATAAATTCAGATTATAATCCATTCACCCTCTAAGCAGTCTTAAGTGCTGTACTCCAGGTAGTCTGCAAGATAAAAAATTGACAGGTGATTGTAACTTAGTGAGGATGTTATATAAACATGAAATCTCTGCATACAAAACTATTTAAATACCTTAATTACATAATTTTCTCATTATTTTTAGGTTTCGTTGTGTGACTTACAATATTTTGGCAGATTTATATTGTGATTCCGATTATACCAGATCTGTACTCCATCCATATTGTCCATCATATGCATTGCATATTGATTACAGGAAGCAACTTATACTTAAAGAATTATTAGGTTGGTTTTGGTTCTATATTTATTTGTTTATTAAAGACTACCTATAATATTTACTTTATGTATATTATATTTACATGTTTAGGTTACAATGCAGACATAATTTGTTTGCAAGAAGTTGATGGCAAAATATTTCAGAGCTCTTTAAGTCCTTTACTAGGATCTGATGGGTTTGAAGGGAAGTTCTACAAGAAAGGAAAAGAAGTTGCTGAAGGATTAGCATGCTTTTATAGAAAGGATAGATATGAGTATGTTTTATTCTTTTATGATGTCAAAATTATCTTATTTATAAATATGTTTCAAATAAAAGCAGTATTATATATGTAACCATAATACTTGTTATAAATTGAAATGAATATTACTCTCATTACAGTTTACTGGATGAAGAAAAAATATTACTTTCAGATGAAGTTAAAACAAGGTTGTCACTACAATCTATTTGGAATGCAATTAAAGATAACAGTCCTTTAATTACACGACTTTTGGACAGATCAACAGTAGCAAGTGCAACAATTTTACAATCTTTTGAAAATCCTAATGATGTCATTATTGTTGGCAATACACACTTGTATTTCCATCCAGATGCTGATCATATAAGACTTATCCAAGGTGGAATTATTGTGTATTGGTTAAATGAAATTCGAAGTAATCTGATAAAACAGGTAAAACCTAGCATAATGAATAAATTCGACATATATATGAAATGCATGGAAAGAATTAATGGAATTATCATGTAAAATGACCCTGAAAAAATTGCAGATAAAGTTTTGGCTCTACTCTTCCTCTCTGTAGAATTATATCTAGAGATGGAATTAAGTAGGATTTTCTTGGGTTAAATGGGATGATTTAATTTTAGTTCTTACTGATTTATGAGAGAGATTCACATGTTACAGATGCCGAACAAAAGAATATCTGTTATATTATGCGGCGATTTCAATAGTGTTCCTTCATGTGGTATATATCAATTGTATACAACTGGAAGTGCGCCTAGCTCTTTACTTGATTGGAAATCCAGTAAGTATTAAAACAACAGAAAATCACAACTTTACTAGGATTATAATAATAACATCCCTAGAAAATTCACGCAACGCCATCTAGTCTCAAGCTAAGAGAGCTTGTGAAATGGGTATAGAGTAACTAATAACTTTTTGTTTTGTTTGTGTATTGATAAAAATAAAACAAATAAAAGTTTAAGTGATGTTTATCACAATTCATTGGCGAAAATTGCACTCAAATTAGTTAAAGAATTTCTGAAATTTACAAGACAAACAATTAGAAATTTTAACAATAATGTTTTTAGATACTATTATATTACTGAAGTTTCCCAATAATAATCTTTCTCATATCTGTGTTTGTGTGCCATGCCATGTGATTTAAAGTATATAGTTTTTTAATATTTTGTTAAATTACCGTAGAAGCCAGGGTTTTTTTTTCTTTTCTATTTGCAATAAGCACTTCCGGCTATAATCAGATTGTATGGTGTTATGGGCATTTGGAGATGAGGTACATCCAGTAAGGTGCCATCTCATTTAATTTCTCTAGATGTTGGCAAGGCGAGGCCTTTTTAGTCTAGATGGACAGTTATTTATATCCAGTAGTTGTAAAGCTAACTGGTTCTTTTGGCCGGCTAATCTGTGTTTATATCTTCCACAGGCTTTCTGTATCTCTTCTTTTACAGTTGGCATTTCTTGACATGTATGTACTTCAATGATGCTAGTTTTATATAGTTTTTAACAATCTTTACAGATGCTGATGAGGCTGTGCATAATTTGAGCCTTCAGCAGGATCTTCATTTGAGAAGTGCATGCGGTACTCCTCCATTTACAAATTTTACTGCTGGATTTGCAGATTGTTTAGATTATATTTTTTATGATAAATCAAATCTTGAAGTTGTACAAGTAAGTATCTTCCTATCCTCTATTAGATTTTTAAGAAAGCTGTATGTATTTTCTAATTGTTAGTATAGTGTCCACTAGTTATATTGAATATGTATGTAATCACTAATCAATATAGGTATGTCTATAATTTTTGCGAATACCAGGTTATAAATTAAAAGATATTAACTAATAATGAATATTTCTGTGGCATGTACTTATTTCACACTTATCAATAAACGTGTATACGATTCCCGTATAATGCAAATATTTTTTTATTGAAGTTTTATCTGCAAATATTTACATTTTAAAGAAGTATATATATCTATGAGTTGTTAGTACCCATAGTACAAGCTCATACTTTGTTTGGACCCTCGTTTCATAGTGTTGTAATCTACTAAGTCGGTGTCGATGACCTGTGATATATATGTACTACACTACCACAATGTCTATGTGTATCCACAAATACATATTCACCGACACTTCTGCGTCTGATGTATGATAATAATCCCGAGTAATTTTTAGGTTTTCAATGTGTTCTTCTTGCTAATTAGTTATTAGTTTTGAGCTTAAATTAGTAGTCATTTGTTTTTTATTGTGGAATTTTCCGATAAAGGCTATAAGAATAGCAGGGTGCGTGGACTCTTGAGTTGTAGACTGTTTTGTCTTGTTTAATATCACTTAATTGTATCAAATAATGAAATGTTACCAACATTTCATTATTTGAGACAACTAAAGATTTTCTATGACTCCTAATTGCTAATATTCTATTATGTATATATTTATGTCATGCCATCGGCACTCTCCGATATATGAGTACTACTGATGATGCGAATGTGAATTAATCAATACACGGTTTCACTCGCATGAAATTTATACACTATGTGTTATTCTGATGTATAAGCTATATTACTGTAGTTTTAAAAATCCGTTCAGTAGTTTTTGCGTGAAAGGGTTACAAACATCTATCTATCCATCCATATTCACAAACTTTTGCGTTTATAATATTAGTAAAATTATTATATATTTATTTTCTATGCTTATTATATTACAGGTTGTACCACTGCCTAGTGAAGAGGAACTAAGGGTGCATATTGCACTACCTAGCATTGTTTTTCCATCTGATCATATAGCCCTAATATCAGATTTTCAGTTTAAATAGAATTAAATGTATGTATTTTAATATTGTGTTATTTTGTGACTTTTTTTAAATATAAAATTATATTAATTACTAAACCTATAGTGGGTTTTCTTAACTGTATATGTTGGCAAACCACCAATGATATGTTTTCTTAATGGATGACAATGGTGACCGCTAATGGTATATATTCAGGCCCCTCTTCCCCACTGGGCACACTGGGCACGTGCTCAGGGCCCAGCGATGAATATGTCCTCCATTACGTATGGTATTGCAAAAGCAAAAAGTCTAATCAGTGTTCGTAACCTGAACAGACCAGTCCCCACAAGCAGCGCCTGTTCACGAGTATCACGGATGAGCCAGCTATCATTGCACTTGACCGTATCAGATGGAGCACATTGACCCGGTCCACCCACCGCCACAAGTTTGTACTTTGTAGCGTGCATGATTGTTTCAAGTTATTCCACTACGTCATTTATATTATTTAAAGCACAGGCTGTAACGATCACAGTTTTCACCCATTACAATATTTAATTTACTTTATTTAAATTACAATTTGTCATTACTACATACACAATAAACATTCAAGAAACTTATTAAAATAAGTTTTTTGAATGTTTATTACATAGATAACTATGTCAATAGGAAAAATATATACCAAAGTTAAAATTCTAATTAAATCCACGCATTGTAGTCATTCAAGTTTATAATTTATTATTATTATAATAAATAGATCATGTAAATAGATGTTATCAACACAACACTGATTATCGAAACCATATGGTAAGACGTATGGTTCCTAATACCTTTATTTATTGTCAGCAATGGCGACTACTGGTCCTATAGCCAGCAATGAATCATGTCACATAGATCTCCACGTGGTCCCCTCGTTCGTAACTTCGTTCTATCACAGATAACATAATATTACATATCGACCTTCCTGTTTCTAACAATATTGCGTCGCTTCAGGCAGTGCCTTGTGCACGATACTTGTTTCAGGGCTGGTCGGATCAGGTCGGGTCACATTTATAGAAGCCTGTTGGATGAAATTACTGGTCCAGTTGGACCTGATTCCCTTTGTCCCCAGCCTTGGTCTGACATACGTTAGTACGAGACTAACATTATTTAGGATTTAAGATCTAGTTATAGTCGTCTGGGTATATAGCCGAATTCGGAATTATTACAACCAGAATCCAGAACGCAGTTCAATGTTTTTGTTTTGTATAAATAAATTATATTAAAAATAATAGAAAAAAACGAAATATATTCAATAACTCACTTTATTTTACGAATGTTACTCAACGTGTTTTTTTAACACACAATTATACCAAGGAACATAATTTTCTAAAGTACTAATTGAAGCTTTAAGGCGGACAAGTATAGTATATTATCTATGAGGCGTACTAGTGTGACTGGATACTAGCCGTCAGGCACAGTGCGAAAAACACCGCCATGATATAGAATCGTCGGATTGTATGACGGAAAGTGACGGGGAATAGATGTACTCACAATCAATATCTTGAGCTAAAGTAGATAATCTCAAAGATCGTATCCGAAATCCGCAAAGATCAAAGAGGCAGAAGGCAAGGATCCGAAATAGGCCGATCGGATAGGTAGAGCTATTTTATGTAATTGTCAAATCATAGAATAATATGGATATTTTCAGTGGTGCATAAAGAGCCAAAAATTGGTGCGTCACTCTAGTCAAACCTGTGACACTACTTGTACAAGTAAGCAAGAGCGCATTATGCAACAAGTCCACGGTAAGAAGAGCTTATGGATGCTAGATAACGATATCAATATTTAGATATTTTTCTTTGTTGCAAATACATTGTATACAATATACATAGAAAACACCTATACCGATATTATTATTTTTTACGATGATAATGGAATGGTGCTCTCGTCTGCGCTAACGGTTTACGCTGGCGGGGCACCAGTGGAGGATGATAAGATGAGTATGAAGTCAGGTCAGTTAGCCCATCGTGACAAATGCACCAAGAATTTATCACGATGGTTTCCAGGGGGAACCGCGTGGAGGTCAACCTGACATGGTACATTGCTAGCAATAAGATCATTAGTCCACATTACTAAGAATCCCCTTTCCCCCCCCTATACCGATATTTGTACCGTGCACCAACGACCATCGGTACGGAACTAAAGCTATGTGTTAAACTGGTAGACAACCGAGGTCGTCGATTACGAGCCTAAGATAAGATCCGAAGTTCTTTTTTGGAGGTCATAAATAAAGAATTATTAAAAAATATATATAAATTTTATTTTGATGGATTATAAGTAATTTTTATAAATCTGTTACGTCTTTTATTTCCCATAATAACATTAAACTTTAAAACCCATGATCACTAATTCCGAGTATATTCAAAATTTAACCCGTTCTTTTCCATTATCCCGTCTCGTTTCCTGTTTTTAGTGGCATAATAGGCAACACAAAAAGAAAAGCCTTGCCAAAGAAAAAAAAAGTAATGTCTGTTCTGTGGGTTGAAGTAATCTGTGCCGTTAATACGGCACAGTTTTTTTTTGTGGCTTGGCACGTTGGTGCATTTGCCAAAGACACAAAATTAAGGAAACTTGTTTATGAATTAAATAAATTTAGGATACGGAATTTGACAGTTTGTTTCCACTTTTTTTTTGGTTCGGTTTTTCCCTTATTAGGGAAAGGCAAAAGGACTCAGCCCATACAGCCAAATTGTTTCCACTACTATATTATGACAATGACAACTGTAACGACGTAAAAGTTAAAATATAAAAAAAATATACCTTTCAACTTTCAAATTCACGTATATAGTTTATTTGTTCAAATATTTACTTAAAAAGATCAAAAGTGGAAAATCTGTAATTGTTTTTTTCAATATGTTTAAAATCTATTCAAAATCTAATCCATATCTCTACGGAAAGTACTGTTTACTAAATGGTAATTTACGTCATATACTCGGAAGAAAGTAATTCCTTTGTTATTTCTTTGGTTCGTAATAATTGTAAAACATGTAACCTATGCACCCTTTTATTACAGGTGGTAACCGTTTAGATAAAACTATGCATGTTTCTTCGGCATTAAAGTTCCCTCAAGTTGCTATTAAGTTACCTACAAATGTTGAAGACATAAATTCTTCAGAAATGGGTAGATTTTCACCACAAAGAGACAGAGATATAGCTGCACCAGTCATTTGCTATCACTATGAAAAATATCAAAATTTTTCTAAAGTTGATATAACATCACAACCTGATCCGCATGTTAATAAATATGATTGTAGAGGTGCAGTCAGTTTATCATCGATAATGCAAAGCAACGTTCCAACGCCATTCAGTGGTAACCATACACATCTAAATATGCCAGGGTCACAATGGGGCCAAGGTGTTAAATACCTATCCGATCATTTGCAGAGTGCGCATTATTTGACATTGAGAAATGAGTATCGCAATGCATCTAGTGTGGGTATGTATGAAGTCTATGATTCTTGTATGTATACTAAACTTCATTAGAAATGCAAGTCATTATTTCACATCACTTAAGTATATATTTTTGTAATACTAGCAATCTCATTGTTATTTTTTTTAAACTAATAATTTATCTGAAATGTTAGTTATTGCCCTTCTACTTTTTTGTTACAAGATGTATGAATAGAGTTGCCTCTATGTAGTGTAATAGTTAAGGCTACTGTATTTTATCCAATAAATAAAGTACAATAAACTCATGCAATAAAAGTATACAAAGTATTTATTTAGAAATAACTAAGTATATTCAAATATTTTCACTTAAAAATTTGAAATGAAATTAAGCTTGTAATTTAATCAAAAATTAACAATTGAATTAGGTAAATAGTCCTCCTTTATAATATTATATGTATTAGTCATTCTTTTGTGTGCTTCACAATACATTCACAATTATAAACAACATATGGGATTGATTTCTGTTCTTTGTTTGCTTAGAAAAATAATTTCTTAACACATTTAGCTCCATTTACTGCTACAAATTTGTCATTAACTAATTTTATTCTGTGAAAACTAATACTTAATTATCAATCTAAATCTTACTTACAATAATATTTATTTACAATAGTATGACCTGGAACACTAATTATGACTAAAGTAATTAATTACTTTTAATTAAATACATATAAACTTGAGTCATATATTAAAATAATTACATATATACATATATTAAAATAATTACATATATATATATATGTAATTATTTTAATATAATGAATTATTTTATTCAACTTATCTAATTTGAAGATAAGAACTAGGATCTAAAATAGCCTTTTTATATAGTATATTATACTATACCATACATTTTGCATACCTACATATTTCTATTTGCCTATGTTCTTGTAATTCATTCTTCTAATTTTGCCTTTATTCATATTAGTAGTACATATAACGTTAAACTTGTACTGTTTGTAAAAATTCCATCAATGCATTATAAATAGTCTAGTAATAAAATATAAACTAGGAAACCAGACAGACACTGGACTTCATGTTTAAAGTAGTGGTGTTTTGTAAGTAATGAAAAATGATATTTATTTATGATTTTAGATATTTAAGATTGTTTCATTTTAGTTTTTTTCATAACATGGAAAACCATTAATTAGAAGTTGAGAATGACTGATAACAATCAAGTGCTGCACTATCAGCGGAGTTCCTTATATAGTGAAAATATGCTACTTTTACTGATTAGATTTTAAGTTCTGCAGTTTAAAGTACATTACAGAACTTACTATGAATTGTGAAATGAAATAACACAGAATTTTCAGTTTGGTAGTACTTTTCTTTTAGTAAAAGATAGTAATTATATGTTGTCTCTTCAGTTCCCCAAAACTTTGTGTAGTAGTTGTAACTTTTTATGCTGCCACATAATATCAAACTTACTCCATTTGTTGAGTGGTAGGTGACTATAGAACTTGTTTCATGACACCTTTTGTAATGCTTTCTGAGAATCCTTCAACACACAATAACAAGTCAACTCAATGAGGTTTGTTATATTTACTATTCTCATGTGAAATTTTTCATTTCTAGTTGAGTCATTGTCGGTAACTCACATTGTAAATGATATAAAGTTTGTTGGTTTGAAGATGATACAAAAGATTTTGATTACTTGTTTTATGGGTATATATTTTTAATGTTTGTAGCATATTTCTAATCCTGTCAGCTGAGGGTATTTAATTGTAATAGTGACAATTTGACATTTATAACAGACATTATACACCTAAGTTTAAAGTCAATTTTAATTCTTGCTTAGGATTTACTTGCTTGCTAGAAGGTTTTTCCACCGATTTACAGAAAGCTGAAAATTATATTTGTTCAAAATAGTGTTAAACTAACTACTAACCATTAAATTTTGTAGTGAGAGGAAATCTGGAACTGTATTTTTCTTTCGTGATATAGCTGACGTATAATTCATTATTGTCTCTTACAGGATTCGATAGCATCGACAGATTTTTTTGTTTAACACGTTTGCTAGGGCCATGCTCTTCAACTCAGTCTAGGAACTGCAACTGCCATTCACTTGGCTTCATAATACAATTTTATTAAACATCATAAAGATTTTGGACTATGATGATATGATTGACGAAATAACTATTTATTGTTACTCATTTCATGAAGCGTTTTAAATCGATATAAAACTACTCTGTGGACGCACTTGACAAAAAATTAAATTCCGGTCGCGTAAAATGTATGGTCTAATATTAATATACTCGTATGCTTCCACCTCCTCAAATATGAAGCGAGATGAGACACCGTTTAAATGTAAAAGCTTGTATATGTTAATGTCATTTTGTTACTTTTCCAAAGCATAGCCGTCACATTTGCAACAAGAAATATGAGTACAGAAGTAAATCGTCCATTAAGTGCTAAGGAAAAATTGAAACAGGCTATGAAAGAATATGGCTCAACAGTTATAGTGTTCCATGTTGCTATTTCAATGCTTTCCTTAGGGGGATGTTATCTGCTAATCACTAGGTAGGTGTGTTCATATATTTTTGCTTTCTTATCCAGAACACCGCTGTTACTAATTTATAAGATCATTTATTTATATATGTAATATTTCAACCAAAAGGATCTGAGGTATTTTAATAATGGGGTAACTAACATTAATTAAGTTAGATATTTGATTAAGTAATAATATGAAACAAAACACTAGGACAAATCAAACAGCGTAATCTAAGCAGAGCTTCTGTTATAGGTTTACTTCTGATGATGTAAAGGATAAAAAATGTATTTAACATTTTTTTTGTAAATACACACATAATTTGACACCAGAAAACAGTCAGATTTCTACAATCGCACTCATCAATACAATGTTTGCATTGTGCGAGTAATCGAACCCGCGACCATCGGAAGTAAATCGGTGTGCTAAACCGGTAGACCCCAAAGACGTGTAAGTTATATATTTATATATTTTAATTTTGACATTGCCATTTAATGTTATTTTATAATTTTCCAGTGGCGTCGACCTAGTGGGCATGCTGAAATACTTTAATATTGGTGAAGGCACATTGTCAAAGATAGCATCATCAAATGCAGGCACATTTGTGATAGCGTATGCAGTACATAAGTGTTTTGCTCCAGTTAGAATGGCTATAACTTTGACGGCTACACCATTTATTGTACGATATTTAAGAAATATAGGTTTTATAAAGCGGAATGTAAATCCAGGTGGTGGGAATAAATGATTTTAAAAAATGGTGTTTCGGTCTATTATTTATGTTTATTGGCGGTGAAGTTACTTCGATCACACTTGGTGAAGTCAGGTTAGTTACCTACTGTTGCAATCAACAGTCTAAACAATAAGTTTCAAGCTTCTAGCTTTAAAATCGATACAACCTTTCATCTCCCCTTTCAACCCTTTCTCACATTAAAAAGTAACATATGTCCTTTTTCAGGGTATATAGGCTATATCTGTACCAAATTTCATTTATAGTTGCTTCAGTAATTTTGGCGTGTCAGAGAGACAGACAGAGGGACAACGTTACTTTAATATTTATAATATTAATAACGTAAGTAAGGTATTTAATAAACTAACCTATGAAAGCAAAGAAAAATGTTTCACGGTTCTAGCTTCAAAAATGGCGAATTTCCATTCAAAATTCCATACGTTCTTTGGCTTTTATTGAGTTAGATATTTTTTAATTATTTGTCCAAGGTCACTATTTTACGCGGACGAAGTCGCGAGCACGGTTAGTGTAAAAACAAAGACATGCCAGTTCTGATATTAGACATGCACAATACTCGTCAGTTCCGTTCGAGGCCTGTGCATACTTATAGTGCCTTTTTTGTCCGAGTCACTTCATTGGCCGTCATCTTGTGTCATGTACATGTACGCCCATGACTTATGGGATCCCATCATTCATCATCTTCAATATTTTAGCCTGTGTCTATCCACTGTAGGATATGCCTTTCCTAAAGTCTTTCGCCATGTGGGATCTTCCGCCTACCAGCGACCTTCGTGATGTCGGTCCATCTTGCAGAAGAATGATAAATAGTAAATTGTATTTATTTATTTGTGAACTTTAACGAGTTTATTTATTTGTGAATCCAATCAATCTATATAAAGTCCAATCGCCAGCCAGACATTCAAACTGAAGAAATCAAGGAAAATTTAGTCGTTAGTTGTCACATGCGAGGAAAACTGGAGAAACAAAGTGCAACTTTTATTGAGGTCGGATTGAATACGACCGAAGCCTAACATGTTCATTGCATATACGTCAATAACACTAATAACGATAACGAGTGTCAAATGTTGAATATTGTAATTCATTTTGTTTATACCTATTATATATCACATATACGTTGTAGATAAAACGTATTATTATAGTATGAACTCTTGTTAGCTAGCAGTAGTATAGTAAAATGTATTCTATAAAAGCTGTAGTTGTTTCTGTTAATTTTTTATTTATTTTATATACAAGTGCCACTAGTGAAAATAGGTAAGTTACACACTGAAAATACTGAAAGCAGAACAGAGTCTTGCGGAGCTTGTTTTTTTCTTTCATTAATAGATATGGAATGCATCGGCTAACGGTTAACGCTGGCAGGACGATTGGATGAGCATAATGCCATGTCGGTTTGCTCTTTGTGGTGAATTCACCAAAAAATAACCACGATACTTTCTGGGGCATGTAGCATTGTACCATGTCAGGTCAACACCGAGCGATGTTGACCTGACATTGTACAATGTTCCCTATGGCGTTACTATATTCTACCTATAGTTTATGATAGGTACTAGATTTTCAAGAACAAACGATTATTATGGGCCTCTGTGCTCTGACTACTCCAACCTAAATTACATATATAATAACACTAATGCTAACAATTCAACACTACGCCATATAGCCCAAGCTAAGGAAAGCTTGTGTTATATGCACTAGACAACTGATAGGAATACTTTATTAATACTTAGAAAACATTCAGACTAATGAATGCAAGTTCTCATCGTGCGAGGGATCAAACCCTGGATTTTAGATTTAGTGCATACCTGCTTACTTACTGCTTAACTTTGCAACGTCATTGCTAAATTTTAAAGAGATTATTTTCCAATAGCAGCTCGGCCATCAGCGAGGAAAAATATTTATTTGACTTCACGAAGAACGATGATGTTGAGGCCTGGCAAGAACAATCTGATACGGTCCGAGATGTGGGAATGTCCAAAGCCGTGTTCGTTATCCATAAAAATAAAGGATTTAGAAGGGCAATATTTTTCGCTTTGTTAAACCCTCAACAGAATGGAGCTGGATTCGCGGGAATAAGAGCCATTCAAACTTACAATTTGCAGGGACACACAAAACTGCAAATAAGATGTAGAGGCCAAGGCCAGTATAAAGGTTTTAAAGTAGTTCTGAGGCATAAAGGATTAAATTATGAACCATGTTATTCATTTGAACAGTATTTTCAGGTAAGCGTATTTTGATAAATCCTCTAGTACAGTATCTAAGATTCTAGTTTGGTATGAGGTATTCTACATATCTATAAGTAGTCTATCGTATCTATATTCTACTAATAAATACAGATAAAATATCTTGGTTAAAATATGAGAATTCATGGACAGAATTTGTTTGTAACTATGGAATGAACATTCCATATCTTCAAAATCGGACAATTTTATTCTTGTTTGGTTATCATCAATCTGGATAGCCCGTGTGTATTCTTTTCATAATTTCTCACAAGGACGGCTTTTTTTATTTTCTTTAGTATACATATTTTGATTGTAGCGAATTCTCGTAAATTTCGCAGTGGACTAGGCTCTTTTTAAAAAATCTGACTTCTATTAGTATTCGTACTTACCATAGAGACACAGATTTCTTAAATGAATCGATATTTATTTTATTTATTATCGACACAGAATATTTCGAGTTTGATATTTATTTCAGGCCCCAAAGGACGAGTTTGCTGTATGTAATTTAGCATATAACGAATTTAAAGCTTATTATAGAGGAAAGAGGGCTAATGAGACATTAGATTTATCTCAGGTGTCAAGTATTGGGTTCCAAATGTATGGCGGAGTTTATCAACCAGTAAAACAAAAAGGCCCCGCAACATTAGAAATCGATTGGATAAGATCAGTGTAATTTATTGAAACAATAATCTATAGGTAAAATTGTTTTATGTTAGCCGATTATGTACAGTGTGCAAAGAACGTATAAAGAAATTTCGCAATATTAATACTAAATTGTGCAATTATTTATGGAACTAGGGTATAATTTACCTAAGGATTGATTACACGATGAAAATTGTTCTTGATCCTTTCGTGGAAATAGGATGCACATCGTATTTTATATCTCCATTACAATACTGATTGTTATAATATAGAACGGATGTTCTACTTCCTTTCAGCTGCACTCTGTACTGTACTTGTGAATTGTTTATGCTTACCAATAAAACATTGTTACTTGTTTAATTATTTAATAAGAAAAATTAAGAATTATATGCAATATATTTTATTACCTGAAGTAAGTCATTACTAAATAGTGTTTTTTTTTCTAAAACAGTAAAACACGGTTTTTATACTATTTGTGTATCCCAATACATAAATGCTTCTTTAAATTATTAATTCATATAATCTGTACTATTACTAGCGACCCAATCTGGTCCATATACAGTCTGGGTTTTATTATAATAAATTCAGACATAAAAAAATTATTATGGTTCATAATTAAATATACAATTATTTAAATCTGTCAAAATTAGAACAATCTAGTGAGTGAAAGCCATATCAAGATAGTGGTGTGTATTAAATAATTACACTAGACATTTTTAGAGGTGCTTTATCTGTCTAGTCTATATAATAAAACCTTTTTACAGTAATTACACGCAAAAAATTGCAAACTATTTTGATATGGTATGCACTGTTTGATAGGATATGATGAGACCAAAATGAGAATTGCATCGCCAGTAAGGTACCACGTTAAAACTTGATTATCGTTGTCTTGTCGGTAATAATAACGTGAGTGCAGTCATAGCGTCCGGAAATAGGGAATGATAATTGACGAGTGGTACGTATGCAGCGGTAATAACACGACCGGCGAACCATCGTCCATGTAAAGTGTTCACTGACGCCACGGCCGTAGCTATCGTAGGGCACTTGCAGTAAACATTCCCTTGAGGAGAAGCTTTGTCAACATAAACGTGTAACACACCACCATGTTTGTTACATTCGCTTATTACGTCATCTTTGATCTCAATATCCCAATTTGGATTTGTTTCACTGAAAATAAATATTGACATTGAATACAGAACGCAAGTTAATTTACTTACAGGCTTATTAAAAAAATCTCAAAAGTAAATAAATAACGCAAAAAAATTTAAATAAATAAATATAAAAGTTATGAAATGTCAATCCCATAAACAACAATAAGAAATCAGTCCCAAAATTTTGTAATTGTAACTAGTATATTATACTAAAATAATTAAATTAATGTGAAATCAGATCTAGTGAATGCTGCTCTGCCATATTTTTTATACTGATGTTAGATCTTTTACACTAGACGACACAAAACATATAGATGACACAATATTTAATCTATTATTAAAATCTCTTTATTTATATCTTTGTATTTTTATCGCACAATAAAGAATATTTTATAACCTGCAATGGTTTATAATCGTTTTTATTTATGTTAGGTGTGTAAGAGTTACCTCTTAATTATGATTTTTTGTAAATAAAAACTTACCCAGAAGGATCAAACATGTTGTTGAGCATAAAACATTGTGTAGCTATTGGTGGTGCCACTTGTGGTTGTGGAGCTACTAAAGCTGATCCAGATCCCATCAACACAGATGCAGCTGCTGGGGGAATCTATAATACATTACATTATTTATGTTAATAATTCACCAAATTAGTAAATGTAAAGTAGGTAATTAAAATAGCCATTACTTACAGAGTTACTTTTCATTTTATATTGAGGTATAATGTTAGAGTAATTTTAACTAGCAGTGTCAACAGCTGTCAAGCACAAGATGACAATTATTAATATTGTTTGTTTTAAGATTTAACAATTATGGTTAAATTGGCAGCTATCTTTTGTGACAGATTATGATGGTCAACTGATTTGTGTATTCCCCTGTTGTACTCCAATATAAAGTATGATGTACTCACCTGTAATCCTGTGCCTTCTGCAAGTTTAAACATAAGTTGCAATCTGCCGGTTGCTCCTAAATCAACTCCTGCTCTATCCAATTCATCAGCATCAAACCGTGTACTTGATCCACCATCTGTTCTTTCAGTTACATGGCCTACTTTCATGGGCCTCCCAGCTAATTCAAAGCCATTCAATTGTTCCATAGCTTTCTTTGCATCAGCAGCATGATGAAACTGAAATAAATGTTAGTTTTACTGTAATACAAAATTATATAAGTACTAGTAGAGATTTTTCTGAACAATCAGTAACTTTTACTAACCGTGAGGAAGCCATAGCCTTTACTTTTTCCCGTCTCTGGATCTGTCATAAGTTGTATATGATCAATTTTTCCAAAGGGCTCAAAAATTCCTCTTAACATGTCTTCTGTAATGTTAAAGTGAAGGGAACCAACATATAGCCTTGTTGGGCCGTTACTGGTTTTTGGAGCTAAGTTAGGCAAGGTGTTGCCCACTCTATTTTTTTCTGCTTGTGTATGTTGAACAATAATAGGTACACCTAGTAACTTTTGTCCCGTTAAACCTAAAGCCTGTAATAAAACATTTTCATCATTAAATAATATTGAGAGAGCATGGAGTATGACAAAAGATTTTATAAAGAAAAAAGTAGTTAATTATGCTGACATTGCTATGTATTTTGTATATTTTGTTTTTTAATCCTGGAGACTAAATTGACAGGTGTAAATGTCAAACTTTAAAATAATATTACCAGCTATAATAGACCTTTAAGAAGTTTTCAACCCGAGGAAATAATTTACAAACAGTATCTGTTTTGCCAATTATACTTTAATGACTATTTATAATAGACTGAAATTTGTCTCCAGAATACAGGTATTCATATTTTTAAGTTTAGTCATATTCTTAGTAGTTGCAGATGATCACAAGGTTTTGAATATACATATCAGTTAAGTAATTTTTTTTAATTTGATTTAATAACATTTAGAAGTACATACCAAAGGTACAGATTCTGCATCCTTGAACTCAATGTATGCTATTCCCTTAAATCTCCTAGTTTTGTTACATGTAATAAGTCTTACATCTCTAACTTTACCAACAGAAGAGAAAAATTCTTCAAGATCTTTAGCTCTAATTCTTTGAGATAATTGCATACAAAACACAGTGCGAAGATCTCTTTCTTCAGGAGGTAAATCTTCTAATTTTGGTTCTAAACCTCTAGATTTAGATCTATATTCTTTAGGATCTGGCTCTTTGCTCTTTTCCCTTTTATGAGATTTGTCACGACTACGTTCTCTTTCACGGCTGCGTTCTTTATCTCTGCTGCGTCTTTTCTCCCTGTCTCTTTCACGTTCTTTCTCTTTGTCCCGGTCTTTGTCTCTGTGGCTGCGGTCTTTATCACGATCTCTGCGGTCTCTATCCTTTTCCCGATCCCTATCCTTTTCCCGATCTCTATCTTTTTCCCGATCTCTGTCTTTTTCGCGGTCTCTATCTTTTTCCCGGTCTCTATCTTTTTCTCGATCTCTGTCTTTTTCCCGGTCTCTATCTTTTTTGTCATCCCTATCTTTTGATTGATATACACCTCGTTCCCGTGACCTTCTTTTATCCCTTGAGCGGCTTCGTCTATAAAAAAAAAATTTTAATGCATAAGTCTAATTGCATGTTACTGAAGTTTTTTTGTCAACATCAAAGTTGAGACTTGTTGGATGGATTAATATTTTATATTTGGCTCCTTCTTGCTTGGCTTAGATATTAATAACTTTCTTAAATTATATAATTATTAGGTAATGTAACTATTTATTATTTTAATTAATACACAATATTTTAATTAAGGTACAATTAAATTGTTTTGACAATTTCACACAGTTTCATAAAAAGAAACAATTTGGTACAGTTGTAATTTGACCCAAATGTTTTAAAGGTTCTTAGTAGACATATAGTATAATAAAAGCATTATTTATATCGAAAAAGAGAAGCCCATGTCATAACTATGTACTATTTATGAAAAATATATGTAATCTATTTAATTGCCATCCCAATTCTAGAATGGCCTATTTTAGATATATAAAAACCAATAAAGCTAAAGCCCAATTTACACTCAGTCCGAGTGGGCAGGGAAGTGTGCACGCAAGGGAGCACGCGAGAGTGTAAACACAATACTTCCCATGCCACTGACTCTGCCACTCGCGCTGCCCGGCGCTCCCTCGATTGTCGGTTTTTCGTGCGCGAGTTAAAGAACTGGCAGCGTGTGTTTATATTCAGCCATCTCGCTCAGTTGTCGCCCGGCAATATTTCGCGAGTGGCAGTGGAAGCAGCTGAATGTAAGTAACTCTGTCTGTCTGTCTCGCTTTCATGTCAAAACTACTGAACAAATTTAAATGAAACTTTACTACTTTTTAATGCGAAAAAGGATTGTAAGGGGTTGAAAAGGGGGATGAAAGATAATAGGGAAGATTCTCCATTTTTGAAGCTAGAAACTTATTTTTGAGGCTGTCGATTATACAAATAAATTCAAATTTGAAAAAAAAAATTCCCTTAAAGGGGTTAAATAAAAGTTTTTATGTTAATTCGTCGTTTTTGAAGCTGTTGATTAAGTATATTGTGTTTGTATCCCTTATTTATTATTATTATAAAACGTGAACTAAACTCTGGAATCACTGCACAAATTTATGAAATTATTTTCCTACTTGAAAGTTTATCTTATAAGTTTTAATAGAAACTTCATAAATTTAAAGAACTATTCCAGAGTGACATAGGTCTCTTAACTAGTTATGCCAATGTATACAAAGTTATGGGCACCTACTTCTCTAAAGAAAAATAATCTAGGTATGACTTACCTTCGACTGCTTCCTTTGTCTTTTTCTCTATGCTTATCAGAATACTTGTCCGATCGATGCTTTGAAGAGGAAGTGTTATCCTGTCACACAAAGCACAAGGTAGAAGCAGCGCCACAGCATCACACGCCGAGTGAATAAATAAAAATTGCATTAGTTAAGTGTAATAATAAGTTGAACATCTGTACAATTTCATCAAAGCTGTTTATAGAGTGTGCCCTTGATGAAAATGTACAAATGGTTTTTACTGTTGCTAGACTATTGTTGATAGGTGCGTCTGCAACCATCATGTATCTGCTGTCGAGCTTGTCAGTTTTCACTGCCCTGGTCTACACTTACCATTCATAAAACCACTGACAAAGGACGCACACAGCGCTAACATCACACAGGGATACTTCTGCAAAAGATTTACGACCCATCAGCGCATGGCCTTTCTTTTAAATATGGACTAGATATATTTTGTAAGAGAATATAATTTATTTACATTTAGAAAACATACTATGCAGATATAAACCACATTGATATTAAATTAATAAAGTAAAATTTGTAATATTAAAAAAAATATGTAAGTATAGTATTGGATACCTCTCTGTTTGTTCAGGTCGGTGAAGTATGCTGGACTATTACCACAAAGTTCTATAAATACAAGAAATGATTCTCAAATGTAATTTAGTTTCAGTTGCACTGTCATTTACTGTTCAAAAATGTTTCAAATGTGAGAATTATACATAAATTGTAATTAATAGATTTCATATATGCAGTAGACATACAACTGAAAATTTATAATAAACAAACATAGTAATAAGTGAAACATCTTTGAACAGTTTAACCTAATGATTTAAGTTTATTATAGCACTCGTTTTAAACATAAATTAAAATATTTTCTGATTCAAAAGAAATGTTTTTTTAGAGTAAAATGTGAAATATTTTAATTATAGTGCTGTACTGTTATACGTACATACATATTTTACATATATGTATATCAAATTAATTATAGGTCATGCAGCTAAATTACACAATATATCATTTAATTTATTGCAGATTGTGAAATAAATGACTAAATAAATGTATTTAATTTAAAAATTTTAACTTTATACATCAATTTCAGTTGCATATACAAATGAAATTTTATAGAGCCTACGTACTTACTTTATCAATTATACCTACATATATTTTAATGATCTATAACCTATTTATCATGATATGAAGTCCCTACCCTCAAAGAATTGTTTTCTCTACACATTTCTATTGATTGTATCAAACTATTATGAGAAATTATGAAACTATAAGTACAATCTACTCACTTAACAACTATTAAGATATCTGGTTTAGGTGGAAACTTACCGATTTGTTATATGGAGCTTCTAACATAGCCTCAACGTCTAAGTCTTCTGCCATTCTGTAAATTTGATTAGGGATATAAAATATTAAACGTAATTATATTGTTTCTCATTTAATGCTACGATGTAGTGTAGATAAGTTAATGCTTTTTTTAAGAAAATTACGATATTACTACAATGTTTATAAAAAATGTAAAAGAAAATTAAGTAAAATTTATAGATTTATATTGATAAACGATAGTTTCAAATGGCACTGTGTACTACATAAACACATTACTAGATAAATTACAAGATGGCGAAAACTAGGAACACCTTAACCAAGCCCAAATAATTATGCATCGGACTTTGTTAAGAAACTACTCACTTGACGTTGTAAGTTGTATTTTCTAAGCGATTCGAAGAATGGCGCAATTAATAGTTAGTATTTGATAAACTATTGGGTATTGAATTTATTATAACCAATTACAAGAAAATGGTATTCAAAGAAGGACGGAAGTACATCGAAAACAGATTGACCACCACGCAACAACGAACAATCGATATTTCATATGTTGGATAAATTAATGTTGCCAACTACTGTCGATAATGTCGATATAGATAGAGGTATCTATAAAAACACTTCCTCTATGGGCAGATCTACATGGTTCACTGTCTGTCAGTGCTGTCACATGCAGTTTCGCATAGTCTGTTACCGATTTGTCTGTTACTCTATTCTGTAGATCTGTGACAATCTGTGCTCTCAATAGTCCATATATTTTTGTTTTATTATTTGTTGCTTGTCACAAAAACATATATTTGGGAAAGAACTATTATATTTGAATATTAATTGATTTTGGATTTTTAATTCGATATGACTACAGCAGCTAGACCCACGTTTGATCCAGCTAGAGGGGGTCAAGGACGTGGAGAAAAAGATTTAAGTGCCATATCTCGTCAATATTCCAGCAGAGATCTTCCAGGTCATACAAAATTAAAATATCGGTGAGTAACCAGTTCAATTTAGTTTGACCTCTTTATGTTGTTGATTAAGTTGTTTGACGGACTCGGTGGTGTAGACGTTTAGCATACCGCCATCAGATGGCTGTGGTTAGATTCTTCGCACTATACTAACATACACTGTAATAATTATACATTTTTGAGTATGATTTTGTGTATTGGTGTGGATGTATTCTATGTATATTATGTATTAGAAAAAATATATAAGTATTTGCATCAGTTTTTTAATACCCATATCATGTTTGCTTAGCTTGGGCTGTGTGAATTCTCCAGGGTTATAGCATAGGTTTCTAGACGATAAAGCCAGTTCTTCAGTGAATTTATAACAGTAAAATAATAAAAGCAATAAGAAATAGTTGATATAATAGTATTTGAACAATAAATAAATTCTTGCATAAAAAGACATTATCTCCATAATGATTTCAGTACAATACATAAAATTAAAATGTGAAAGACTTTGTACCATACAAAGATGTCAGTGTATCTGTATCTAAAATAATTATGCCCAAGTGGGCTACACTGACCTACCATTTTTTGTAAATCAAGATACATACTCTATTTCAATAGAGTTTTAAGCTTTTTGAATTCACCTAAGCAATTATTAAATGGAAATTGAACCTATTGTCTATGAAATTTTAGAAACCTATATATATATATATGGTTAAATTGGTAACAAATTTATTGTAACATAACTTTGTTACCAATTTAACCATATACATGTGACAAGAGAGCACTGTCACCTATAGCACAGGTGTAATAACGATTTTAGTTTCTGCCTTCTAGTCTAGTGTTAATTATAATTATTATATTTTGCTTAATTTCATTTAAATATTGTATTTTATATGGTATATACAAATATAGCATTGTATATTGAATGTCGCATAGGCACATACAAAAAATATCAATATGATCAATTATTTGTATTATATAACAATAATTAGTAAACATATCAAATAATACAGATAAATTAGAATAATTCAGTATTTATTACATTATTTGAATAATAACATTATTATTACTAAATAAGTTATTAAGATTACTTATTTTAGAAATATGAAAGTGTTGCGTTTTGTATTGATTGCCGCATGTATTCTTATGTAAAATGTGGATACTATAAATATCAGATGGCAATTGTAAATAGCTATGACGTGGTCTAGTGTTTTGAGTAGCCATGCTCACTAAAATGTCCAGACTTGTGGCGGCGTGGTGGGCTTGGTCACTGGGCCTCCTAAAATATGGTCGAGCGCAGTGATGGCTGGCTCATCTGTCATACTCGTGAATGGGTGCTGCTTGTTGGGACTGGTCTGCTCTAATCACTGTGACTGATTTCCTCTTATTAATTGTTCAACCTGTTGGTTATATATTCAATATTTTTTCTATTTGAGTATTTAATTGAATTAGTGCTAATTGGCGGTTTGTATTCACACACTTAAACTTAAAAATGTAAAGTAATAATAAAATTATTTAAAAGAGCAATACGCACGTTTCTTGCTCCTTCTTCTTGTGATGAGACAGCTTTCTGAATGAGCCGTAGATTAAAAAAATATAATGACTGTTTAAAAGTGGTTCAATGTAAGTTTATTTGAATAAATGATTTTCTATTCTATTCTATTCTATTCTAAGTTTTTATTTTATTATAATGAATTTAATTTTACATCATCTGGCAAACTTAGATTATAGGTATATTTTGTCATCATAATATGTATTTGTAATGGAGTCAATAAAAATATTTTATAGATTATTTAAAATATTCAATAACCTTATTGATTTTTAATAATTTGTTACATTTAGTGTGACTAGATCATCCATGGTGAGGTTAATGACATCATTGTTTACCTTTTTATTAAGTTCTAATGGAAAGGAGTATAGATTGTTGTGCTGCCTGATAATGAAGTCTTTGGAACCATTAAATACAAAATGGATGCTATTTGTAATAAAATCTATAATAAATAAAATAATATATTACTTAGTACATAAAACTTTATATTCCCCATATTTTAGTTATTACATATGTAAACTTATATTACTTTGATTAAATTTACATAAATTTTATTATGAATAAATACTATGGAGTAATATTATTAGATTTCCCATATCAGTCTCTTCATTGATAATGTCTAAACAAATCTATGTAAAATTTCAGTGAACAAGGTCAAGGTACTACAGAAGAACTGCGATCACGAGATTTTCGCAAGGAATTAGATGATAGAGAAAAAGATGGCAAGGGACAAGGCACAAGGAGACAGAATGAGCCCCCAGTGAAAAGAACTAAAATAGACCAAGTACCTGCAGCAAGTTTAGATGCTGATGATCCACTTGAAGGTGACTCCTCTGACTCTGATGACTCCGACGATGACACTGCGGCATTGTTAGCGGAATTAAATAAAATTAAGAAAGAACGTGCTATAGAACAAGCTAAGAAGGTATACTATATTTAAGTGTAATATAATTGTATTTGTATTTAAGTGTAATATTACACTTAACACAAAATTTTGTTTCATTGACAAAATATTACAATGTTGAGGGAAATGCAATTGTTTGTTACTGTGGGCGATAAAGGAAACCAGGGAATTGTAGGATATATATATATTGTATATTATAAGAGTATATTATAAAGAAACACTACTAACTAGGGCCAGGAAGGGTAACCGAAAGGAACAATAGATAGCAGTGACAATGTAGACATTTTATATGATGCAGCACTTCGTAGTCGTCTACGAGTGGTAGGCTAGCAGGAGGACCTCTAGCGTTCATGCTGCGGCAGTTATCCGACTCGAAGGACCAAAATATGTGGACGATAAAGGAAACCAGAATTATACAATATATATATATATATATATATATCCTACAATTCTCTGGTTTCCTTTATCGCCCACAGTTACATTTAAGAAATTATAAAAAAAGCTGTCAAATGTAATGGTATTACATTATTTCAACAAAATTCACTAATCTTTGAAACCTCAATGTATGTTGTTGCTCCTTTCTTTGTTATTATTTCTGCAGTTTGTGGTAGTGATTGTATAACATCATATTTGCTCAGTTCTGGCTTTTTATCCTCAAATTCTTACATTTCTTCATCTTCAAAGTCCTTCATTTCTTCATCCATACAGGTTGGCATAGTCTGTTGTTATTATATCACCAAAATTGATTTTGACACGTTTTTGTCTCATTGTGTCATCTTTAATTATGGATTTCATTACAATATCAACAATTTCTTTCCGCCTGTCTGCTGCACTGCAGACTTGTGTACTATATTAGAGTCATATAAAGTAGCTCCAGTTCAATTCAATAAACACACTTCCCTATACTGATTCATCGCGCTTGAAGTGTGCTAAAGATGTGAGTGCTGCAATACTAGCACATTCTATGAGATTGCCAGCATGATTGAGAATTTTAATGTCCACCCTTAGTGACCACACCTTCTCCTCTACAACTATACACAAGGACTCCAGATCTACATGTTTAGAATCTTTATAACACTTTTCAATAAGTCTATTGAGATATACTGTGAAATCGGTTTGCCTGTTAGCCTCAAACTGTTGTGCAGCCATTGGGCTTATTTCAACCTTTATGTATAGAATTCTAAGGAATTCTTAATATAAGATATTATATTGAGTTGTCTTTTTTATTTGTCTATGTAATTATATGAAATAACACTGCTTTTTTTTCTAAGAAACTACTCTCTAAAATTAATTATATTTAGTTTACTTGGATAACTGGTTTATTTTTGCTTTTAGGACGCTGAGAAAAAACAAGAAGAAGAAAGAATACGAATGGAAAATATCTTATCTGGAAATCCATTATTAAATTATTCAGCATCAGGGCAAAAAAATGATTTAAAGGTATTTTTATGTAATATTTTTTCATACTTTTCCCATTTGTTATGTAATTATTCAAGTGATTCTATTGTATGAGCTAAAATTATGTAATTATATTTTTACAGGTTAAAAGGCGTTGGGATGATGATGTGGTCTTTAAAAATTGTGCCCGATCCGAACCTGAGAAAAAACTGAACACCTTCATAAATGATTCATTGAGATCCGAATTTCATAAAAAGTTCATGGAGAAATATGTAAAATAATAATTGTACTGTATTATTAAATTTAGATGAACGAAAATGTGACGAACTTCCCATTATATTAACATTGAATAAGTTTTATAATTTAATAACTCCTTCTTTAATATAAGTAATAAATTGTTTTAATGTGTTTGTTTACTTCTATTATATACTAGCTGTACCCGCGAATTCGTCCGCTTTGAATTTAACATTATTTTTCTAAAATAAAATACTTAAAAAAAAAAAAGTAGCTTAAGTTAAAAAGTCCCGTCAAAATAGGTCCAGCCATTTCAGAGATTAGCCGGAACAAACAGACAGAGAGACAAAAATTGTAAAAAATGTTATTTTGGTGTATGTACCGTATTTATATGCATGTAGTAAAAACCGATTATTTCAATATTACAAACGGACACTCCAATTTTATTTATATGTATAGATAATTATGTATTTGTTTGATGGTTGGATGGTTGGTTGCTTTTGGTACGTAGGGTATCATAAGAGACAATAATGCAGATGTAGACTTTGAAAGTATAGTAATTTGTCTGGATAGTACCTCTGTCACAACTGTTAAAATCTTAGTTTCGGTTGAAGAGTGAAGTGAAGAGGGCAGTAAAAATACAGGCATGGCATTTTGGAGGTATAATATCTTAGTCCTGCTGAATAGCAACGGATGGGTGGTACTTTGAGCTTCATATAATAACGTGGATGTTTATGTATATATAAGCTTTGTGCCATTTAGTATAAATTTTTTTGCCAATTAAGTTACATAAGAAAGGTAAGGTGTAGCTAACAAGTTGTCTCCTCCTTTTTATTAACGATTAACACAATATTGGTAAATAGTGATAAGTTTACCTTGCTTTACCATCATGACGATCACCTAGCGTTAGGGGGGAATGACCCCCCCGGTCATAAATATTTCAAATGCAAACTGGCTTAGGGGTATTTTTTAATTTCCTTATTCTAAATCTTTACTCCTTACTCCTTACTAATATTATAAATGCGAAAGTAACTGTCTGTCTGTCTGTCTGTCTCGCTTTCACGTGTATAGGTATGACATACAAATTAAAAATTACCCTTAAGGGGTTAAATAAGTTAGGGGATACATTTTTTATGTTAATTAGTCATTTTTGAAGCTAGAAGCTTGAAACTTATTTTTGAGACTACTGATTAAATATAAATATATATGACATAAAGATTTTACCCTTAAGGAGATTAAATAAATTAGGGGATGAAAGTTTTTACGTGAATTCGTGATTTTTGAAGCTAGAATCATTAAACTTATTTTTGAGTCTGGTGATTAAATAAAAATAAATATGACATACAAAGTTTTCAAAAATTTTACCTTTACGGGTTTAAATTATAATAGGGGATGAAAGTTTTTATGTAAATTCGTCATTTTTGAAATTAGAACATTTGTCATTGGTTTTTTTGGGTTAGTTTATTAAATATCCCACTATTATAACTGTCTATCTTGCTTACACGTCCAAACTACTAAACCGATTTAAATGAAATTTGGAACACATAATCTAGACCCTGCGAATGGATATAGGTTACTTTTTAATGTAAAAAAGGGTTGTAAGGAGATTGCGTTGCGTTGGATTGATTGCGTTGATCATGAAACACTCTTACTCAAATTAGAACATTACGGTATTAGATATGAAGCACTATGCATGATGAAATACTATCTAAATAATAGAATGCAAGTTGTTGAAATAAATGGTGTAAAGTCTGAGGGAACTAGTATTAAAATGGGTGTTCCTCAGGGCTCTATTCTAGGTCCTTTCTTATTTTTAGTTTACATAAACGATCTTCCTTATATGGTAGAAAAGATAGTTGACATAGTTCTGTTTGCTGATGATACTTCATTAGTATTCAAAGTCAATCGACATATTGATGATATGGACGAAGTAAACGGTTCTCTCTCTTATGTTTTAAAATGGTTTACGGCTAATAATATGCTACTAAATGCAAATAAAACTAAATGTATCAAATTTACTCTCCCCATTGTGAGGCCGGTAGATTAAAAAATCGTATTGGACAATAAATATATTAATTTTGTTGACGATACTGTATTTCTAGGTATCATATTAGATTCCAAGTTGCAATGGGGTGCTCATATGATGATAATAATGTTTTTATAGAAAAACTTTAAATCTATAGCACTGACAATATTATCTGATTACATTAATAATGAGTGCGTAGCGACTTCTATGTTGATTATCGCATGCCTCTTACTTGTTATACTGTAATTATTTATATAAAAAAAACATCTATTAAAAAGAGCAACACACAAGTTTCTTGCTCATTCTTCTTGTGATGAATCTTTATTCAAATAAACTCATTACAAGCACTTTTGAATAGTCATATTTTGATTCTACCTAATTCTTCTATGAGTTTATTTGAATAAAGATTATTTCTATTATTTCTATTGAAAGGGTAGATGCAAGGTTGTATGGATATATCGCCATTTTCAAAGTTTTAAGTCTGAAACTGATTTTTTAGGCTGTTAATTAAATATAAATAAAGAAAAATGTATGTTAATAATGTAATGTTATAAGGGAGTTAAATGTTTATATTGTCAATTTTAAAACTGGAAGCTTGAAGTAGCCTATCTATTAAATATATATAAAGAAAAAGGGTTATAAGGGATTGAAATAGATATGAAAGATTGTATGGAAGCGTCGTTCTTTTCAAAGCTAGATGTTTGAAACCTATTTATAGGCTATTGATTGAACTGTATGGAATTCTGTATCGTTATTTCATTTGGCTTTTATTCGATTAGGTTAGATTAAATATTTTTTCATAATTTAGTCAAAGTCACTATTTTATGCGGACAAAGTAACGTCCGCACCACAGCATCATTGGACACTAGTTTCCATTACTGAAAATTCTATGCACTCAGAACGAATTACATATTATTATTATAACAAACGTAGAAAATACCCAAAACGATAAATATGAGTACCTATTGTGCAGGAATGGAATATCGGAACATCGTTTTATGCGGCGGCGTCTATTACCTACCGTCGCTATTACGTTATATTTTCATATTATAACTATCAGAATAATATGACATTAATAATTTATACTAAGAATAACTGATATCTCGGTATAATACTACAGCTATTTATTATTAATGACGGAAACAGCTACGCAACTAAGTAGGTATCTACATGATTATAAATAGTTGTTGTTGTAACTTATATGTATTACCTACATTAATAAACGTGAGCGCACCTAAATAAATTTGCCTACAATGGTTTAAGAAGTAATACCTAGTGTAGGAATTTAGTTAGGAATAGGTATAGTATTGAATAATATGATTTATATATGTTATTATGTCGTCTGCACGGTATTTATACACATTATTCCATTAAAGCGTATTTTGTATAAATTCGAGTTCGTTGGTATCTGCACTCTGCACTCTATCGACAGCGTGTGCGTTTGCGTCTCTGAATGTTTATGTTATTTTATGTAGGTGTAGGGCGACGGAGGGGAGTGTGCCGAGTGCGGAGTTAGCGACGGCGGCGGCGCGGCGCGGCGGCCCACCTTGAGTGGGCAGGTTCTGCGGTCAGCGGCTGATCCCGTCGCGCGCCTCCGCGTCTGTACTCGCCAGTTGAGTGGGCGCTCTGACGGCGAATATGGCTAGTTCAATCGCAACGCAGCGATGCGTGTGCTTCGCCATAGTGGCATTGTTTACCGTGACATGTGAAGCTTCTCTTTCGGGATTGTATATTGATAATGGTGTCGATCAAACTGTGATACATCATTCTATGACGCGACATGAACGGTTGGTGGTCGAGCATGAAATACTGGATCTTTTGGGGCTTGGTGAGCGACCTCGAGGTCCTCGTTTGCAGCCGCTAGATCGTTCTGCCCCAAGTTTTTTATTAGACGTGTATAAACAATTGGCAGAGGAACATGAGCAGGCTCGTCCGACACGCAGCTCAGAAATGGCGCTTAGTGGCGATGAACAGCACGCTATTGATGAGAGCGATCTCATCATGACTTTTCAAAGCAAAAGTAAGTACGTAATACACATTTCCCTATTTACCGACATGTATTTATATAAACTCAGACTTGTTGTACTTAGTAGTAGTAGTAAGATAGAACTTGAAGTTGTATCAGGTCAACTATAAAATATATGGCGCAATTTAATTCTGTATGGTTAATAATAGAAAGCATACATAGGTAAGTTATTTAGGCATCTATCTAAAAATCTTAACATAGGTATTGTATAATTAGTTTATTCGACAACAGTAAAATATGTACTTAATCTTAATATTGAACACGTACATATATTCTATTAAGTCGAATAATAATTATTTTGCATTATTTTATGTGAGTCCAAGTTTAAGGTTGATAATAAGTAGGTACCTATGTAGCCATTAAGGATAATGTTTACCAGTCCAGAAACATATTATAATTTTGTAGCTATCTTATATGCATATAGAGAATATTAATTAAAGAACTGTTGTTTAATAAATATAATAAATAGGTATATTATTAAATTTCAAAATTTGTAGTTTCTGAAATATAGCGTAGTAATCGGCGAAAGGTAAAATCGTACCGTATGGCTCCGTTTACTGTGGTTGTACTTTTTGATTTTGGAACCCTAAAAAGAGTCCTTTTCGCAATTCGTCAAAGGAAAAATAAAGACTTTAGTTCATAAAATTTTATTTGTTTTGTTCAGTTAACATTAACACAGACGTTGACCGTAACACAGGAAGCGCTTTCTTAACGGGTGACTAATATTTGCGGGGAACTGAATAGTTGTGTTAGCATCCTCAGAGTTTCTAAGGACCTATAATACTCGTAGTTCATTTCTAATATTTCATTATTTCTTTTCACAACTTAAGCGACCTTATTATAGTAACCTTAGGGAAAATAATTATCAAAACTGGTGCAAAATAGAAATTATTTATTAAAATAAACTTACATTGATGCACGTTTAAATAACCATCACTTATTTTTTTTAACTACCGCTCATTTGGAAAGCTGTCTCATCACAAGAAGAACGAGCAAGAAACTTGCATGTTGCTCTTTTAAATAATGTAGTGTAACTTTACATTCTTAAGTTGAAATGTGTGAATACAACTACCAACATACCACGCATTAATTCATTATCAAAATAATAAAGACACTGAGTGACTGGTTGCGTAACTATAATATATATTAGGCCTCCGTATACAAAAATTGTTTAATATAATATTTGAATTGCCTCTGTCAGGTTTAGAGCAGATTCAGACAGTTTGTTATAAAATCTTACGCAATTACCATAGAATAAATTACTAACTTCGTGTAGACGGCAATTAGGTAATTTTTTTAAGTTTTTACTTGTACGGTCTTAAAGTATTTGAAACTTTTAATTCTTCCTTGTTGCATTCAAGGAAGAACTTAGAGATGATATTTTCATAAATGTACTGAAGAATGTGCTAGAAAATATAAAGACAATATTAATATTTTGGTATACAGGTAAACAATTATTTAATATTCATGTGTAAACCAATATGTTATTGTTTCAAGTTCGTAAGTTATATATGTTGGTACCTATTAAATATGAAAATATTTAAATAATATCTACCTAATTTAAATTTCAAAACACGTTATGAAGTTAAAATAGGCGCATCGTTATAGGGATCCATTCACAATGTTCCCACTAATTAAGTCATCCACCTGTAGTGTGCGCAGGTAGGTGATGACTCACTTCGCATTCCATAAAGATTGAATACCAATGTTGGCGCCGTTGAGCCGACTCTCACAATTCAATTGGTCGGGATTGTGAACATCTAATGTAAAATGAAGTTTTTGTTAAACAAGCATACGGCCTGTTTGTTATTAAACCGTTAGTGTAGTATATGAATAAAACTCATAAACTCACCGACTACTAATAAATCTTAACTTTTACAAAAACATGCTGCTGTCATATACAGAGAAAATTAGATTAGTAGTTAGACCATACTAGTAAGGGAGAAAAAATGGTGTTCTAAATATCAGGTAAACAGATGCAACATGGAGCTACCTGTACGTCTTAGACGTGGAGAATAAAACATGTATTGCCGACGACTTCAGTGGTTTAACACACAACCTTCTGATAAATTCACGATCAATATTCGTATACTTGAAGAATTTATGAGTATATATCATACCTACTAGTTGTGCCCGCGACAGTCAGAATAAAGAACCTTGACCAAATGAAGAAAAATTATTTAATCTAACCCAAAAAAGTCAAACAATAAAGTTTATTTTATTGTCATATATTTTTATATTTAATCAACAGCCTAAAAAAAGTTTCAGTATTTTTCAAGCTTAAAAAATGACGATACTTCTACTCAATATTTCATCTCCCCTTTCATCCCCTTACAACACTTTTTCTTTATTTATATTTAATCAACAGACTAAAACATAAGTTTCAAGGTTCTAGTTTTAAAAATGTCAATACTTCCACACATTACAAATTTTTATTTTCACATTGAAAAGTATGCTATGTCTTTTCTCAGGTTCTAGACTATCTGTGTGCCAAATTTCATTTAAATCGTTCCAGTAGTTTGGGCGTGAAAGTGAGATATTCAGACAGACAGAGTTACTTTCATATTTATAATATGTGTAAGGATTACGTACAAAAAAGTATTTCAGAATTATATTATAGATAGTATATTACTGTAGAATAAAAATGTAGCTAGGTAAGAACTTAACAGTTTTCAGAACATTCTTTTGAAATGCTGACAACGGGGTATTATGGTCATAGTTTTTTATATATACTTACTTTTGTAGGTACTTGTTTTGACAAAGAAATAATATCTATGGTTGACTAGATATTGTTTAGGTAGATAGATTCAAGTTATTGATTTATTTAAAAAAATAGTCTGTTGGTGTCTGATGCGAAGGTTGGGTGATTCCAAAACCGGCTTGTATGCTTGAAATGTGCTATTGTACCTATAAGTGTGCACAAATTACGAGATTTTCGTACTATATTCGCTAATTAATATATTGCTGTATAATGGACTGTATATTTTTTACCAAATATAGTTATATCAGTAACAGATACCTGCTGCGCAGAGTTAAGTTACACTTGTCGAACCACTTGCCACCTGTTCCATCACACCCATTCACATACATTGTGCTAGTGGTATTTCGTTGTACATATAATACTTTAATAAATTAATTACGAATTATTTTTGTACATTTAATCTTTTCGCCGAAGTAAATTGCAAATGTGAGTAAAAAGTACTGATTTAAGATTGTTACAAAATTGTTCATAGTAAACATCGATACTATATGGAAACTATTAGTTTTCCGGTATATTTTGAAATTGGCAAACTGTTAAATGTAACGGATATATGTAAAAAGATACTAAATGCTTTTTCACACATTTCGCGTGAACTACATCGTATAAAATTATTCCAATTGCTGGTATATCGTGTTTATTTAACTTATTTTTTTAAATAGATTTGACGGTTATTTTAGTATTATAAACAAACACTCCTATTTTATTTACATGTATAGATATGTAATATTATGTTAGCTGTGGTATAGATTAAATAGATACGTTTTTTTTTAATTGAAAATTGATATATTTTTTACCCTCGACCTTTTTGTGAGGATTTTTTGGGGTATATATTATAGAAATAAATATATTATTATTTAGCATGTTTATCTGCAATGGTAATTTAACTATAATTTATCTTCTTCGCTATTGTAAATATAAGCAGACAAGGTAAAGGTGTTCTAGTGTTCTATTTTCAAACTGTTGTTCAGATCTAATTCCTATTCTATGGCCTTAAATTTCTTTAGTGTAAATAAACTTATTGCTTCGTGATTTCAGAACATCATTTGGGGGCATTAAGACAGGGACATGGAAGACATGTGTGGTTTGAAGTTGCTGGTGGTCCCGCTGATCCATCTGCTCTTTTAACTGCCGAACTCCGGTTGCATCAAGCTTCAACGCACACTGAAGATCCTACCAGTCTCTATAAAGTGGTAGTGCATCGTGTTCTCAATGTTGACAACATGGGGTAATTATTATATTATATATTGGAATCAATATATAAACAATACAGTTTGTATTCTAAATGTAAATAAAAAAACATTTTTCAGTTCATTCTTTCATAATTTAAGAGCTGTTCTCTTGTTGGTGGAGTTCCCGCCACCTTCTACGATATTCTAACAGTCTTTTTACCTGTTGATACGACACGACTCCAACTTTTTCTTCAACTTGCTTGATATAGCTGTGTCTTTATATAGCTTTTTTATGATTTGATTAATTTGTCTATCCGTAGCATTTTTATCTCCTTCATTATTGGAATATGATTATTCCTTCTATCCAATGAGAAGTTTAAAAAAATTATAGACAAATGAGTTGGCACCCTGTGGTGTCTTTTAATTTAATCCTCAAGGTTCAAGGTATGTTTCAAAACAATGTCCTTTTATAATTATATTTTGATTCACTGATTAAAATATCTATCTATCTATTTTATGCAATTTTGTTATAATGGTTAAAGTTTATTGTTATTGTAGTGGTCTCTTATTTTAACAACTATAATGTTTTAAAAAAATATTTACAACGTTTAAAATTGTAGGAAACTACAGTTGGAGGAGGTGGCTGCTGTGAATACCAGTGCGGGTTCCGAGGGTTGGCTGGAGGTGAATGTGACTAATGCGCTAGCTGCTTGGCTCACCTCCCCTGCTGATAATCGAGGATTCTTTATCACGCTACATCCACATTCACAACCAGGTATCCAAGTTATAATTATTGAAAAAAATCGGGAGAGTTAGTAAAAATAAAAAAAAAACATAAATTTTATCAAAGTTATTGTTTGATAAATATATTATAAAATATATTACAGTGAAAGACGGACGAATAACAATCACAGGATTTAAGATTTTTGTCTGGTACATAGGATTGCAAAGTAAAGAAATTTGTACGCAAGTTACATTTTATAATTTGTTAAATTTCAGAACGCCACGTTAAACCGGAAGAAATAGGTTTGGAGGAACCTCGAGGTGTCGTTATAGAGGGAAAGCAGCCATTTTTAGTGGCTTTCTTTAGGAGTGGTCCAAAACTAGGGAATGCTGATGCTGGTGCTCGTCGAAAACGTGAAGCGAAGCGCTGGCGCACAAATGGATTCTCTGAAAATAATCTTAGAAATCCACTGACAGGTAACTTAAATAAGAACATAAATAACCCTCCTTTATTATATTATGACATGTCCACATTTCCCTCGGCATATTCGAACAACATACCGCGGCGGAATATATCGCTCTAATTAATTTTAATTTTGTAATTAATATGTTATATATTTAATAATACTTCAAATAGTATGAAGAGTAGCTGTTTTTATGGAAAAGTGAAAATCAATATTAATTGTATGAAATAGAAAAACGTGAAATTTACTATATAAATGTATTTGAGGTAGGTACACTACTTATTTTGAAGCCATATCTCATGGTTTACACTGGAACACAGGCACCAGAAACATTCACTCGGACGACTTTGTCAAAAATATTATCTGCCTAAAGCTTAAAATGAAAGCTGAATTATTTTGTTAAGTCTATATTTTATTAACGTGTATACTATAAACGTCTATACTTTATTAACATAAAATATGTTATATGCAGATACATCACATTGGACTACGAGAAGTTGTGAAATTCAGACATTGTATGTCAGTTTTAAGGATCTTGAATGGCAGGTAGGTGTTTATATGAGTTGATATGTCTATAGACTAAAATAGTGTCTGCTCTCAACACTGAACCTTGAATTCGAAACAATTTTGCACAAAATTTCAGGTCAATTAATTGAATTCCTTTAATATTATATTCATTGTGTATATCGTAACCCGGTAATTTATTAGGTAAACTACATATTTAAGGCGGGCTGACAGGCGAGTTCCCACGTGTCTTTAATAATTACCGATTGATTTGAAATAAAAATAATCTTTATTGAAATAAGCTTAATATGTATAAGCACTCTTTAATTGTTATATTTTTTTATTCTACAATATGTTTGGAACGCAGACTCATCACAAGAAGAAAATAAAAATATTGTGTGTTGCTCTTTTAAATAAAATTTGATCTAATTAAACACACATTAACAAGGATTAGGCATGCGACTGCGAACAACAATAGCTTTTTTACAATGATATTGTTTTATACGACATTTGAATAATTTTTCGGGCCGATTGAGGACAGACTGGTAGTTTTTTGTAAAACACTTGAAACGAATTATTAACTTTGGCAAAGGGCATTTAGTTAAACCAGTTTGTTGTTATTACGTACCCAAGAATTTATTAGTGAAATAGCTAACTTTTTTAAAACAGTCAATATTTCTTCTGGTATACATAATATTTTCGTAAATGTATTGAGAAGCAAAAGTGAGGATATCTCACTCTCGCAAAGACTTCCTCGAACCCATGCTTTGGAGCGGATGGCCCTTTTTAAACAGTATCATCAAGAAAATTAAATAAATTAAGTTTATAGTCCAATATGCTTTTTTAGTCTACCTTGTTTGATTGCACAACATAAGAGTATTAGATAGTGTTACTAAAAGCGTTCGTATAGAAGTCTCGCAACGTCTGCATGCATTGGTAATATTGTTTTTTTTATTAATCAATGTTTACGATATAATAATATTAGTTAGGGTACAAAACTGAATACCGTTACATACATCTATGTATGGAACGGTTAGTTAACGGAATAAATAATCATAAATAAATATTTTTTCAGGACTGGATAATAGCACCGGATGGTTATGGTGCATTCTACTGCAGTGGAGAATGTAATTTCCCGTTAAATGCGCATAAAAACGCGACCAATCATGCAATCGTACAAACTTTAGTACATCTTCTAAATCCCCAAAAGGTAAAATATCATAATATTTAAGTATCTTGATTGTTATATTTATGGTATTAGGTACCTTACGGGACTATTAGTCTTTACAATTTGTTAGACAAATTGTGTAATTAATATTTCTAACCAAGCAATTTTATTATCCTTATGTGCAGAGTAATATATAGAAAAAAGTAATTGTTTTTTTTATTTTTAGTTCTAAATCTATTTTATTTAAAATAATCATTTACAATATCATATTTAAAATATCATAGATAAGGTTGACTAAAGATATTTTAAAGCTCGCTCGCTAGTTACGGAAAATACTGCTACTGCTTCTCTTACTACTGTTTTGGATTGAAACATTATTTTAATGTTGGATAATCCATTTATTGAGTAAGGTTATAACATCACATTACGACTTATAGTATAAGTGACGTGTCCGAAGTTGTCTGTAAGTGACTGTTTATTTGGGAATTGTTTTCTGCACTTATTAAGCTCTTTTGCTTTTATATTCAATGCATTGGAGTGAAATATTTTATTCAATTATACTATTTTTATTTAATGTACCTAATATTTTCTTATAGGTACCGAAACCATCCTGCGCGCCCATCAAGTTATCCCCCATATCTGTGTTGTATTACACGGACGACTCCAATGTAATCCTGAGAAAATACAAAAATATGGTGGTCAAAACCTGCGGCTGCCATTGATTTTCTTTTAACGTAATAATGTTTAAAGGCATTAAAATATGTATCAATAAGGCGAAGAACCGGAAAGCAAGATAGTTTATGCTAAGTACAGTGTACCGTCCACGATTGCTGTGTTATTGTAGGTATCTTGTGCTGTAGCTGATTACAAAGAAATTATAAAAATATTAGTTCACAAGTGCAACTTTCCTAAACATTATTTAGATATGATATAGGTACAATATATACCTACATTCGTAAACACAACCTATGGTATGATACTTCGCATCTTCCATAAACTTTATACGTGCATTAATTATTAGGTATAAATTGTTAAAATTCTCTATACGTTACGTCGTGATGACATTTCCAGTGTGTCAATGATGCTTGATTACTGTGTCCATTCATGTTAATGATTTTTTTAGATCTTGCTACAACTAGAAACTTTGTAAATAATATAATTACTAGCCTATTTATATTTATGTGGTACTACACTATGTTCAAATACCTACCAGGTTTTGTGTAACTGTGTAAACGAGAACCTGGAATAACTTGTATAGTTATCATCGATGTTGTAGTTGTAATGGGATCGACATAACATATTATTTCCAAAAGCAAACATGTAAATCCTAGCTAAAATTAAATTTTAATGTATTTCTGTATTTTATGTATTTCAAACTGACATAATTGTGGTTAAGTACGAGTTAGTATAGAGTATGACTACTTATGGATAGGTTGTAGATGGACTATATATATTTTCTTCATAAATTTACTATAATCTTTCTATATTAAGTATATTTGAAATATCAATATTAACGATTGGTTGTTTTTATTTCGTTCTGAAGTCAAAAGGTCAACAGGTGCGGTACATAGATAGGTAGTGATAAAATTATGAAAAAAAAACAAAATGCAAATTACACAGTTGTTTAATATTTATAAAGTCTTACGTATTATTAAGCGTAGTATTTTTATTATTGAATTATTGACAATTAAGATTACCTTGAATATTATAATGACATGTGCCATTTAGTTTTTGTCATAGTAATAATTTGTTTAAAAACCATTGATAATCGTGATTTGTTTTGCTTAATTTTCTATTACTTAATTTATACAAAATAATGTCACAAACTTCTAAATATGTAATTACCAATGCCTGGCAGCTTAGTAAAGTAAAGGATTGTACATGACGAAAGATATTTGAAAACAGCAACGATGAAACCAATTTTTTTTTGCCTAATTAGATGTAAGACATATATTTTTTATAATTAAATAATCGCAAATATTAACATATACAATAGTGAGAATATAATATTTATGTATAAAATTTAAATATAGTCGTTTGAAGCAGGTTCTTTGATTGCTAATATATAAGAATTTAAGAGCTGTCATTTATAAGTACTTCTATAATCGCAGATAAAAAACCTACCTAAATATTAAAATTGATTTTAAAGTTTACAATAATTGAAATTATCCGTCACTTATGAATATTGCATTTTTAGATCTTATAATTGATGAGAATTTACAATATCTTACAAGTAGCTAATTGAATTATGTAGGTACACTCATGAATAATGTGACCAGACGTCCCGTAATGAACGGGACAGTCCCTTTTTATAATTACGAGTCCCGGTGTCCCCGAAACGGACTCTGGGACGCAAAATTGTCCCGTTTTCGGTAACGGTGCGAAATTTTGGGTAGACGAGCCGGTTGTTAGTTGTTGGTAATTACGGTGAGTATAAAAAAAATGTGACAAGAGTGTCATTCTTACTTAAATACTTCTTAAAAAGTCAAATTTGTTCCTCCGATAACAAAACATTTTATTTTTATCAGATAAATATAAACTATCTATGAATAAACAAAATGTTTAATTATATTTATCGGATATATTTCTTAATTGATAACTTTTTCTGAATAGATAATTTTAAAAAAGAGTTTTTTCATTGGCTGTCTGTTAATTGTGTCCCGTTTTGAGTCGAAGAATAAATGGTCACATTACTCATGAAGTATTTATTTCAGTGCTTATTATTACAACATTTTTAAGATATGTTCCGCCATGTTTTATTGTGCCAAAATTGATATGTAGATATAGTTACATGAAATTAATGATACTGATCTATATCTGTCCTTTCATAGTTGGTCGCGTTTTCTGTAAAATAGTTCAGTTATCACGTCTACAATATCATTAAATAATAATCTGATACCAGAATTTTATTCATAGTCATAGTCACAAAAATATTTGTAATTTAGATCTGAATACAGTTTTTAGGAAAACTTTGTATAGTGTTAGTTCTTATGTGTAAGTAAATTGTGCCAATTTTGTTATAAGTCTCTTAACTAGATAAGTACCGAAACGTTGAAATATTAATATGATTAGTTGGAAGTATCTATATTTTAATAATAATTTTGTATCTTATTTAAATAAATCGTCATGAACGAATATAGTTAGAAGTTTTTATTTGACTAATATGTCCTACCTGAATAAATGATTTTTGAATTGGAATAAATAAATACATAATATATATAGAAAACAATCAGACCGATTCAAAGAACATATATATTCATGAATACATTGCACGAAATGAACATCGAATTGAATCGAGCGACCATTGGAAGTAAAGCCACCGCTTTACTTACTAAACCGCTAGATGACCGAGGCCGTCAAATCCGATAATCAGTGCATCTGAATTTAAACATTTACCTATGGGCAAAACATTTCAACGATGCTCACTGTTAAAGTCAAGGTCATGACGGCATTGGTTGTGGTGCGGTTATTGAGGTCTATATAATGTATGAACAGCACGATGGACATCATGTTATCATGTATGTACCACTGCTCCTGTAGTACCACTCATGCTTTGCTATATCGGAGAACTCATTTGTCATGTTTGCAATTTCACTGCTTCATCTCACTTTTCAACCTAAACACATTTAAAAAAGGTGAGATTTACAGGTAACTTTACAAAGTCAGTAATGTGTGATTCACATCAAATAATAACAGAGCTAATTCTGATAACGTCTTATGTCGTATGTAGGAAAGTATATTTAATAGTTTAATTTTTACTACTTTTCACTAGTAGGTTTCATGTCTAAAGTAATGACAATTGGCGCTCTGTGTTAATAGGGGGGAAGCTTATGAACCGTTTTCACAAGCAGAATATTTTCGGTTCCATTGTATTTTTTGTGCGCATATCAAGCGATATCTAGATTCTGGTGTGGTTCTAATGATTACTTTTTAATAGACAGAATTTCTTCTAATATTCGTCTACTATTTCTTTTGTTACTTTAAGATTATTTTATCAACGGAAAGATGTGTGTATCTTTCCATGAGAGAAAAAAAAATTGTCAATTTCATATGGTACAAATATAATTCGGGTTTTCTAAATTCAATACAATAGTTCCTTAAGGTCTATAAGTAACAATTTCATTCAACAAAACTCATAGTACCCTAGTTATATATACATAGTAGTATTGTGGTAATGGCTCGAATTCCCAAACGAAATAGGGAATTGCAAGAACATTCTATAGGTATTCTATAGACATACCTATAATCTTTATAGAGTTGTATTCTATTATCAAGCACTACGTCATGCAAAGAGTGAAAGATTATCAATCGGTGCAGTGGTACAGGAGTCTACATCCCTCCCGTACTCTATTTTTAAATTGTTAGTGAGTGGATTTGTATTGTTGGTTCACTTTAGGAAATAAATAGTTATATCTTTATTTTACAGTGGTTTATCCCTCAATTGAGTTATCAGTTCATTGTATTTGTATTTCGGCGTTTAATAAAATAATGGAACAAATTTCATATTTATCACATGTCACAGTCATTATCATATGAAGATATGACCGACGACGGTTGGTTTAATGCGAAATGAGAAAAATTAATATACACGTAGGTACTTACATTTATTGTTTTCAATTTCAGAATCAAATTCAAGTACTCAAATAATAAAAAAAAATTTTTTTTGAATGAAATTTTGTCGTTAAATATATACCATATTTATATCATACTTGACGGAAGCAGAGATGCGGAACAGAGCAATAATTTTGGCAAATGATAAATAATATATTTCAGTTATCAGTACGTAAGTACTTTATATTCTAGGTAATCAATCGTTTGCCTCATGATTTTTATCAAGTATTAGATAAGTGTTCTGAATCGCTTTCTTTGTTGTTTAGAGTTCTATTTGCAGTACGATTGTTGATGCCATACGGTAAGTACAGTCGGATAGTGTATCCCCATATCACGTGCAAAGTTACCGCAATATTTAAATTATTTGTATAGGTCATCGTTTCTCAACCATTTTTATGTCGCGACCCACAAAAAAGTCAAAAAGTTAACTAAAAAGTCTTGCGACCCCGTCACCGTAATATTATAATAATAAGTACATAACGCGGTATTTTTAGCAGCTCCACGTTATATTAGCCTAACCGGGCCCTGTACACCTTCTGTGACTCGTTGCCAAAAACTGAAACATCTCAAACGAATAACCAAACAGGAAGCACTGAATCACTAGTAGTATATACCAGTATTAGTACATTCAAAAGACCATTATAGATAATAATAGGCCATTGCTTTTGACCTGACCTCAAAAATAATCTGTAGATTTTGCCAAGCTGAGGAAACGCTATCCTATGTGCTTGCATGTGTATGCATAAATAAAAGTAGGTAATTCCTTTGGAAAGTACACACTCTATCCTGAGGAGATACAAACCATCGATCCTAAGTGAAGCGGAGGTATCAAATGTGTCTGATGAGTGAGAGGTGCTGAGGGTTTTAATGAGGAAAATACGGAGATTAAATAAAATGCGACTAGTATGACAGCGATATATAATAGAAAGTAACAAAAAGAATATGTCAAAGAATATTATTATAAAATTTAAAAATAGTACAAAAACCTATCAAGGAGTTCGCTACATCCTACCCCTCGTGCAGAACTGCACCAACTAGTAAGCAGGCCAAGGTCAGGAGACCTTAAGTGGTCAACTTCACTAGTTTTTTAAGCGGTCGCAGTAGCGTGCCTCCTGATGTGGCAACGTCCACTACTCTTATCACACTTATGTCTAAATCCCTAATTTGTAAATCCTGCCCATGCGTCCGTGTAGTTCTTGTTGCATTGTGGGAAGGAAGCGCTTCATATATCCACCGGTTTCAGAAGTCATCAAACAGTTGTACAGATTGCATTTAATCTGAATTCTCAATTAAATCCAGTTCTTTTGAGTACTGAAACTTTGTATAATGATGTACCAATGAGAAAATGCGATAGTGTTAATTTGATTGTTTGAGACAAAGGCGTGGATGTACGATGGTCTCAGCCTTCCAGGTGATGCCTTTTGTGGTTACAAATCTTTTACATAAGATGTGAGTAATTCCTTGAGAATGTGACAGGCTCCAACGAAGGCAGTAACATTATCAGAGAACATGGTAGTTGGAACTCTTTTTCTGGCGATAAATCGTCTGGAACTCATTGTCGTGAAATTGGCAGACCGGCTGAGTACTATCTTCGATAAATAAATAGGTCGGCCTGACAGACATGTAGATAAGGTTTAAATAGTGCTTTGTTGGCGTGACGGTGATTGAGCCCAAATGGTACACTTCTGTAAATGTAGAGTTCTGCGAATCCTGCAGACTGCACACTGGCCACGGATCGTGCTGTATTTCGTAGGTCGGCTCACATAATCTTTGTCGTAGCTCATGTATCACCAATTCGAGGTTTGCATGGTCTGCCAGTCGACGATCATAATGCAGCAATTGATGTCCGACTAAGTGGTGGTCGTCGACCAATATTAGGAACTTGGCGACTGGATTATAGATGCCAGACAAATACAGCAGTTTGTCATCTCTGATGTTTGGTAATAGTTTAATCAAGCGATCATCATGAGGTTGTTTATAATTGAGAATCAATCTGTATTCTTCTCCAAAACTGTCGAGTTGTGTATGCAGCAAGATGTGTCGTTCCTCAGTTTTATGTAGAGCGCCCCCTAACGGTGATAGACTAGTGGACGTTGAGCGATGGCGAGACAGAAATCTGAAATCGCCAGATAATTTAGAATTTCGAATTTTATTCAAAATGTTTTTAAACATAGTTGCATATTGATGGACCCGACGGATCCAGTCGTTAATATAATTAAAATTAGTAGTGACTGGAGTAGTTAAACCTATGCTAAAAGAAGTAAATCCCACCAATTCATGCGGTTGACATTTCCGCTCCCCACGAACTGGTGCGACATTAGGCTTCACTGGCCAGGTTTCTGGAGAATAATACGAAAAAGATTCAAAATTATCATCGTTAGATGGTTCCATAAACATTCCGTAATTAACAAAATCTACTTCAATTTTATTTGAAGAATTTCCATATAATGTCCAGCCTAGTGCCGTTAAGCAGGCCACGGGTTCGTTCTTGTTACCGATGCGAATGCCACGATTGATTGATAAATGCCAATCCCCAGCTCCAATTAAGACTGTTGGAGTGGCATCCTCATGTGTTAGCTCATCAACTAAACCGTTTAAGTGTGAGAACGATTCAATATCTTCACGATTAATTGTTTGAGAACGTAAAGATAATGAGTCCATGGCTTTAGCATTTTTTACTAAAAATGTGTCTTGTGTGTGTCTACCCTTAATATAAAAATCGACATATGATATCCTAACATGTCGTTGAAGACCACCAATACCATTCACAGTAATCGTGTGTTGCGGTCCTGTCGCGCCTATGCGCGTTGCTACACTACTGTCGATTAAAGTGGCTGTACTTCCGTCATCGAGAAGTGCGAAGACATCACAACTCCCTCTAGGTCCCGAGACTGTGATAGGTATCACCTTTAAAAATGCCCGCGGACGACTAGCTGTAGGTTGTTGTGTTCCGGTATGAGTAGTAGACACAAAAAGATTGTCTTCAGATGACTTTGAACATTTGGGAATTGACTGACTATTTCCTACACTACACACATCCGTGACATTAATATCTGTAGTTTGTGAAACACTGGCCTTATGTGAACTAGATGAATGTCGATGAAGTAAAGGATGATGACGAATGCGACACCCGTCGATATTGCATGGCTTTACTTTACATGTTTTCCACTGATGTGAACTAGTTCGTAAACACCGATAACAAACTTTCGCTTGTCGTAGCCATTGCCATCTTTCATCTACAGATAAAATTTTGAATTCTGAACATGATTTAATATTATGATCTTTTTTACAAAATGAACATAATATTTTCCTGTTGTCACATCTGTCACTGTTAGTAGTATGTGTCATTGTGTTAATATTTTCACGCCGAAATGATTGTTTCTCACTAAAAAAAGGTTGCATTGAACTAGACTCAGGCGACAGCCCAAAACGTATATGTTGATCTAGTTCACGCCTTAAAAATTCAGACAACAACTCTAATTTTGGACGTGTTGTGGTATTTTGTGTGGCAAAATCTGTCCACCTAATTTTAATTGTAGGGTTCAATTTCCCTAATACTGCGTAAAAAAGCTCTGGAGAGTGTAAGTATTCTGTCTTGTTTAATAATTTAATTGTGGCTATGGAATTACGTACCCTATTGGCAAGAGTAGCGAGTTCTTTGAGATCAGTGCCCAGACGTGGAAGATTTTTTAATTGAGATACTTCCCTGAACACGATCAACTCGGGACGCGCGAAGTTCTCTTCAAGTGCGCGTATGACTTCGTCCGGGTTATCCGTTGCCATCAGTAATGCCGCGACAGCGTCATGCGCGGGCCCTCTCAGTACACTCTGAAGTCTGGATAGATTGCCTAATGTAGAGAAATTATTTTTAGTGAGCTCGTAGATGCGTTTAAAATGTAGCCACTGAAGTGGGTTCCCTGAAAATGGAAATAGGTCGGGATTGGACCCTCGGCTGGACGCGAGAGCTTTCGCTGCTGCAGCGGTGTCCGCTACAATTTTAAAAATATTTGTGTCCGTATTAACGAGCGGGGGCGTGATGTCCACCGCCTCGGGCACACTAATTATATTATTATGTTGTCGCATAGAAAGTATAACAGGGGATGCAGTTGGCCGTGTGGTTGTCGGTGGTAGTACCGGACAACCGGCAGATGGAACAAAACCTTGTTGTTCACATTCAATTGCGGAAATGACCCTATTACCTATATCTCCTTGGTTTTTAATAAACTTAGTATTTTCCACCCACCTCTCTGTATCATTTACCACCCTGGTTGAATTGTGATGACTTGCAAGACTTCCGTGATAGCTGTCGTAGGCTTCAATAGCTGCTAACTCGGCACGTAGCTCGCTATTTTCAACCTCTTCCTGTAGAGCCGACAGTTGTCGTTCACGCTTACGCTGTTGTTCTTCACGCTCACGTTGTTGTTCTTCACGCTTCTGTTCCCGTGCAGCAAAATCCAACTCACGCTCTAGACGACGACGTAAGGCCATTGCCTCTGCAGCGGCCTTTTGGGCCCTAACGGTGGCAGATGAGTGGCTCGACCCGGTTTGAGTCGATCGTATACTACGAGTTTTACTGCCATCCCGACTACTATTGGTAGTCTGTGGGTTGACTTGTGAGATGGTACAACTTTGTGCGGGTACAGATGACATGACTCTACTTTTATTGCGGGTGATCAAGAGAATGAGAATAAATATGTAATTAGAAAATACAATGAAAATTAATAATGATACCTATAACTACGAAAAATGAACTATGAAAAATAGGTGCGCTGTAAATATAATAGGTAGAAGGACCAAAATGAAGCGGAGGTATCAAATGTGTCTGATGAGTGAGAGGTGCTGAGGGTTTTAATGAGGAAAATACGGAGATTAAATAAAATGCGACTAGTATGACAGCGATATATAATAGAAAGTAACAAAAAGAATATGTCAAAGAATATTATTATAAAATTTAAAAATAGTACAAAAACCTATCAAGGAGTTCGCTACACTAAGGATATCTTTCAATTCATGTCTCTAACGGTTCTACGTAGCTAACTTTGAAAAAGAGTGCGCGAGAGACAATAGATGCAGATCACAGTGCTACTGGACAGCACCACTCAGTAAAAAAATATACATATTATTAGCCTTCACTGGTTTTAACCTGCGGTTTACTTCCACGAACTTGTCAAATAATTCACTTGCGTATCCCGTAGCACGTACGCTAGGATAGGTTTATATACTTATGTTAATTGCATTAGTTATAAAAACAAAAGGACGCAAGGCCGAGCTCCATTATTATTTACATTCTTAGAGAAGTGGTGCAGGGAAGTATATATACATTTTGTACATATCACAATATCTTGTACCGTACCATCATATTTTACTCATTCAGTGATTCATTTTTATAAATAGAAAACAATAAAAAGCTAGTCAAACAGTGAAGAATAAGAACAGGGTATACAACGATATATATTTAAAATATGAGTTTATTGCATTGTTCGTTCTCGTGTCCTATCGGCAGAAAGCATGAAGCCTTCAAAATTACTCCTGCGTTTAGAAACCAGACACTCATCTTGCATACACAATGCAAACCGAATTCTTCGAGTCACTTATTTTAAAAAATCTATTCCTAGTAGAACAACAGCAGAAGATCTTTTTAACGCATTAATTGAAGCAACGCAAAACGAAATATTTTGAATGGAATAAATGCATTGCGGTATACAGGTGACGCGAAAACGATAGCTGGGAAAAGCAGTGGCGTGATAATAAAATTTGTATTGATAGCTTTTTACTACTTCTTATTTATGCGAAAGACGTTTCTCTTCAATGCTTTTGAAAACTAAATACAGAAATCGTCTGTTATCACTCCAAAACAATTTACTTAAGTACTTTTGAGTGAGAAAAAAATCCAAATATCGCATTAATTAATTAATATTCATACTTAATAATTTTATTGAAACAAAGTTAAGTTTTTCAGTTATAGTATTTAGGTATTACATTTTAATATTTAATTTATAACATTACACTAAAATTCATGATTCGTTTAAATACATGTATCTTTCGTGTATATACATGTGTCGTTTTAATACATGTATTTTACCTATATGTAGTTTGTATTAATAACTTTTCTACAGACTGCGATCCCCCTTAAAAACAAACTTGACCCTTCCAGGAATCGCGACCCCCCGCTTGAGAATTGATGGTATAGATAATATTGCGAAGTGGTGTGTGAAGCTTTATATTTAGAAGTTATGTTTATAAACAGTGTTATCAAAAGTCGGATGTTTTTATAGTAAGAGCAACTAAGAAGTCGGCATTAAAAGTTCGTGCAGATCAGAGCGTTGATATATTGAATTGTAGTGAGTGAATTGGTTTGAGTTTTGTATAATCTGAAAGTTTAACGTCGAAATAACCTCCACGACCAATCGTGATCTGTGGGCCACGCCGGAATCCAAAGAATCGTCATTATATCCGTCGCCGCAACGGAAAACGCCGCACGCAATATACTACTGGCCTAAAAAAATTATAACGGACCTATGGATACCCACCAGTTGGTGTGAATATTTCAAACATGTTTCCTCACGAAAATTCCGTTAGCTTTCCTAAAACTATTTTGCTACACATTTTTGTGTTAACTTTTTTTACCTTAAGTATAAACAGTGCAGATGTACCCATATTTCATAAGTGTTGCCCGGAAGACCAGAACCTTATTAAAGTGATAGTTGATTTAAATATTACTCTTGACGTACGATATGTATGTTTAAATGCTGAAGCAAGAGAAAATTATAATGTCTCCAGTGACGTTGTTCCTCTTTTAGTGGTAAAAAGTGAAAATGTTCAATTTTATATGCCTGAGAAGTGCCAATTAGAGTTAATACGTACAATTGGAGACAATTTTGAAATTACAACTGATAACGATGTTTGTTACGACAGACTTGTATTGGAAATTGTAAACGATATATCTATACAGATAGTTCCTAAAACTGTTGCATTAGCCTGTGTCAAAAACGAAACCAGAGACACATTGAGATCGACTTTAACAATAGATCACGTTCGTAAGTGTTGTCCTGGGAGTCAGAGATATGATACCGTATATCATGTATGTAGAAACTCTGCAGAGTACAGTAAAGATAATTGGTTAATGAAGCAACTTACGAATTATAATACCGGTAGCAAGATATATGAAATAGATTTTGAACTACATTGTAAATCAAATGAATATGCTGTAGAGTTGAGTGAAGACAAATATACAATAGACATCGAAGGAAGAATGTTAAAAGTAGGCAGCAGAACTGGAACAAACAAATATATAATTCCTAGTGGTGAGTGGTGTGTAGACCGTGAATACGTTAAGGGAGAAGTGGTAGCTCGAGTTTGTACAAATGATTGTTCTAAATTCGATGCATACTGTCTGAGAAAATGCTGCCCTGTGGGATATCATTTTAAACCCCGACACTGTGGTAAATTTAATAGCAGTTGCGTACCTAACGCTGATGATGATGAAGCGGTGTACTTCAACATTTCTTCATATTTGGACCCTTTACAGGAACACTACAAAAATATCGAAGGCAAGTAAACATTACGATTCCAGATTATAGTAATTAACAACCTAAATATTTTGGGTTTCAAACAACTTTATAGAATTAAAATCATTTTAATTTTAAACAGCTATTTTACTGTACCAGCGGTTTCAACCGCGTGAAAGCCTATATGTTATTCTGAATGCGTGATCAAATCAGAAATGAGGAGATCTTCAGAAGAACCAGAGTGACCGACATAGCCCGTAGAATTGCGAAACTGAAGTGGCAAAGGGCAGTGCCCATAAGTTCTAGGACAGGTGAGCGTTGGGGCAATAAAGTCCTCGACCGCGGACCGCAACGGGGGAAGGTCTCCAGCAAGGTGGACCGACGATCTGGTTACGATGACTGGAAGGCGATGGATGAGAGCAGCGCAGGACCGAGCGTCGTCGACCGAGCACGAGCGAGATCTTTGTGGGAGGCCTTTGTTCAGTGGACGTCTTCCAGGCTGAGATGATGATGATGATGTATAATATATTTTATTGTAAAGTTTCATCAAAATCCGTTCAGTTAGTATTTTGCACGAAAGAGTAACAAACATCCATCCATACTCACAAACTTTCGCGACCTCGTACGGGTGTAATTAATTTTTTTTAAATACTGTCCAAGTTACTCACTTATTACTTTTTAAAATCAGTTAAGTACTATTTGAGTGCATTCGTTACCAACAAACGAACACTGATATCTTTTTTTTCTTCAAAATACAACCCATATATATGGTAAAGTATTTTATGTCGATTCCATACTAATTTAGTCACGACTAGGGGATCTTTTTGTGGAATAAAATCTCTAATTATATTTCCTAGCAGGCCACTGTATCAGTAATCTTGTTAAATGCAAATAATGACCACAAAAGTTCATTCACTCCGCTGTCTTCAACTGTACTTATATATGGGTTATTAACTTATCGATGTCTAATTAATAGATAGTATATATTGATATCTATATATATCTATGCATATATGTATACTATATTTAGGTTATTAGTAATTACTATATGATAGCTATTTATTTAAACCAATCAAATAGTCAAGAGGAATAATCTTATTATTCGCTCTTGGCTATTTAGTCAAGATATATTTATTTTGTATGTAGTAAATAAATAAGCATTAAGTCCCCACAAAAAAAATATGTCAGACATGTAGTGTAGGCATAATTTAAACGTATTTTTTCTGGTGTTAATAAATAACTTCGAAGTGGAAAGATGGAGAACAAAAGTGGAAAAAAAAAAATTTATTGTTATTATAGTTCAGTCAATTAAAATTATTATTATCAAAGTTCAAATTATTATTATCAGTTGCCGTAAAATTATTAGATGTTTTTAAATATAACGACAATCGCTTATTTGAATGAGTATTTATTGGATTTTATTTTCGATTTTCTTTTTTTTTATTTATTTATTTTAGGCTACTAATGGCCCATATTATAAATAATTTACAGACTAATTACAATAATAGTAATCTCAGGACTATTCACACAGCGCCGTCTAGACCCAAGTTAAGCTAGCTAAAGCTTGTGTTATGGGTAATTGATACAAATACATAGATAATTGTTTTTCGTAAATACATACATATTGTACTTAGAAAATACCCAGACCGATACAAATGTTTGTGCCGTGCGATGAATTGAACCCGGGACCATCAGACGTAAAGCGATGTCTAGCACACCGCTTTACATCTGATGGTCCCGGATCACTATATCACCGAGGACGTCAAACGACTAACTACTAACGTACATATGTAATTATAATATAAATATAAATCGTCTCTGTGATAACGGCATTGACGATGGCAAGCTACGGTCACGGTAGCGTCAATATACCACCCCCTTTGGCCAGTAGTCCTCCTTCTTGAAGGTGGGCAGCATGTGGGTGGGCAGCTTTACTCCAGCTTCGTCGCCCTCCATTTCAGGGTACTCTTCGTGTATATGTAGTCAATAATACCCTGAACCTTGGTAGCGTAGTGCCGTGGTCGGTGTTGCTGCACGCAACAGGAAGTTGGGTGCAGTGAGTGCCACAGTGGCTCTATTTGAGCGCCTTTTCTTTTGTACCGTTGCGGTTCCCAGTGACGACACAAAAAGGGTCAAGATTCAGTGTCGTTTTTGGCAAGCCGCTATACTGAAGCAGTTGGTTTGCTACGACAGAAGGATTTTGTTGTCACTGCTATGCGCAGTGTTTCATTTTGACTTTTATGTTGCTTTCTAATGGGTACATTTAATTACAGTTTACTATATCACTTTTCTATATTTTAGATACATTGGGCATTCGCACTGGCCTTGATTGTCCAAATGGAAGAACAGCTCTGAATAGATCATCCGTCAAGGATTTCCAGTACCTGACATACACTATAAGTGTTGGGAACGATTATTGTATCGAAACTTTTGACACCCGCGACTGTCAGGATGATGTCACAGTAACTGCGGTAATCTGTTTGATAGCACCGCCATCACAATATAATGATTTCCAAATTTCTTTTGTAGTGAGTATATATTTTTATATACATTGTTGCAATGTATCTTATGAAAGTGACCTCCACGCGGTCCACTCTGGAAACCACTCCAGTTAATTCTTGGTGAATTAGACCATAATTGACTGAATAGATGTTCATCCTATCTTTCACTGTACTTATCTTTAAAAACACTTATTCATAAATCAACTTCCTTCGGCACTTCAGCCTTCTTTGGGAAGTGTAATCGTTCGACTTGTGAAGATTAATAGATCACAAGTGTGCCTATGCTAATAGCCACTAAATTTATCCGTTCTGATCGCCAAAAAAATCACCGTGCACGTCAGTTAGTCCGCCATCACAAAATGACGACTTACCAACTGTCGTTTCCAGGGGGAACTGCTATTAGGTAACCCTATTCTAAAAGTTTGGGTAGTGTTTAACATCATTATTGTCATCCAGAACGATTTCCGGTACTGATAGAGACACACACATGACAAGACTTTATTTTTAATCCATGTGGATGAAAAAAAAACAACTTTTTAGTTAAATTATTAGCATAAAACTGTGAAAACAGGTAGGAACTTTATATGCCTTAATGATTTTAAAAAACTAATTTTAAACATGTACTACCGCCTCCGCTTGTGGTGTATAGTAAGCCTTCTTTAGATAAGTTGTTATGTTTGGTGATTTTAATTAAGTACCTTAATCAATATAATTAATGACGTAGGCAGGAATATGACAAATAGAATTACAATTACTTGTACTGATAAAAGAACTAGTGTTTCTATTATAGTAATGCAATTTGAACAATTTGTCGTATATCAATCACATATATCATATAGGTTTTTTCAACAAATTTATCTACTGTACTTCTATGTATTTTGTAAGATTATTAAAAACTTATTAATTTCTAATTTAATTGCCAACTACCGAAGAATGAATGGTAATGGTTTATACGATTATGTTTAGAAAATAAATGCTGGGACGTTTATTGTCTTAAGTTGCTATAGCTTAAATAATGATGACAGCCTGCATTGAATATCTGATCAATTTAACTTCTAGCAGGAATTGTTATCAGCTGCTCTAAATGATCTTTCTCGTGTTTGGAGTTCTGTACTGGAGAGCTCTGCACTCGTTCTCATTTTCATCTATAGAATCTGTAAAGGTCAACAACGACAATCTACCACCACAAGGAATTACCACGCTTGGAACTGAATTTAAATAACAATGTGATTGCTGAACAATTTTCAGTGATATAATAATTTTATATTAATAAAAGAAATTGCTAAAGATTTTTTGATGTTTGTATGGAATACAATTTAGTATACAAACAGATTCGCTCTTCGTTTGCTATAATTATAGGATACATTTTAACGTAACTTATGCCGCTGGATAAAATGGATTATACATTAATCCGCAATTTTAAGATTTATAAAACAATTTTTATCCTATTTAAATTTTTGTCCTATGATTAATTATTATATTTTTTTAATTTCACGAACAGCTCATAAGCATATCGAGCGTATGCTTGGCGCTGACATTGTTGGTGTATTGTACGCTGCCGGAGCTGAGGAATAAACATGGCCGGACTCTCACATGTCACCTGAGTATGATGCTGCTTGCGTACTCATGCCTTGCACGAGTACAGTATGATGTCGTTGAAAATACTCTCATATGTACACTACTTGGTGAGTCAGTTAGTAGTATAGTAATACTAGAGTATTTGTTTATATAAAATCGTTTGTGTATGACTTCTTTATCGGCTATTTTTGTCACTAAGCACATCTCTAATATTAATAGAGTCTACTCTGGACTCTAAATGTATCTGGTGATAAATCAAATGTGTCCTACATTTGACTATGTTTTCAAACCATCTACAAACTACTTAAAACATACACACTGATCTAGCTTTAGGAGGTGTTAGGTGACAAACACACTTACAGAAGAATTATGTACCTATGTATAGGTATATATAAAGGTTTTATATAATTTACTAAATTAAGTAAATGTGAAAATATCATGAATTTACGTTATTAATTATGATACGTTGGAAAATATTCTAAAACTCCGGAGACATCATATAACATACCTAAATATGTAATTAGTAAAATGTGTATTCGTTATACCAAGAGGCGTAAAAATATACAGCTTTGAACATGTAATACTTGTTATATATATTATATCTCCAGAGTCCTCAAGTTTTAGAATATTTTATGAATATAATGAATATTATGAAAAACGTAAAATCATAATATTTTCATATTTGCTTAATTTAGTAAATTGCAATTAATATATATAATTATATAGCTTATCTAAATATGTATTACATAAACATCCTATTATGGATAACATTTTCTTTGATTTATGTATATGTATGTATGTAATGTACATGACGGATCCAGGTAATTTAGTGATAATCTTTTAAAGTTGATGCTTTCATTAATTTTAATGTGACATAGACTAAGAAATAAGAAATAGTAAGTAATAAGAAATATTGTGTACTGTCCTTATAATATGCGTTCCAGTTCTTAAGGTGTTAACAACATACTGGGTAATTATACTGTCTATCGACGCTTATGTACATACATGAATATTGAAAAACGCACATATACGTATTATAAAACAACGGCTGTCGTGTCGTACCCCTTATACGTCGCCATTCCTGAGGACGAAAATGTCATGCCTATTCATCACCACATTCACATGTAAACCTTCCTTAAAATATTATCTTTATTCCTATGCATTACATGCACATACCACGACAGACGATAACTTTTCAACATCTCCGACATCAGCTCCACTTTCTTAATGCCTTGAAGTTATGCCTATTCTTCTATAATTTTAGGGTCTTTTTTTACCCTGCAACTACAACACGTTTACAGAAAAGCTGCTTGGAGTTGAAATAACTGAGGCAGATGAATATTTATCATAGCAAGTTCATACGCTATCAGAAGAAGCGCTTTTGATTGCTCAAAAGAAACCGTATGGCGTAGATAACGCGAAACAAATAATCAGAAATTGATAAACAACCTCATTTAATCATGATACTCGATAAAAAAAATGTTTATGTTTATGTATTATAGTATGTGTAGGTACTATACATACTATGCTTACTAATATAATAAACGTGAAAGTGTGCCCGATTACATAGACAGTCGGTTACTTTGTTACCTTTTCACGACAGCAACTTATTGGGTCTTGACATGAGGTTAGATTGTTTCAAGGATAAAGGATAAAATATAAAATATAGAAGGATAAAACATATCCTATACCTGTATGGTATAGGATATGTTTTATCTCAGAAAAAGCAGACGAAATCGCTGGTAATAGCTAGTAGGTATATATTATGCTTGTAATTAGTAGGGCAATATTCAGAAGTGTAATTTTAATAATAATAATTTGCCTAAAGGGACCCCTTTTAATAATATATTTTAGTCAACATATTATATATTTTTTTTTAGCTTTCTAATTTTAGGTTCTTAGTTGTACAATTAGGTTATGTAAATACTAGTAATAAATTTAAATTAATATATTATAATTTTAATTAAAATAATATGACATTGAGTAAGCCAATAATATTTTTTATGATATTTTTATACAGGGTATGGAATATATTTCGGTTTTGTCGCTGCATTTGCCTGGTTGAATGTCATGTGCATCGACATCTGGTGGACATTTGGGTAAGTAAAATACAATATCCGTCTAAATCAAATATTATCTACGGATAAGAATGAGCAACTAACTGGATTATCGTGCACGTGACTTCATTCCGTGTAACAATATCCTCTAATATGTCACCACACCAACAAAACTAAAAAAATAATCCACATATATGAATATGTTGAATAGAATAGATACGTGCCTATCAATGTGGTAGAAAAAATGTAGTAGAAGTAATTGTATTATTTTTTGTATATATGTACTTACACTAAGAAAGCTTGCTAAAACATTTTCGCTTGCGCATATTTAATTAAGTTAGTTTAAATGGGTTCACTGAAGTTTTGTTCCTAAAACCCAGATGATATTTATATTTATATTGATATATATAGAGAAAAAATTGAACAAAAACATGAAAATAATTTTAATATCTAAATATATATGACTCAAAGGTGACTGACATAGTGATCTATCAACGCACAGCCCAAACCACTGGACGGATTGGGCAGAAATTTGGCATGCAGATAGATGTTATGACGTAGGCATCCGCTAAGAAAGAATATTTATTAATTCTACCCCCAAGGGGATAAAATAGGTGATGAAAGTTTGTATAAAACTTAATCAATTTTAAACCAATCGGGCTGAGACTTTGCATGCATAAAGCTACTATGACGTAGGCATCCCCTAAGAAAGGATTTTGATAAATTTCACCCCTAAGGGGATAAATTAACGCGAGCGAAGCCTCGGGCAAAAGCTAGTGTATTATAAACATGATTGTTTACAACAATTGCAGTAAATAGAGTTGATAAATGCGAGTGATGTCAAGATTGTTTGCTGCATTTCGTCTTTGGACTGCAACAAATCTTCATTGTGCAAACACTAAAACAAACAAACCAGCGATCACTCTCATTACCAGTGGTACATTTTTATTGGGTGATATTTTGTTACAGCCATGTCCGTACACGATCTTTGCAGAAAGGAAAGTCACAAAGAAATAGGTTTATATGGTACTCCGTATACGCATGGAGTAGCTCGATTCTTCTCACACTCGCAACTTTCTTGTTTGACACCTATCCTGTTTCACCTTTACTAGACTCAAACATGGACAGCGGCCTGTGTTGGTTTGGTGCTGGTGAGTATAATACTATATATTTAAAGGTTACTTCATAGCGACGGCCTCGATGGTGTTACGATTTCGCACACCGCTTTACTTCTGATGTTTGCAGATTTCATTACTCACACAATTCAAAATTTTGTATTCATGAATACAATAGTTTATTAGTCTTGTCATTCTCTTTGTATATTAAATACCATATTTATAAAGAAAAAAATATTTAAATCAGTTAATTAGAATGGATGTATGCTTTAGTATAAATAGTGCCGTAAAATATTAGTAATATTTTAACTAAATATCGTAATAATAAAAAGTATATTAAAAAGGAACTTATAAAAGAACGTCTAGAATTATAATGTAATATTTAGACTAATTATATACTTGGTCTTACTTACTTACTCTTATAATTTATGGAAATCACATTCCATAAGCTTAAATTAAAAAATAAATTCAGTTTTACTGTTTTATAATTGTTGTTAAATAAATAAATGTTACTTATCTTTATAATCATAATAACAAATTGTGTGTATCTCGCAAATTTTTGTCCGATCTTTTATACTCTGCTATAGTCTGTAGTATAAAGTAGATCAGTTTAAAATGACAATTTGTCTTACAGATATGTTGAAAGATTTTCCTCAGCGACTATATAGATTGTAACATTACGGATATAATATTACAATTATCTAATATTGTAATTGTTTTGGATACTTTAGTAGTCTCGGCTCTAAACGCACAACGGCCCAAATAAGAGGCTAATTGCGTAGAGTTCACATTACATTACATTGTAATTGTTTCAGTTCAAAATGACAACTCCGATTGGCCACATTACATTTTCTTTGTGGCACCAATGGGTATAGTGACTTGCATGAATTTTGTATTGTGGGTACTGACCGCGCGTCATTGCGTGAGGGTTAAATCTGAGATGCACAGGTTGCAAGCCGGTTCAGCAGGAGATCGAGCCAAACGACGCTTCAGAATCGATCAGGCCAAGTACGTATATGTTATTTTTGCAAACATCTATATAATGTTTTTTTGGTAATTACTTTATAATATCTTGATTTAGAATGTGTCAAGTAGGTTTTACGTCGATATCTCTAAATCAATATATTCATTAAAAATTCCAAGGCTAAGTTTACACAGAATATTTCTGATCTATTTCAAAATATAGATGACATACGGTCACAATTTCATGTTTCTAAACTTAGTATTTTTATACCATTTTTGTTAATTGCAAAATACGTTTTCGTCCGCGTGGTGGAAAATTGTCTAAGGACCTAATATATTGTACTACAGATGCCTCTTATGCTTTTATCTAATATAAATACGGAACAGTAAAAGATCAATAGATCACAACAGTGTCATAAATATTTTTTTCCCTCCTCACTAGAAAAGCAAGAATAGTTCATTGAAAAAGATACCATACAGACATTCATATTACTGTGTTTTTATTTAGTTTTGATTCCATAATTCAACTTTTTAGAAGTGAACGTAACTGGTAAGCATTGCGTTTTTACGTATTATTTTTTGTGGTAAAACTCCTTGCTTTATAGATATGTAGTTTTATGAAAAGGGCGTTTTGTTTCTATGTAATCATCATTATTATTCAGCTTCTATGTAATTAACCTTTGAAATCGGAGACATTTTGACATCTTAACAAATTTTTCAGTAAATGGTGGTTACTAAATTGATCATCATCGTCATGATGATGATGATGATCATGATAATACTAAATTGAAAAAGAAGATAAATTCGTAATCATGTTCATTTTTTATATTCCATATCCTTAACGTATATTTTAGTTAAATTAATTTATCTCTGATTACGTATCAATTATGTTTTTTAATTGTAATGGCATACTATTTCACGATTTACCTCATAGTAAATGTCGGCTATATGAATAGCATTAAATATACAAAACACTAATTCGTTGTCATTTCGCAGGACTATGATATTATGCCTCCATATCCTGTAAATTAATTGTCTTATCTCCACCCTTTAACTGAAACCAGTTTACAAAGCAACCTGTTTGATGGCAGAAATAGGTATGACCGTATGATGATTTTTTACAACAAAAAGCTAACATCGGTACGTATATATGTGTATTTGTTACAGATATATATTAACGGGCAAATTGTGGGTGGTGATGGGTGCAGGCTGGGTTTCTGAACTGCTGTCTACTTTGATACATGAACCGTGGTGGCTCTGGTTCGTTGTTGATCTCTTAAACGAGCTTCAAGGAGTTTTCATCTTCATAATACTCATATTCAAGCCGAAGCTATATTACCTCATTAGGAAGCGATTGGGTACGTGTATGTGGATATGTGTATGTATGTATATATATCCAAAATGTCTGTTATCTTATAATTAAAAGTCCCGGAATTGAACTATGTTATGGAATGTCCCGAAATGGAAGTATCATATGGTATGGAATCCACCACCATTTCAGTTTGTTATTAAAGTCCAATAGATACAAGTATGTGCTAGTATTAATGTTGTGGTTTAACTAACGATCTTCATTCATTTATCTATTTGTGTCGTTATTAATCAAGTTCCAATACTACTAGTGGATTACCTAATGTTTATTTAGTCATGGCTTTACCTAATAAAAAATGATTTTGAAATAACTATCAAAATATAACTTTTATCATTGTTATCTAATTTTAGTCAATATTTTCCTTTGGCTATGTCCTTGAAGGTATGACATAATTATTATATGCAAAAGCTGATTACCTGAACATTACAGCAGACAAGCATTCAAGGACCAAGATTTTTATTGAATGCTTGTCTGCTATTGTAATTGTATAATATAATTAACTAAAATTAATGTGTACAGGTTTGGAGAAGCCACATGTGAGGAAGAATGGCCCTTCGTCTTCTGCTCGCAGTTCCTCAACCTATTTGTCTCGGACCATCAGCCATGAGCCAATGAGGATATCGTTAACTAACAACGATAAGGAGAAATAGAGACGAATAAAGTTCAAATACAATCACTCCTCCACGTTTGTCAATAACAACTTGTCACACGTCTACATAACTCACTGGGTGATTTTTGTATATATTATTACGCAGATGTTTTCTAATGCTTGTGTTTGCGATCTCAAATAGCCATTACCTATACATACAATTAAAAATAAAATTATAAAATTCAAATTTGGAACCTCACGCATGGAACATCGATGTTGTTTTGTTTTACTTTATATACCTTTTGTCACTTCTAAAACATTCCATGGCGTCACATTACAAATCTAACTATTTTTTATTTCTTTATTATAACAATTTAAGCATAGCGATATTCCTCTAGCAAACATTTTGTTTTATTTTGTAATAGACTCATGGTTGGTTGGTAACATAACTTAGATATCGTAGCATGTTATAGTTATATAACCTCGCTGGTCTAACTTAATAGTATAGCTTATTTTGACGCTTACGTATTTCTTATGCACTTAGCATTCTATTTTTTTATTATACTACATAGTAACTACAATTGTATCGCAAGTAGTAGGACTTATCTAGTCCTTATTCATGAAACAGTTAAGCTACCAAACTTATTTTGGTATTGCACTGTTATATTAACTTTCCTTGAATAATTTTTTTAATTAGTTAAGGTGGGTCTGTAGTTTGATTTAGTTTTCGTGAATAAGGCAGTAGTTTTGAATATAATTATGTTTGTTGCGTTTATTTGATCTGTATGTTAATGTGTTTATTTTGAAGTGTAAATTGATAGTAATTTAATAATAATGTTGCATTTTTTCATTATCTTATTACTTAGGTAAGTTAGAGTAAGTGTACTTTTTAGATGGTATTAAAGAACTTTTATATCAGCGCACTTGTAAGAAACTGGTTATTGTTTAAACCATAACTCATTGTTAACCATAAAGTAGAGAATAATTATTCTGTTCTATGGCAGATACTAATATCATTAAAATAATATTATTTATGAAACACTGATGTTTACATATGTTACTGGAATTATCCGAAGAATAAGTGTCCAATTCATTTTTAATTTCAATTATATGATCTATAATATTTGTTTTTAATATTTTTTATTAATATTTATATAAGAGCCAGGACATTATTTCGCAATGTTAATTTTTCATTTTACATTTATGTTTCAAAAATCAGTACGCATTTAGTAGTCGTTATCTGTTTTAATATACAGTTTTAATTAACACTATATTTTTATTAATACCTACCAAATCTTTTTACATTTTCGGTTCTTATCATACATTGGTCCTTAGAGCTTTTCGAAAAAGCGGGAGCTTTACACGAGACGTATACAGTGAACTTTATTATTGTCGGTGGTACCGCGCAGTAGCCTATTCGACTAATTGCATCAGATGTCGTGTACTAAGTTCTAAAACAGAAAGGTCCCAGATATCTTCAATAAGCAGTTTCAACTATCGAAATCAATATCTTCAAATTCAAGAATAGCTTCAACTCAGAACAACAAGGTTTTGGATCATCAGTTGCGTACCACGGAGGCAGCTAGTCTCTGGTCAACAGGTATCGTGAGAACACGGTCACGCAACTACTACTACTAAGCAGGATCCATCAAGTAAGATCAATCATTTTATTTTGTTTTAATCATGTCAGTAATGGAAGACAATTTTACCGATTGCCAATGCTGTATTGTAGTAGTATTAAGTAATTTTAAATAAGACAAGTCCGAAAGGAATTTTACAGATTAATTTCAGTTTTTTTTAATAAACTTAGATTGGAAGGGGATTCTTACTAACGTGAACTAATGAGCCCATTACTAACAATGTGCCATGTCCAGTTGACCTACTCGAGGTTTACCTTGGAAACCATCGTGATATGTTCCTGGTGAATTCACAAGGATGAGTGAACTGACCTGACTTAATTTTCAGTCTATCATGCCCCAGGTGTGCCCCGCTATCTTATACCGTTAATGCAGGCGGGAGCACCATAAACATATACATATACATTAAAAAACCAGTCAACACTCGCCTAATTTTCTTTTTTCCTAGACAATTCATACAGTGCCATCTAGGTTCTAGTTAAGCAGCCCTTGTATTAAGGGTACCATATCTTCCGATTGACTCCCTAAAAAAATAACTGATAAATAGCTAAATCAAAATGGAAATCTCGAAGATTTTCCATTTCGATTTAGCTAATTTACAATAACATTTAGCACATTACAATAATATTCTGTATTGTGATAGTATTATCACATTGTTGTCTATATACATATTAATATTATTTATTGCACATATTGTGGGTGTCATCTGATAATTTACTTAGATTTGTATATCTTAAAGAAGAGCCATTAGAGTGACGTATCCTGGATTTGTACGTCTATCAAATAGTGAAAAATATATGGATAATAATACCAACTGAGTAGAGTTAGGGAGCACCAACTACATAAAGCCACTTTTTCTTTGTGTAGTTGGTGATTTTAAAGAAATTATTAAAAAACTTTACAGTGGTTTATCCCTCAATTGTTATAAGTTAAAAGTTAAACAAATAATGAACAGTAATTTCACAGTCATATTTGTCACAGTCATTATCACTTGCAAAAAATGTATATGTAATCCTACAAACAGTAAAACTTTTTTAAACAGTATATTGTAAGGTTAAAAGCCGCGGAACAGAGTAATAGTTTCGGCAAATGATAAATATTATATTTTAGTTATCAGTACGTAAGTAGATTCTAGGTAGGTAATCAATCGTTTGCCTCATGTTTATCGTCAAGTATCAGATAAGTGTTCTGAATCGCTGTCTTGGTTGTTTAGAGTCCTATTTGTAGTACGATTGGTGATGGCATATGAAAGGTCGAATAGAGTACCTTCCATATTACGTGCAAACTTTCCGTAATATTTTATTCGTTTGTATAGATATTACAGTAGCCTGGTGTGTGAAGATTTATATTTAGAAGTTATGTTTATAAACAGTGTTATCAAAAATCGGACGTTCTTATAGTAGGATCAACTAAGAAGTTAGCATTAAAAGCTCGTAAAATATGCGTCGATGTGTTGAATTGTAGTGAGTAAATTGGTGTGAGTTTCGTCTCGTCTACAATTTCAAGGGCGAAACAGCCTCTCGACCAATGTTGATCTGTGGGCCACGCCGGAGTCCGAAAAATCGTCATTCATTCCGTCGCCGCAACCGAACACGCCGCACGCAACATACTACCGGCCTAAAATAAACAATGCCCAGCATACCTATCGACACCCACCAGCTGGCGTGAATATATCAAACATGTTTCTTCACGAAAATCCCGTAAGCTTTACTAAAGCCATGTTGTCTTACATTTTTGTGTTAACTTTTTTAAGCTTAAGTGTAAACAGTGCAGATGTGCCCATATTTCATAAGTGTTGTCCGGAAGATCAGAACCTTATTAAAGTGACAGTTGATTTAAATATTACTCTTGATGTAAGATATGTATGTTTAAATGCTGAAGTAAGAGAAAATTATAACGTCTCCAGTGATGTTATCCCTCTTTTAGTGGTAAGAAGTGAAAATGTTCAATTTTATATGCCTGAGGAATGCCAATTAGAGTTGATACATACAATTGGACCCAATTTTGAAATTACAACTGATGACGATGTTTGTTACGATAGACTTGTGTTGGAAATTGTAAACGATCTATCTAGACAGATAGTTCCTAAAACTGTTGCATTAGCCTGTGTCAAAAACGAAACTAGAGACACATTGAGATCGACTTTAACAATAGATCACGTTCGTAAGTGTTGTCCTGGGCGCCAGAGGTATGATACCGTATATCATGTATGCAGAAATTCTGTAGAGTATAGTAAAGATGATTGGTTAATGAAGCAACTGACGAATTATAATACCGATAGCAAGATATATGAAATAGATTTTGGACTACATTGTAAATCAAATGAATATGCTGTAGAGTTGAGTGAATATAAGTATACTATAGATATCGAAGGAAGAATGTTAAAAGTAGGTAGCAGAACTGGAACAAACAAAGACATAATTCCTAGTGGTGAGTGGTGTATAGACCGTGAACATGTTAGGGGCGACGTGGTAGCTCGAGTTTGTACAAATGATTGTTCTAAATTCGATGCATACTGTCTGAGAAAATGCTGCCCTGTGGGACATCATTTTAAACCCCGACACTGTGGTAAATTTGCTAGTACTTGCGTACCAAACGCTGATGACGATGAAGCAGTGTACTTCAATATTTCCTCGTATTTGGACCCTTTAAAGGAACACTACAAAGATATTAAAGGCAAGTAAATGGTATAACTCCAGTAGTTCTATACAATTTTAATTTAATTTTAATTTTATACAGTTATTCCTTTAACAGTAAAGTTTCTATCTAAATATATATAATCAAAATAAATCAAACTAGTCCATTGCTTGTTTGGGGTCGCAGTAATTTATCCCAATTTACCCATAGATCAGAGGTTATATTTATTAGAGCTTTTAAAAATGGTCAATGAACTTTTTGTTTTTCATAATATTGCTTCAGTTAATTAATGTTTTACTTTTTGAGAGACTAACTAATTTGAAAATGGCAAAACTAATCAACTGTTAATTAATTAAAAATTAGGAGACATTTTTATGCAATAAAATCCCTAATTATCTACATATAAATACATATAAATGCAAATAATGTTCATAAAAGTTCATTCACTGCACTATCTTCAGTACTATACTATACTTCTATATTTGTTATTAACTTATCGATGTGTGTATATTGTCGATACTATACTTATGATAAAGCAATTAAATAGTCAAGAAGAGTAATCTTAAGAGACGTACATCAAAAGTGAGACATTGTTCTCTTGTATGATTTTACGGAAATATTGCCATTTCGTATATTTATTTCGTATATGGTAAATAAATAAACATAACGATACCACAAAAAAATGACGTCAAACATGGAGGCATACTATAAACATAATTTTTCTGCCGTTAATAAACAATATCAAAGTGAGGAGAAGGAATACAACACTGGAAAAACAATATATTTAGTTAGTTAACTATACAGTGCTGTATTATTATTAGACGTTTTTAATTATATAGACAATGGAGTATTAAGAATGAATATATAATTTTGCTTATTACGTTGCTATCTAATAGATAAATTTAATTACAGTTTACTATATCATTTATCTATATTTTTAGATACACTGGGCATTCGCACGGGCCTTGCTTGTCCACATGGAAGAACAGCTTTAAATAGATCATCTTTAAAGGATTATCAGTATCTGACACCATCAGGAACATTGGATTCTGCTATAAGTGTTGGAAATGATTATTGTATCGAAACTTTTGACACCCGCGACTGTCAGGACGATGTCACAGTAACTGCGGTGGTCTGTTTCATAGCACCGCCATCGCAATTTAAGGATTTCCGAATTTCTTTTGTAGTGAGTACATGTTTAGTCTCACAGTATGAAGATATTGTTTATAAATAGTCTGTTGCAATGTATCATGTTAGATCAACTTCCACGCGGCCTACTCTGGAAACCACTCCAGTTAATTCCTAGTGATACGATGGGCTAATTGACTTACTAGATGCTCATCCTATCGTCCTTCACTGGTGCCCTGCAGGTGCAGGTGGGTCATCATTATCTTTAAAAATCTCATTAACACTTCCTTCAAAACTTCAGCCTTGTTCAGAAAGTGAAATCCATTCAGATTGTAAAGCTTAATTGGCCACCAGTGTACCTACGCTAATAGTCTCGATCTATCCAGATCGACTTCCAGTATTGATAAAGAGACACGACAATAGTTTATTTTTAATCCATATTATGTTTCGTGATTTCAATTAGGTACATAAGTAATATACTAATATACAATGACGAATGCAGGAATATAACAAGTGTTAGCGATATCTAAATAGAAATACTTACTTGTAGTGATGTAAAATAAAAGAAACATAAATAGTGTTTAGTATTATATTACGGGAACGGAATTTGAAGAATTTGGTTATATAGAACAAGTTTAATAATTTTTCACACATCTTCCGTTCATGAATCACATATCTTTTAGGTACTAATTTTCAACAAGTTTGTTTACTGTTTGTACTTCTGTGTATTTTGGCAATTGTTTAAATATGTATTGATTTTTAACGTAAATACGGAAAAAATTAAAGAAAGGAGATGGTCATGGTTTTTGGGACTAGTTAGTTGTTTACAATTGTTTGGAAAGTAAATGCCGCAACGTATATCCTTTATTGCCTTAGATTGCTCTATGTAACATACACGACAATTATGGTCAGCATTGAAAACCTGTTAAATTTATGTTGATCTTCAATTACTCCAAAGTTGTTCAAAAAATGTTCACCCACTCGTGGAAAGGCAACAGTCCATAGTTTCAGCAGTCACATAACAATGTGATTGCTGAAAACTCTATTCTTTTGCAATATAATTATAGGATACATTTTAACGTAATTTATGCGGAAAAAGCCGTCGTATACAGTTAACTTTGTAAATGTATCTGGATTTGTTGAATTTATAAAATAATAATGAATCTTGAGATTAATTCATAATTTATGTGTTATTAATTTCACAAACAGCTCATAAGCATATCGAGCGTATGCTTGGCACTGACATTGTTGGTGTATTGTACCCTGCCGGAGCTGAGGAACCAGCATGGTCGGACTCTCACATGTCACCTGAGTATGATGCTGCTTGCGTATTCATGCCTTGCACGAGTACAGTATGACGTCGTTGAAAATACTCTCATATGTACACTACTTGGTGAGTCAGTTATATTTAGTAGTATTAATACTAGAGAATTAGTTTACATAAAATTGTTTGTTGGGTTATCTCTTTATCGGATATTTCTGTCACTAAGCATAATGTACGCAGGGGCGGATCTACCTAAGAGCTTTTTGGGCTGCAGCCCAGGGCCCCTAGGATACAAAAGGCCGCCAGTCCCCACTGAAACGATATTTATAATATAAAAAATTATCTAGAATGTTAAAAAAACCTATCATAAGGTTGGCAACCCTGAGATCAATCATCCCATACAAGATGCATGCGCATCTATCGAAATAAACGGGAAATTTCTGGTCTAGTTTTTTTTCGGTGTATTTTATTAGTTGAGTAATATAATTGGGTACGGTAGGTAGGCCCCTAAGTAGATTTTGCCTAGAGCCCTACAAAGTCACGATCCGCCCCTGAATGTACATACGAGTTTTTAGTACGAATATTAATAGACAGGAGACATTTCATTTACCACGTGATACATTGAGTATTCTTTATATAGGGAAAGCATAAAATCGTAGTCCATACGAATATGAATAGATGACTCGTATCAGGTAGGTGGTATTGGTAGTCAATAACAGACAGGAAATTCCTGCCTACAGTTTCGTTGTACTTGTCTGTAATTCAGAGCATCGTAAACATAATAACGTAAGATTTTACAAAGATGAAAAATGATAGATGATTCCTCTTACACATATGTATCCAATCTACTTTTGAAGATCTGTGATTAAACAGTATCTAACATAGAAATGTAGTTTTTGAGATAACAGGTTCCATAGATACTTATTTCATTACGTTCTTTATAGATACTGTAGATGGTTGAAAAATATTGTTTTTTATAGATACAAAATTGGATACATGTGTATTTATATATGTAGTTAGTTATTGGATATCGTTGCATTATCAGGTATCTATTATATTTGAATGAGTATAATATTTTAGATTAGAGTAAATATAACAAAACACAAAGAACGAATAAAATAACAGGATTTATCTTTAATTTCGATAATCGACAAACATCGTTCTGCCGGAAATGCGGTGCAAAGTCCAATTATGTTTTGAAACCACCTAGAAACCACTTAAAGCACGTAAAATTTCACACACATCGGTGTAGTTTTAGGAGGAGTTAGGTGACAAGTACCCGTACAGAAGAATTATATATATTCTGATAATATATTAAGGTATCACAATTAGGATTGACTAAATCAAGCATATATGGTAATATCATAAATTTACGTTATTTATACATGTGGAGGAAAAATATTTCAAAACTCCAGTAACTCATATCATAAAATCAAATCAAAAATTATTTTTCATGTAGGCCATTTTAGCTGTTCATAAAAGTTTTGTATTAATATTTATCCCTACCGTCCAGTTCAGTATACAGATTCAATTGAGAAGAACTAATAAGAAACTCAACTGTTTTTCTTTTTTTATTTACGTTGTGTACTTATGTATGTTTCTATAATGAAAATCCCGTACATAAACAACTATTGCTATGCACGTTTGACATTCAAGTAATCGTTTAGTGAGTAATACAGGCTTTGCTCAATAAATATGATATAACAGATGTTTTATATTTATTTAAAGGTAATACGGTATGTCCTTTGATATCTTATTGTAATTTTTTATATCTATTCAATACAAATATGTAACAGGTATTACATGTTATACGCAGAGCCATAAAAATGCTTTTACTATCGTTAGTTCACTTAAACACTTAAGTAATATGGAGTATGCCATAAAATTGAGGAAGGTCATGTATGTCGCCTTATTATAAGTGACTAACTGGTCAACTGAAGATGTATTACATAAACGTCCTCTTATCGATAACATTATTTTCTTTAATTTAAATTAGTCATAATCTAAAGGAAATGTATGTGTAGTATATGGTATTTCCATGTATTTTACTGATAATCTTTTAAATTTGATGTTTTCATTAATTTTATGTGACATAAAGTCTATTGGAGTCATAAGTAATAAGAAATATTGCGTAATGTGGTATACCTGATATTCTACATTGTCGTTCTTAAGGCATTATCAACATACTCAGTATTTTTACTGTCATATAATACCCTATAAATCCAAATGTATGTAGACACTATAATCTATATAATTATATTTTTTTTACATTATTTATATGGGATAAAAAGTAGCCTATGTCCAAATGATATAATATTTAATTTCGGTAAGGCCCTAATAGGTAAGAAAAAGACACTGTTTCTCATTTGTAATGTTAATAAGAAATAAGACTTAATAACTATACCACTAGACGAGTCTTATTTAGTTGTTGTTAAAAAGTTAACAGTTTTTTGCTAATATCCGTTAACATAGTTGCAAGGAACTGTTAATTTTTTTATGTAATTGGAGTGCTAAATAAGCTAACGGTCTACCTGATAAGTGGTAATCGCCACCTATATACATGAACTATTATCTAGGCACATATTTATCAAACGATGGTTGTTATTCCGCTCATGCATTGTTATTCCAGAGGATTAAGATGTATACCCTTGTACTGTAATTTCAACGTGTTTTCTGACTCTGTAACTTAAAAGATGTAACAGCTTAAAAAGCAAGCTGCTTGGAGATGAAATCGGCGTAACTGAGGCAGATAAGTTTTAGTAAATTTACTGCTTATTATGTTGTGTATTAATACTGATTATTATGTAATTCATACGGAACCATTAGAAGAAACCCTTTCGACTATTAACACGTATTGCGTAACAAAGATTAAAAATATCATGAATTGATAAACATTCTCCTTTGATCTTGATACTCGACTGAAAATTTTGATTACAATGTTTGTTTATTTAGGTACTATACTAAATTAAAATAGAGTGGTTGACTGTCTGTCTATTCGTTACCTTTTTACGACAAAACAACTTAAGGGATTTTGACAGGAGGATATCTATATATGTAAATCGCTGGTAATAGCTAGTAGGTAATATACTCGTATTGTGTTTGTAATTCGTAGGACAATATTCAGAAGTGTAACATTAATTATTTGGAATAATATGATATTGATTTTTTATTCTATTCTTATTGAGCTATTTATTGGCTTACAATAATAATTTTTATGTTTTGTTTGTACAGGGTATGGAATATATTTCGGTTTTGTCGCTGCATTTGCCTGGTTGAACGTCATGTGTGTCGACATCTGGTGGACATTTGGGTGAGTAATATGTAATACCAGTCTAAACCAAATATTATCAATAGGTACTAATGAGTAACTAACTGGATTATCGTGTGCGCGACATCATTCTGTGTAAATTGGACTGAGAGGCCTTTACTTCATTGGTATAAAATTATACTTATTTCAAAATTAATTTATATAATCTATACTAATATTATAAAGAGGAAAGATTTGTACTTTTGTGTGTATGTTTGTATTGAATAGGCTCCGAAACTACTAGACCGATTTGAAAAATTCTTTCACCATTAGGAAGCTACACTATCCTTGAGTAACATAGGCTATATTATATTTCCAAAATAATTAGGGATCCTTACTAAAACTCTAATAATGTAACCCAAGTATGTATTGATGATAGAACAAAATAATGTACTACGACTTTGTACAACACATCATTATCTACAAAAAGTTGCATATGTCCAACTATTATAGTTATGTCACAATAAGTGTTCTTTTAATTTATAAATTTAATTAAAATGCCGCCGCAAGAATAAGCCCTTTATTAGTATCTTGCTATTAATATCAAAATAAATTACTTTATATTCACTGGTTCAGTACCTTTACATAACTTTTTGAATTATTCAATTTGGACATTCCATTCGAAAGATATCACGTATTTAAAAATGAAAGTAGTAGAAAAAAACCCCGCTCGGTTAGCTATAAACCAAATGTATGTAACGTAGCTATGTAGGGGCGTCACTAGGGTACGGGAGGGGATACTTGCTAAGATAATCAGGGAAAATAGCGATAGCAGTTACTTCGTCAGGAATTGTTGCACCTCTCTTAAAGCATGGAAAAAAACTGCTGATAAATTACTACAAGATAGTATTTCGAAGGTAAATTACTACGAGATGCCTTTGTGGAATGAATGCACCATGAGCCATAGAGCACATATAGAGGCCGAGGATAGTACCTTAAAAGATCTTATAAATATCTCTGCTCTCATGGGCGGGATTACTTTTGTATTTGCTGGAGATATCCGACAGACTCCCTGTCATTAATGTAGGTACGCGAGCAGATATCATAACAGCATGCTTGAAATGATCTCCCTTATGATCTTTAATTGAAAGTTTAAAATTACGAACGAATATGAGAGCTCATCTTCACGGAACGGAATTATAGACAGTGATTTCCCACAACAACTGCTCAAACTTGGGGAAAGAATTTTTCCTACTCCAAATTTAAACAAAAATTATGCTATCTTTCTGGAGTAGAGACTTCCTTAGGTCAAATGGTCCATAATTCAGAAATTTTGATAGATGCCGTATACCTTGATCTCGAGAATTAGCTCGAAAAGACTTTCATTGGTTGTATTCTAGGGTAATTGTGTCACCTAAGAATGACTACTACTGTCAACGAAATAAACAAAAATTACATATCAACTGACACCGTCGCTAATATCGAAGACGAAGTTCAGTCATTCACCGGAATTCATAACTTCAATAATCCCTTCTGGACTGCCACCACACGAATTGACGTTAAAAATCGGAATTCCAATTATGCTTTTGAAAAATTTAAGTCCACCGATCATGTGCAATGGGACGAGGTTGCTTACTAAGGAATTGAAGGACAATTCAAATGTAGCAACAATTATCACCGGCTCAGCAGGACAATTGCATATAGCTCCCAAGTATTGTTGGACTGGCACAATCTATCATCTATAGTGTCATCGCGAAACGAGTCAATAAATGAGAAATAATATAATTACGAAAAAAGTACCGGGTGATTTTAAATGCTACAAATCTCTTGACACCGTGTGCAACATTCGACATACAGTGCACTACCTACAGGAATTTTTAAATTTCTTCAATCCTGCCGGTTTGCCACCCCACAAACTAAAATTAAAAGAAGGTACTCCCATAATGCTACTGAGAAATTTAAGCTCTCCCAGTATGTGTAATGGTACAAGACTTTTGTTAAAGAATTACGAGATAATGTGTTTGTAGCAATAATCATCACTGGGCCCGCGGCCGGACAGCTCGCTCACATTCCGCGAATCCCGATGATTCCGAGGGATTTACCTTTTAAAAGGTTACAGTTTCCTGTGAAGATATCGTGTGCACTTACGATAAATAAATCACAGGGACAAACGTTTTCGGTTGTTGACCTAAGAAAAGAGTGCTTCTCTCATATAGATAGATAGATAGACAAAAAGCTTTATTTTCAAATTTTACATATTATTATTCTATATATATGTATGTTGCCCTTTCTCGAGTAGGATCTCCCAAAAATCAATATATACTGTTATAATCTACAAATACCACTGCCAACGTAGCATACAGTGAGCCTTTAAGACAAAAAAAGGTAAGGTTGAATATATCCACCTAAAACCTCAGAAAAAGGAAAAATATAAAAAAAAAAACAACAAAAACTATAAATAAAAAAATATAAAAAATTTAACTCATTTAATTAGGTAGGATCAGATAAAAATGTAAAATATAGTAAAACTGTCCACCCGTGCGAAGCCGGGACGGGCCGCTAGTTAATTAATATATATAAGGTGTGTTGGCGCAGACAGACGAACAAGTGTTTTATTATTAGTACAGATGTAGTAGATAACGTCCATTTTTTTATATAAATGTAAAAAAACTGACATTGATTACATCATTCGTCATTGAACTCTGTGGATATATATGTATATAAATATTTACAGATGATCGACAGTAATGTTCTGTGGAATGCAAATGTTACCAATTCCTTAGAAATTCAAGGCCATGATTTTAATTATTACTTAACATAGTTACGAATTGTGAATAAATTTATTTATTATAGCAATCGGCCGGCGAAATATTTTAATATATTTAAAATATATCGTACGTCTCTGCTAAAATTCTAACAGTTCGACTATTCTTTTTATCATATTTATTAGAATTAGGCGTTAGTAGCGTGTTGTAATGTTGATTATTATTATCATGGTTTGTAGTTGCTTTAGTTATTGAATACGATTTATTATTTCTATGTAAAATTAATATCATAGATATAAACTATTCTCATTTTGGAATAAAAATGTTTTAATTGATATTTTAAATTAATAACAGTAATAGTATATGAAAGAAACCCTTATTCTATTTTATTTTGTATAATTAATTAGTTTTTGTTACCTAAAATAATTACGTCCTAAGTTATAAATTTGGAGAAATGAATACAACAACATAAAAACGTCAATGATACAGTATTAAAAATAATAAAGGTGTAAGATATGACATAATAAACGTATACTCTCATCTGTTACTTCATAATAACAAATTAATTTTTATGTCTGACATTATTTAGGTATATAAATCATGGGTTGTCTTGGTTTTAGCCATTTTCATGAATAATAAATAGGTGAGGAAATCAGGATAAATCCTGAGTCTATTGTGTTAAGTGATATACAGAAATTTAGATTTTTATTACCTTTAGTTATTTATTATTCATTAAAATGAGTCATGATGGCGGTCATGGAAACGGCGGGGCAGGGGGTGCGAAGAATCTCCGGGTAAGACCAGGCTACCAGAAACGACGACCATTGGCCCTGGCAACATACAACGTTCAAACACTGCGCACCGACGAAAAGCTAACTGAACTGGAGGAAGAGTTGAGCAGATTGCACTGGCATGTCGTGGGATTATGTGAAGTCCGAAGAAAGGGGGAGGACTCGATAGTCCTGAAATCCGGCAATCTGCTTTACTTCCGGGAGGGCGATCAACTGTCCCAAGGCGGTGTCGGGTTCCTCGTCCACAAGTCCCTTGGGAATAATGTTATCAAGGTCGAGAGAGTGTAGACTAGGGTAGCGTACCTGATACTCAGAATTCAAACGATATTCGTTGAAGGTCATCCAAGTGTACGCTCCAACTTCGACGCACTCCGACGATGAGGTTGAGGCTATGTATGAGGATATCTCCAGAGCCATACATAGTACAAAGACTCATTTTAACGTTATCATGGGACTTTAACGCAAAATTCGGCAAACGAAGCGGTGATGAGCTGAAAGTGGGGCAATTTGGTATTGGTGATAGGAACTTCCGAGGTCAAATGCTGGCCGGCTTCATGGAGAAGGAGAGCCTCTTTATGATGAACTCCTTCTTCAGAAAGCCGGAACACCGGAAATGGACGTGGATTAGTCCCGATGGTGCCACAAAAAACGAGATAGATTTCATCTTGTCAATGAGAAGACAGATTTTCAATGATGTCTCTGTGATCAATGCCGTCAAAATTGGAAGCGATCACCGGATGGCAAGAGGCACATTGAATCTAAATCTGAAACTCGAACGATCCCGACTGGTAAAATCTATGCTCCGCCCTACACCTATGCAGATCCAAAACCCCGAAAGCTTTCAACTAGAATTGCAAAACCGTTTTGAATGCCTTGGTGACTGCGTTGACGTGGACGATTACAGCAACAGGTTCGTGGAAACTGTCCCTGCGGCTGGGTCTAAACTCACTTCAAAACTCGCCGCGCAGAAAAATATCTATCTCTACCCTCAAACTGATGGATGAAAGGCGAAATATGGTCCTGCAGTCTCCGACTGACGCTTACCAGTATATTGTGTAAAGGAGGCTATTGAGAAAAACAAGGGCTCAAAAGTCTTTAACAGGGATTTGGCTGCCGGACAAAGCCAGCTGACGCGATTTAAGAGGGATGATGGCAGGATCGTATCGTCTAAACCCGAACTTTTGAGGGAAATTGAGAAGTTCTATGGACAGTTATACACGACAACACGGGCACCTGTTAACAACACGGCGAAAGACCCTAGAGCCAAATTAACCCGACACTATACCGAAGATATCCCGGACGTCAGCCTGTACGAGATTGGTATGGCTCTTAAACAACTTAAAAATAACAAGGCGCCGGGCGATGATGGAGTTACTGCTGAGCTTCTGAGGGCTGGAGGTAGACCTGTTTTACGAATCCTCCAGAAGCTATTCAACTCCGTCATCCTCGAGGGCAGAACGCCTCAAGCATGGCAAAGGGGTGTGGTGGTTCTGTTCTTCAAGAAGGC